CTATATATTAATATATAGGATTTTTTTTATAACTTTTAGGAACAACTTTAAGAATTTTTTTTTTCTGTGTGTATTTTTAAAATGCATATATATAAAAAATAAAAAATTGCACTAGATCACCAATTTTTTAATTATTTAAATAACGTAATTATATTATATATCAAACACGCTATCTCACACTCGTAAAATTTTTAATAAATTATAAAACATACATTACCATATTCTTCATTTGGTAGGATGGAATTTGTTTGTTTCTGAGTAAATATAATTTTGTTTACATAAGAACTGAATTATATATGCTTTGCTGATTATTTAAATTAAGCGGGTTTCAAATGATTAACATATGAGGTTGAGGAACATGCTGCATGCATTAATTTTCATGAAGCAATATAATGAAGTTCTTAAAATCTTAAATTATTTCAATAACATAATTATTAAATCCCATCTAAATCTGAATGTAGTAACTTCTACTGGTATTCAATTGTGAAATTATATGTAAGTCTAAAGTATAAGATGATGTGAATTATTTCAGTGATATTTCTTTTTCAAAACGAAATCATTTCAATGTTGTTTCCCATGCAATTTTTGTCGTACTAACCACTACCACTCATCACTACTAATGTCCATACCATCTTCGTCTTCTTTAACGCAATTCATGTCGTACTAACCACTGCCATTCATCACTACTTACGTCCATACCACCATCATCTTTAATAAACGTATCCATCATAATTTCTCTAATTTGCAAGAAATCAAAGAGCATAACGTTCATTGAAATAATGGGATGTTAAACATAAGCCACCATGAACAAAAAGATGATGGAAGGGGGGGGGGGTAAACAGAGGAAAAGACCAAGTGGTAGTTTTCATTCAACGTTAGTGGGCCACTTTAAGCAAAAACAACTTCACAATCTTTGCAATTGCCTTGAGGACGAAACATCAAAAGTGGTTAATTCCTAATGGCACCTGAAGGCTGAAATGGGACATGTAATTAACCTCAAGAAAAAGCACTAGAGTATGTGGTGAGAATATTCGAACAACTTGTAAACATGAATTCAACGAAAAATTATAAGTGTATGTGAATTTATGTAATTTAATTATGAACTTAAATATGTTATAAGTTGATTTTTTCTGAATTTTTGGCCCGATGAAATGGCATAACTTTGCTCTTTAGTAACATTCATATTCACATTGATTTATATATTTTTAAACACTTGGAGGAATGTTATTTGCTTTTTAGTTTTAATTCATACATTTTCATTAATAATTACAAAGCAGCATTTCTATCGTCAACATGATATAAAAATAAACATGGAATCTAATTTGTTATTCTTGTTTATAAAATCATAAAGACAAAATGAAATAAAATAATGTGATAATATTTAGTAATTATTAATTAAAACGGATTAATTGAAATTTTTAAACTAAACAATCTCTAGTTTTCCATTCTATTAAAATGAAATGATTTCCAATCTTAGATGTTTCAATCAAGAAGGGCAATGCATTTCATTTTCAGGGAAAGGAAAATAATTATATTATATTTTTATTAACAAAACAGACTCAATAGAAATTAGGTAATGTTATATGACAGCTTTGAGGTCTCACTTTCCAACCTTTTATTGGTTGTGGAGCATAGTTCAACAGCACAACCATAGAAGCAAAAAAACACAAGAAAATTCAAGGGGAAAACTTATGGATAGCAGGATTTGGGTTATAATTAGTCATATCAGGACTAATTAACCAATTCTCCAAATCCCAACCAACGAACTCACTCAGAAACTTCGGTTAGAGATAGTACAAGACCAAGGACATGCAATATGTCGTAGAAGTCTAGTTCACAGTTAAAAGAGCACAGTGAATTAAAAGAGTGGCTAGTGAAACATGACACAATTTTTGTTTAACAAGTCTCAACTTTTAGTCTTCATTCATCTTTTTAATTCGAGATAAATATAAGTTATTTATAAATACTTTTTTGAGTCCAATTTATTTTTTTAAAAAGGAAAAAACATAGTGGAGAGCAGCTACTCCACTTATGTGGAACCTTATTGGTAGTAAATCTACTGTTGGCAACATAACATGCCACAGAAAGCAAACAATGCAGTGATGCCCTTCGTAATTGGAGATGAGAAGCCACTTCTTGTTTCACTTTCTCGTGATTCGAATCTAAAAGTTCATAGACGCTCTTAACGGAAAACTTCCCATGAGTCCCCACTCTTGAACCGTCATTAATGTTCAATCATAATGCTTTCACCAAGCAATGATATTTTCTACGCATTTTCTATACACATTGTAATAATGCTCAACCAATCCTCCACGATCTTGTACCGTTTTTAATAGTGTCATGGAAGCAATAAAATCTTCAAGCACTCTCCCCCAAGTACGTACCCAAAAATATCTTCTCAAAAGTGTGGGATCGTATGGTTAAAGGTATGTGGTGAAAAATATCTAGCTAAGCCACAATATTTATCAGATCGTTTATGTTAGAATCCTTTGTTTAGACCTAAGAGACAGTTTAAGGAAAGTAAGACAAGAACTGCTTACCATTGCCCCATAAAATAGAAATAGGAAAATAAACAACCATGCCATTTTGGTATTTGCTTGAACACTTTCTAACAGCAGCAATGATTTTGTTGTTTGAGTAATGTCACAGATGCATTACTGATCCTATATAGATATTTTAAATAAGTACAGCCTAAAACCACAATAGCTTGAGAAAGCATTTGTCTTGAGATGAGATCTACCAAAAATTCCATAAGATTTATGAGTCTTGCATTTAGTGTTATGCGTAAGTCCAAAAGCTTTTGTCAATTCTGCCGCAACAACCTGGCCAACCTATTAGCATTAGTCCACAATAATAATAGTTATAAATTTGTAAGGTCAAAAGAAAAGAAACCCCTGAAGTATAAAGCCATAATTCTTTGAAAACAAAGACAGTGGAACATTTATATACATATAAGCTTTGAGGCTTTCGAGCCAAGTTTTGATAGATGATTGATGCTTTATATTTGTAAAATTTAAGATCAGTATGAGAATATATGATTGAATTTCATGAACAAATCATCCGCAAAAAAGTTATAACCAAAGAAAATTAAGGCAAGAGCCAAAAGCAAGATGTGATTAATAGCAACTACAAATTTGATATTATATATTTTTCTTTGTAAAATACATGAATCTTATTTTTCTTGGTTTTATCATACGTCACGGTTTGAACCCTTACCACTAAATTATCAACCAAAGGACAGTCAACAACTTTTTTTGGGTCAAGGGTCAACAACTTTTGAAAACCCTCTTTTTTGTCACCGAATTAGAATGCTGAAAGGTAGAACAAAATAAGCCCGAGATGGCCCAAATAGGAAACAATGCTAAAAGGTCCAATCTGAACAAGTTAGGCTCGTTACATTGTGGGCCAAAAAATGTAGAGAGCTTTTGTTTTGGATACATAAATCCATAATCCAACCCAAACCAATAACACATTCCGTTGAACTCATGCTACGAAGAGCTGGAACCCTTTGGGAACTGTGGAATGTGAATATAAATAGTCAAATTATTTAAGAGGTTTTACTAACCACACTTAATTTTTGTGGAATACAAACCTATGCAAACGGGTTAGAATTTAACAGGTTATCTTAAAGGATACAATGATAAAGAAAAATACTTTTCAAATACAAAAGTAAGATAAAAAAAAATTTCAAATAATTTTGTGTTTAAATAATATAAAATTACATGAAACTAACAAAGTAGTCTTGGTTTACGCGCGTGCTTAATTACCTTATTTAAAGAGTGATTATTTATTTCCAAAAAAAAAAAAAAAACTGAACAAGTTATTGTTACCCTTTTCTTCGTGCATTAATTTTCTTTTCAAATGTACCTTCAACAAAAAAATCTCAATTAAAATCATACAATAATTTTTGTATCAAAACAGAAACCACACATCATAACAGAAAAGAATATGCTCAAAATTTGAATCAGAAAGAATCCAACAGTTCATAGTCAAATATGATTAATAACGTGCTATTAATTTTGTTTACCCCAAGAGAGTCAAAAACTTTGGAAATCTGAAGGGAAAAAAAAAAATCTAGAATTGATTGCATTGGTGACGAAAATTCCATCGACAGCTCCATTCGTCACCTGTTTTAGAAAGGTCATTTTCACGCAAGTGTAGTTTCAGGTTTTATGACAGAAGAAACTTGAGCAGAGAAGGTAAGAATGGAAGTATAATGGTCAGAATGAGAAAGTTTTCTGCAATCACTGTTGAAAGATACTGAAACTGAAAGATCTTTTCCATTCCAAGAAAGAATCTGAAATCTGAGACCCATTAGCTGGGACCAAAAAGAGGATACAAAGGTGCCCTTTTAATGGCTATGCTGATATATTACCGTACAACAAAGAGGGTAAACGAGCGTTGAATGGTTTGAACCAAAAAACATTATGGGATTGTCAGATACTATTATCTTTTATTTGTAGTACACGTTGCTACAATAAGTTAAGAGTGAGAGAGAAAACTTTTCAGTGATAGGAAAAACAGAAGCGTGTGGGAAACTAGGAATTAATTGGTAGTGTCTTTTGTAGGTTAACAATGACCATTATTGGAGTGAGTAGGAAGAAAGGGTATTCCACGCTCTTTCGCTTTTTTTGAATTTAAGAACTTGTTAGGCTTTTCCCAGTTATTATTACCACTTTTTTCTCTTAGAATTTCACTTTCCTTCTTTGTCTGTAATCTTTGTCTCTCATCCACCAAGTGTGTCAGAGGTTTGTCTTCAAAAATATATACATTTTCATCCTTCCACTTAATTATTGTAAAGGTTTGATTCTTGTCACTATTATTATTATTATATAGTTCATTATATTAATCTATACGTCCTAAACTTGCTCTCAAAATTGCACCACTTGTTTCCATTTGGTTACTACACTTGTTCACCACTTGGTTCATACTGAGTTGAACTATAGCATTGTTTCTCCCTCCAGATCGTGAGACAAAGACTCTAGTGAGAGAGGGGAATTATGGGGAAAGCTTCGAGGTGGTTGAAGGGGTTGTTGGGAATGAAGAAAGAGAAGGGTTGTGAGTGTTCGGAGTCACTGGGTGATGCCAAGAATGAGAAGAAACGATCAGGGAAGGATGAAGTGAGTGTTACGGCTTTTGATCATGCTTGGATCAGACCCTATGTTGCTGAAAAAGAGGATGAGAAGAACAAACACGTAATTGATGTGGCTGATGCTGTTGTGAGGTTGAGAAGCTATGAGAGAGGCACGTTGTTTTGTGGAAGCAGAGAGAGGTGGGCTTCTGTGAAGATTCAATCTTTTTTCAGAGGTTATTTGGTATGTCACACCTACTTTATCTTATAGGCAAGTTCAAATCTAATTTGGTTTCAGTGCTGCTTTTTACCTCATGTGATGCTGTCTTTTCCTCTGTTTACACAAAATCCATTTGCTGAATTATATTGTCTTGTAAACGGTGATGTTTGTAGCTTTGTCTACGCAACAATTATTTTTGGTAAAATATGTGCTTTGCTTGATTGTTACTCCTTTGTTTGTCCTCAAAAGGTCACAATTCAGATACATGTTTTACATTCTCAATGAAACAGTCCCTTTTTCTTTTATGGGGTAATGTTAATCAATTTATCATTTTCTACTAAGGCTAATATCAACATCTACCACTTGAGTGTTTTAATTTATAACTATAATGCAAAAGGTTTGGTTATGCTATAAATTTTAAACATGTTCTGTCAGTACTTCAACTCAAAATTCATAAAATTTGTTGCATTCAGGCGAGAAAGGCTCTTAGAGCACTCAAAGGATTGGTTAAGATACAGGCTCTTGTTAGAGGGTTTCTTGTGCGTAAAAGGGTTGCTGCAACTCTTCACAGTATGCAAGCTATGATAAGAGCTCAAGCTGTTGCCCGATCGCAGCGAGCTCGTCGCTCCATGTACAAGGAGAATAGATTTCATGCAGAAATTCGTTCCAGAAAACATTTGGTATAAACTTGTTCTTTAATCCTTCACAATAATTAACTTGAATATCTTTCCATCAACAATTATAGTCTTAATTTTTGCGTGTTAAATCTTTTTATATTCCAGCAACTGTTTGATGAAACAAGAAATGGAAGGGTACCCATTTATACTAAGACACCCTTGAATGGATTTGATGAGAACCCAAAAGTTGTTGAGATTGACACTCACATGCTCCATTCAAGATCTAAGAGCATTGCCACAACAAAGTCTGAATGTGGAGAAGACCTGCAATATCAAGCAATGTCAGTTCCAAGTCGAGTATCAGTTCATGAATTCCGACATCCTCAAAGTTTACAGTGGTACTTCAATGTTGATGAGCGCATGTTATCCACAGCTCAGAGCACCCCTCGTTTTGCAGATTGTATGCTAACACCAAATACCCCACCTACTCCAGTGAAGAGTGTTTGTAGAGACACCTTCGTTAGGCCTTGCTCCAATTCCCCAAACTACATGGCCAATACTCAATCATCTAAGGCAAAAGTAAGGTCTCACAGTGCTCCAAAGCAAAGACCTCAGCTTAAGACAAGGATTTCACTCAGTGAAATGATGGCTGCAAGAAATAGCATTAGTGGTGTTAGAATGAAGTGCTCAACCAACCCAAATACTCAAGATTATTGTTGTTTTTGACAGGGTTATTTAGCCATGCCATTTTAGCTTAAGTTAATTGGTTGTCTATTTGTGCTTTCAACTTACACACAATAGAATGTCTAATAGTGTACTAAGTTCTTGGAAAGAGTTAGTTTTCTTTTCTTGTACCAAATGGTTACTTTTAGTACCGATTAAAGATTCTGGTTTGGTTTTATCATCTTATGGTAAAAAAAATTTATATGGATATTTATTTATGGAATGTGTTGAGTGGTTTTGCGTTTGGAAGTCCCCGATGGCAAAAGCTATAATAGAAAAAGTTTTTGCCTATATAAACTACGGTTTCCAACTGTTTTAAATACAAAGCCGTATTTCTTACTTAAAACGATCTAATCTTTTATGTGGTCTAAAGTACATTATGTAATTTGTATATAAAAGAAATTTATTTTTTTAAATTGACAAATAGAGTTATAAAATTATGAAACTTATCACAAATTTTGAGTATGCGGAAAGGATTCATAATATAAATTACTTCTAATGGTAATACATCTAGAGACATCAATATATTTATTTTAGACATGCACCTAACAAACACCAATAATCAATAAGCTAAGCACTAAATAGATAAATTTTCTTTTAAAAAAATTCCAATTAAATATGATCAAATTTAAATCTTAAATTTGTGAGACTTACTAAAAAAAAAGCTATTCATTTATGATGATTAAAATTTTTAATTAATGACAATTATCTTAAATTAACATTAAAAATTTGTTATTTGCTGATAGGTAATAAAATGGGTTAAGATATATTGATATTATGACTTACACTAAATTTTAACCATAAAAATTAATAATTTAACGATTAAAACGTTATATATTGTTTAACTAAAGCAATAAAATGCGTAAAAAGATATAATTTTTAATTTGTACGGTTGTAATTTGCTATAAATCTTTTTAGATTTACATCTAGTGTCAATGGATCCTATTCTTAATAAAATTGATGTTAAATGTTATATTTTTGTTTTAATTATGTGTATTTATAATATTAAAATAGAGTTAAATTTATAATTTTAACATGGCCTATTAGCTCAGTTGGTTAGAGCGTCGTGGTGCTAATAACTCGAAGGTTGCAGGTTCGAGACCTGCATGGTCCTGATGCACTACTCGTTTGCTGAGCTTCGGCCCACAGGTCTGCTAGTTAATTTGGATTTGACTTTCTCTTGGGTGACGGATTGGACAGGATGAGACGTTTATTCTTACAGTCATCCATAAATCAGCGTTTCTTGTTTATATATAGCAAATTTATAGCTGTTCTGTTTCTGTCTACATAATTGTAGAGGGCAAGACGAGATTCCGCTTCAGAAAGATGTGATCCATTACCAGAGTTTTGTAGCAAATATTAGTGTTATGATTTCGTTTCCAACCCCCGCCGCATACCAAGTTTCAAAGTCTGGTCCTTTCAATTTATATATATCTGGGCAAGTTGGTACGACCAACCACAACCCAAAATAAAAATTTGGCGAGATGTTGTTCTAATACCACGTAGGAGATGTGTCATTCATGAACCATAAAACCTTTACTGGCAACTCTCCGAAGGTAGGTAGAATTTTATCAACAATAGCCAAAAGACTTGGTCTTCGAATTTACTGCGACTAATAAAAATACAATAAGTATTTCAATTAGCTGTTCAGCTCCAAGATTAACAAAACCCTTAATAAAATGCAGCACATACACATGACAAATACTAACGCAAAGGAAATTGAATGAGAGAAATAAAGGGGGAGATTGAAATGTAGGGAAAATGATTGTTGTGATTTCGAACGAGAAAATATGAAACACAACTGCCCATTTTCTCAGAAGAATGAATGTTGCAGGGAACTCTTTCGGAAGAGTGCATTGATCGCAGCACAACACCGATACACACAATCCCCGCGGAAGAGAATCACTATCATACATAAATTTAAATGCATAAAATCACAATGATCCAAACACTAACAATAACTCAGGCAACTGAGACACCCAACGCTTCGAGTGTTGCAGTGTGTATATATAGGGAAGCAACCAAACCCTAGAGTGCCTGACAAGACCAAATGAGTGGCGAGTTGTATCCCATTACTGGACCTTGGGCTTGGTTGGAGTGAGTAAGTTTAGATGGCCCAAACTTCATTTTCGGCCCATCCTGAATGTTGATTTTAACTAACCAATCTTTAAAGTATAATAATTAGGAAAATGATTGTTGTAAAAGTATTTATCCTCGTAAAATTCTTCCTATGCCTAAATTAAGGTAAATTTAGGCACTGACATGTAATGTAACCAACATTGATGCATGTGGAATGAGTGATGTTATGTGTATGATGATATGTTGGATTCAACTATGTATGGTGTGGGTAGAATGAGTGGCATTATTGTCTGCACATTTCCCCTACTCCACACATCTTCCTTTCTCTTTTCAGTGTCTGTCACCTTCTTCCCCCACTTTTGTTATTATTATAATAACTCTTACTATAATTATGATTTTTAACTGAATTTTGCTTTGATGAAACATAGTTAGATAACACTTAATAGTGCTCCTTGAATTACTGATGACTTTGGATAATCAACTTCACCAAAATTTTGCTATTCATTTCCGTTAAAAATGATCAATGGAAAAAAAATAAAACAAATTTTATTAATAAATAGAGTGTGTTTGATATTATCAATATATTTGATTACTTTTAAACAAAAATTCCTATTTATTGTTTTTTAATCATTATCATAAAATAATTATTAACAAATTAAATTTTGTATTGCACCATTTTTATTTATTTAACAAATATGATTAATGCTTTTTATATTTTAAAAATATATTTTTTAAATTTCTTAATATAATTTATCCATTATTTCTCTCGTTCGTGATATATTGATAAGTGTGTTAAATATTTAAAAATGAAGAAAACAATAAGAACATAATTAAAAAGACAATACTTGATATTGACATGAACTCTTGCATAAATAAACAAACGAGTAAACAGAAATAATACTTTCTGTTAACAGTGGACAGAAAAAGAAAATACAAACTAAATCAGGTATTCTCAAAAAAATAATAATAGAAATAAGAGAAAATAAATTAATTGATAAAATAAATGAAAACGCCGCGAGATAATGGTATAAAAAATAAAAAGGAGAGACACACAAAACTGGAAAATGGATTTTGGGATCGTTGAGAATGAGTAGCAATTTCATTTTGCATGGAAGTTTCTGCTGCGGATTCATAATGGGGACATTGATAACTGCAAGGCACATTAATGACATAAGACATGGTAATAGCATTATCATTTACCAAAGCATTTGGTTGAATTAATAATAGGATTAGCATCCCCACAGGATCCCATAGTGAGAGGTGATGAAATAATCTTCTGAGCCATTTTAGTGATATCATTCATTGTGATTCCATCTTCTGCCTCCAAGAATTGCTCCACTGGCTTCCTGAAATGGGTCGCTCACAAATTCTTATATTACAAATTAGCAACATCAAATCAATCATACTTTATTCCATTTAAACCATTTCTTTAACAAAGTTAAAGTTTCTTGCATGAAAGTAATGGCAGGATGATTTAAGTGAAAATAGAAAGATTTCTTGGGATTCAAGAAAACGGAGCAAAAGGTCTCTAATTGATCTTTACCCTTCTCCATAAGTCAATATCTGCCTTCATATATCTTCTGATGCAATCATCTGTAAAAGCAACAAATTTTCAGCATATAACAACTATATATAATTGAACTAACCAATTCCCCTATCTACACCGAGTAAAGAAATCCATGATAGATAAAATAGAGTTACAGTTACATTAGTTTTAAGGGGTTTTTAAATTCAGGTAAGAAATTCCACATCATTCAAACTATCAAAGTTCAAATATATATAGATCGATCGATCAATATATATAGATTTAGTGGATAGATAGATAGATAGATAGATAGATAGATAGATAGAGCGAGAGAGAGAGAGAGAGAGAGAGAGAGAGAGAGAGAGAGAGAGAGAGAGAGAGAGAGAGAGAGAGAGAGAGAGAGAGAGGGTACCCTGGACTCCAAATTCATTAGAACTGAAGATTTAGTGGATTTTTTTGGCACGTTCAAGCTGCATCTGTGGAACTGTCATTGCATGAAGCCTAAATTTAATTTGGCAAAAAACAAGATTCTAACAAATATACAACAAGAGACACACAAACAAAGCAGATAAAACCTTGTCCTGGAGATGCGATTGCTATCAATTCTTTGGCTGCTAAATCGACAGCTTTTGCAACAAAATCAGAGTTCTACATGGACAAATTAGAAAAAATGCTCACCATTCATACATCAAGCTGGAAATATTAAAGGTACAATATAAAATTCAAAACGGCTTAAAAGGAGAAAAAGTAGTCAGTATCAAAATTAATTTGTGTAAATTATGACATGATATGAGCAAGTGTGATAATAGAAAGGAAATTCAGACGCCATGCAAAATTCAAAACTAACTCAGAAGTCACAAGTATCCTCTCACAGGAATGAATCAAAATTCAAAAAGAAAAACACAAAGTAAAAAAGAGGCATCACATCTATGTTTAACAAAGATTGTGACTTACTGTGCTTGCATATATGCCAAATAACCCTGTATTGTTGAAGATGCTGTTGAATGCAGAAAAAGATTGAATTTGCTGATATTCATCAAGACACGCAGATCTGGATTCCATTGTATATATAAGTAAAACAAGATAAGTATCAGGGAAGATATATTAATATATGAACAGAAGATAGTGAAATATACTTCATATAGCTAAGAAAAGGGAAAGGCAATTCAAATTATAGACCAAAGTCAGTTGTAAACTACAAGATATAGGTAAAACTTCAGAGTCTTGAGTGCATCCCTTTTCCAGGCCCCCCTGCTGAGAATGATCCACCTCCTCCCATAAGCATCTTTAGTACTCAGATTATCACTTATATTCAATTACTTCTTTCCTCCTTTCATGTGCAAGGAATAAGGATGGCAGCAAGAGAAAATTTGCAAATCCATAGACAAGCTATCTCTTGAAATCAGAATGACTCAGACGAAAAAATGAGTACCAGTATTACAGTCAGAACAATAGCTTCCTTCTCCTTTTTCCAGCCACCAGGCACTTCAAAAGCAATAGCTACATGTGCACCCTGCCCTTCCAAAAGTTCTTAGTAGATAAGTAATAATAAACGCCATTTGAAAGGGGACAAATGAAAAAGCAGAAACATAAGTAAATGTAGGTGACAGTGTATCAATTTAATGCACATCCCGGATTCACCTTGACGATGAAAATCACCCCCAATATATGTAGATTTTGGTTCTTCAGCTCGGCCAACATTTGGTAGATCAGAGAGAAGAGGCTCAGCAACATACAACAGCTCTTCATGGTCAACCCCAGATGCTGCAAGTACCATTCTAAGTGCAGTATAATTCTCCTAAATTTCCATATCCAACAAATCCAGATAATCAAATAGACTGCCAGAAATTTAAATTATGAACAATAATAACAGTGGCTTTCATGCAATATAAAAAAGAATAATAGATCATACAGCAAAAAATTCCTCTAAAATGGAGCCATTTAATGTGTTGAGTGCCAATTCAGAAGCCAAAAGTGGATTAGCCAATGCTCCAGAATAACCAGCAGAGTGCATGGCCTCCATAAGTAAGCCCTGGGGATTGTTTGATAGTTCTCCAAGTTCTGCTTTTGCCTTTTGAAGCTGTACCAAGAGATGATTTAACAAGATCAGCAAGAACTACTATAGGTGAACAAAATATAAGAATTAGAAGAACAGTCTTTAAGAGAGAATACATTCACAAGAAAACAAAGATACCTCTTCATTGACCTCCCAATCCAAGAAGGCTGGGTTCCTTACACAGTCAACTAGCAACTCAATCATTTTGTGGAACAAAAGTTTTTATAGCATCAAATGTGTAGCCCATTTGCTCCCTAGAGGCTGAGGCTCCTACATTACCACCAATTGCTTCTATTTCTCTTACAACACAAAAGTGACTTCGGTTTGTCGTCCTCCAGAAAGGCATTTTCTCTAGCAAGTGCGACGCCCAGCTAGACAAGCGCGTCTCATAGAGGGAAACACTTTCAATATATAACCCTATTGAGGCTGCAAGATTCTAATTGACAACCAAAACATATACTTCAATTACAAAAGTGGTAGAAGTAAAAGTAACATTGTCATTATTAAAGTATGGAAAACTATTAACATGCACATACTAATGAGGTATCGATGCTATTTTCAGACCATTGGGGAGATTTGTGATCTTGGTTCAACATAATCAGGCAGTGGAGCAGGGAAGGAAACCCCTGTAAGTGGCGTGTCAAGAGGAGGAAGGGTACTGGAAAATTCTCCAGTAAGCCAGCTGAATAAACCTTCTGAAGCAGGCCTTGTAGCTGCTGCACTTTGAAGTAGCAAACCCTAGAGGCTTCCAATGTTCTTCCTTTGACCGACTAACATATTTTAATTACACAACTGAATTACACCAAATAGAGTCTCGTTAGATTGAATCATGCAATGTGAAACAGAAAACCACTGAAACATGCAATAAACAATATAATCCGCATTTTCCAAGGAAAAGGTGATTGAAACATCAAACAAACAAATGAAGTAAAAACATGCAATGAATGTGTCATCTCAAAACAATGTAGGAGTCATCAAAACCGGTTGCGCAGGATTCTCCTACATGATTAAAAGAAGAAAAATAACATTGTCTCACAACGTACCAAGTTAAAAAAAAATGACAGCTAGAAAACCCATAAAAAGGGAAAATATATTTTCTGGGCGGGTTCCAAAAACTTGAATTCCCAAACACCCCCCCAAGCAATGGGGTTGGGTCGTTATAGACTAAAGAGAAAGAAGCATTTTAGATGTTTGGTAGTGACCTTGAGAAGGGTGAGACGTGAAGCTGCAGCTCTGTACATGACGATGAGAATGAATTTCCTGAGTTGAGTTGAGACAACAAAGGTGGCTGCTAAATGCCAAAACTATGAATCCGAATCCAACGAAGACAAGAGAAAAAGAGGCTTTTGGTTCCAATACGTTGGGCCCTTCGGTGAGTTAGTAGATTTTCAGCCATAAACTTAGACCAATTACTAGTAACACACTAAAGTACCCACGAAATGTTTTACTCTATGTTTTAATGTTTAATAACATGGTTAAAAGAATGGCTTCAACTTTAACGGCGCATAGTCGAAGACTAAACAAGAAAGAACTTCACTTTATTGGTGGGACAAAGAAAAACGATGATTATTTTTAATAATAACTTTTCAATTAACCTCCATCACTCCAGAAAAATCCACTCTCAATTTGATTCTTATAACTACTTTCTCTCTGATTATGTGGCGGCATGTGTAGGAAAAACCATGGGAAACGAACCAATGTTTTCGATTTGACTGCATCCTACACTGTGGGCAAAAAGTAGAAAACGGGGGGAAAATAATTAACATTTTAATCTTCTTTTTTACGGAAGAGCCATTTAACTTTGGTTTTAAAAAATAATTAACAATTTCAGGTTAAGAAATTAGCAGCCAACACTCCGTTACGTTTATAAGTTATTAATCAATGATTATTGGTGGTTTTTCGTCTCAAATAGTGGTGAGCTCTTGGGTAGGTGATTTCTGTAAATTGGAAAATAGCTTTACAAATAAGCATTTTCCGGAAAAAGAAAAACAAATGGGTGGCCCTGAACAAAATAAATAAAATAATAAAAACTAGGAACCAAATACTAAATGTCAGAGACAATAATTTAGCTCAGGAGACTCATTTGCTTCTAACGTAAAGTCCGTCCACAACTGGTAGTTTCAATTTCTTTGATCTAAACGAAATATATCATGAATATGTCCATTTGTTTTGTTCTTTTATATTTAATGGCAATTGGCACATGAATATATCGTAAATAACAACATAAATTCATTATGGCATCACCCATGTGCTTATATGTTGATGTTTGCAAGGATTTCAGTTTCAGGTGTGCTGCTTAAAGTGCAACCTCCAAGTCCCACGAAAACATACCAAAATCGAATTGTGGTATTACAGTATCCAACATCACCATGATGGATTCTGCCACTTCCCATCATAAAATCACAACTACAGCTTCTGGGTTCGTACTCGAAGATGTTCCTCGTTTATCTGACTACATCCCTGATCTTCCCGTAACTCTCTCTTTCTGCCAGCAATAAAATGAACTTTATGGTCTAGTTGAAGTGGATGTATTTAATTATATTTTACTTGTTTGATTTTTAACTTGTTTTTATTATTCTGGTTAATCATGCAGACATATCCTGACCCTTTACAAGACAATCCTTTCTATTCAGTTGTTAAGTAAGTGAAACAGTATTAAACGTTAGATTCTATCTAGTGTTGTTGATTTACTATGTTGTATGGTCACTGTTGGAGTTGGTTTAGTAACTCAATTTGGTGATCAAGTTGGTTAATTTTTGTTTCCACAGGCAATACTATGTGAATTTGGATGATACAGTTGCGCAACAGGTCAGTAATTTTTTACTTTGTGTAGATAGTTTTGTACCATTCTTGCAGTGTTTCAGAATTATTTATACGAATTGGTTTCCTTTGTGCAGGTAGTTGTACATAAAAATAGTCCCAGAGGGACCCATTTTCGGCGTGCTGGACCTGCTCAAAAGGTTTTATCCTCTTTTTTCTTTTTCGTTGTCAAAACTGAGACTTTGTTGATTTGTGGGAAAACAACAGTGATTTGAATGTTTGGCAGGTTTATTTTGATTCTGAGGAAGTGTACGCTTGTATTGTTACATGTGGTGGTCTTTGTCCTGGTCTGAATACAGTGATAAGAGAAATTGTTTGTGGCTTATACCATATGTATGGGGTGCACAAAGTTCTGGGAATAGAGGTATCATTTATGTACTAATTACCATCACTTATTTATTATGTTTTTTTTTTATTTGTAACTGTTACAGATTAGCAACCTTATTTTTTAAAATTTTTATGGGCTTTGGATAGGTTTTGGGTGAGGGTGTATCATTGAAGTTTAATCTAGTGTATGGTTAAATGTAGGGAGGATATACTGGTTTTTATTCTCGAAATACAGTTCCTTTAACACCAAAGGTTGTTAATGATATCCACAAACGGGGTGGAACCATCCTTGGGACATCATATGGGGGCCATGATACCTCAAAGATTGTGGATAACCTTCAGGATCGGGGCATTAATCAGGTTTATATACTAGGAGGATTTGGAACTCAAAAGGAGGCAGCTATGATTTTTGAGGTAATTAATGAATGTGGCTTGAATACTGCTTTGCAGAATTTGTATTTTGTTGTATGCTTTAAATGTTTGGTAATTGGTAGATATAATAATGTTTATTTTGTACTCATAAGGTTTAGTTATTTATGCAGGAGATTAGAAGCCGTGGCATGAAAGTTGCAGTGGTTGGAATTCCGAAAACCATAGATAATGATATCCCAGTAAGGATGCTTTAAATGAAAAAATCCTATTTTTTTATGTCATTGTGTTAGAAAGGAAAAAGGATTTGCATTAAATTGTCACCTATTTAGTGCCATTCTGTATTTGAATCAGGTTATTGACAAGTCAATTGGTTTTGACACTGCTGTTGAAGAGGCACAGCGTGCTATCAATTCTGCCCACGTGGAAGCAGAAAGCGCTGAGAATGGTATTGGCGTTGTTAAGTTAATGGGGCGTAACAGTGGTAAGCTTCATCCATTCCTTTGAGCAAAACAAGAAGATAAAGAAAAGAAGTTCTTGTCATTCTTATATCTAGTTGGGTCTTGACTTGGTTGTTATAGTCACCAGATATTGACTCATTGATGCAGGATTTATAGCCATGTATGCAACTCTTGCCAGCAGAGATGTGGACTGTTGCTTGATTCCAGAATCACCCTTTTATCTTGAGGGTGCAGGAGGACTTTTGGAGTTCATTGAGAAAAGACTGAAAGAACAAGGCCACATGGTTATAGTAATAGCTGAAGGTGCAGGTCAGGACCTTCTTTCTGCCAATCCATCTACTGTTAATAAGCAGGATGCTTCTGCTGACAAATTACTTGAAGATGTTGGCTTGTGGTTGTCCCAGAAAATTAAGGTTAAAACTCTGCAAGTTTAGTATAATTATTCAATATGTTAAATTTTCCTGCATGATAGCCCTCAACTTATTTTGTTTGGGCAATTTTGAAGTTGGGGAATTCACTCTAGACTTCCTAGATAGTAGCATAGATATATTAAGTCATTTCAATTGTTAGAAATGTTGTCAGGTATTCCTAATCACAGCATCACCAGTGGTCACTTTCTAAGGCAATGTTTGGCATTGTGAATTTTCTGTCGAAATACATACAAACAAGTTCTTTATATAATTTGCTAGATTTTTCATGCTGTAGAATTTTCCTTTTCTTTCTTGTTTTTTCAATAAAATATTTATTTCTGTCGTAGGATCACTTTACAAAACGTCAAAAAATGGTTATAAATCTGAAGTACATTGGTGAGCTCTCTTCTTTTAACTGTACATTTCTTATAGAAAAAAATGTTGTGATCCTCAATATATTGTCTCGCAGATCCTACTTACATGATCCGAGCCATTCCAAGTAATGCATCTGATAATGTGTACTGCACTCTCCTTGCCCAAAGTGCTGTTCATGGTGCAATGGCTGGATACACAGGCTTTACCGTCGGCCCAGTTAATGGCAGAAACTGTTACATTCCATTTCATGTAAGTGTTAGACTCTGCCCAAATATGGTTGCTATCGCGCCACTAGTTTTTGGTTCCATTCTTAGGTGGCACATGGATCAAACAACTTGGCCGATGATAACAATCACTTACGCTGGTCCTATCTCAAATCCTCTATCTGGATTGGACCTGTATATTTTTTACACCTTTCTGTATTATTTAGATATTGGTTTTGCAAAGATGCTATTCTTGCATTCCATTACTAGTTCACCTTGAAATTAAATAGAATGAGTTTTTATTTGTTTTTGTAACTGCAGCTGATAAATGAGGGAGAGAAGAGGGTTGTGATAACTGATCGGATGTGGGCAAGGTTACTATCCTCAACCCATCAGCCTAGCTTCTTGAATCCACAAGACATAACAGGAGAAAAAGAGGAAAAAAAGGAACACCAAACCTCCGACGGGCAGAACCATCCAGATATGGCTGACTAAACTGGGCGTATACAGACCACAAATATAACACCAAGTTATAATGCCATCAAAATGTGGAGACTCGAGTTACATGAACATTTTAATTCAAGTAACATCAAATTAGATAATTGACATGAGATGAAACCAAATCTAGTACATCTCTTGCGGTATTTAAGCCAAAATGATTGCATCTGTATTTACAAACTTTTGATGAGTCAAATCTTACATCTTAGAAATCAAAAGAAAGAGATCCGAATAACACCAGCAGCTTCTCTTAGTTATCTTCTGAAAACAGCGTCAATAACCTCTTTCAGATTCTGGCAACCTACAACTTCCATGTTTTCCAGACCTTCAGTTTTCAAAAATTTCTCAGCTTGCTTCGGGACTACACACTTTTTGTAACCCAACTTTGCCAACGTGTATACCCTTTTATCAATTCTAGGAACCTGTATCATAAAATACCCAATCCACCAGGCTAAGGCTTGAGAAAATATATAAAATACTTCATTTAATTTTGAATTGATGAATACAAGCAAGCAGCGTTTCTTAGAAAGCACAACAGAAGTGTAATTTTAGATTACCACATCTTTATTAAATGCAAAGTAATAAAGCTTAGGATCGTTTGGAAAAAATGGATATGATTTTTTAGGTTTTACTCAGTTGCATGTCAACTGATTGGAATCAATTCCTATCTAATAGAGGGAGATTGAATTACCAATGAAAAGCTAGAAGAGAATACAGAATTGCAAGAGCAATACCCCCCCAACCAAAGAAATTTCCTATAACCCTATGCTGAAAATTCCCCATTTTAGACAGATCTGATCACGTGTCTTATCTCTCTTCTAACCAGACCTTACTCCTTAGATGCTTCATACAAGTTATTCCCTCCTAATTTAGCGTTTGGCCTACGAGAGCAGACTTTTAGGGCCTTTTTGTGCCCAACTTTATTAGCAATTATGTTCACAGTCTTATCACAAGCTCTAATGCATAAAGCAATAAAGTGCTCGTGTTGTATCAAGCTATGGTTTTATCAGAACTAAAACCGACCAGATAATTCGAGTCAATACTCAACAGCAGAGTTCAACAATATAATCTTGCAGCATTTTAATCACTACTTAGAAATCTGAAAATGCCACAAAACATCACAACACATGAAATCTAACAAGCAACATATCTGAAAATTTCACAAAGGACGGACTTTTCATAGATGGAAATACGATGGAAAATCGCACCTTAAAACCCTTCAATATAAAAGTCAGCTCACCGCTATGCTATTGAAAACTCTAAATTGACCTTTAAATATATCACAGTAGCAAGTAGCATCAACAAAAACAACAAACTCACCATGCGAAGCTCTCCACCAAGGCCAATTTCACCAATGAATGCAACCCCCTTTGGAATGGGGAACTCCAAGAAACTGGAAACAATAAAAAGACCACCAAGATAATAAATAAATACAACAAAAAAAAAAAACTAGAATATTTTTTTAAAAAACAGAAGCATTCATGTTACAGTCCTAGCTAACATATTGAACATTAGTTATAAGAATTACTTCCCCAAACAAGAAGCATAAAATGGTCAACAATAACCACTCAATCCACATATTATATGGGGCATTGTCACTTTGTCAGATCAACTAGAATGAATATCATTTCAAATAAATTAGAACTTGAACCTGCTGCAAATTGCAGCTGCTATAGCAAGATCTCCAGCAGTCTCTGTCACTGTCAGTCCACTAACAACATTCAAAAACACAGCCTGTTGTATGAAGGCAAGAAAAGGAAATAGAACATAAGAATACAAAAAATATTTCCATTAGTTAAATTATTAGCATTAAAGAACAGACTTTATAACTGGTTTATATAATACGGAGTGATTGACAAATGTTTTGGAAGACAATGGAATTCCAGATGAACCTGAACAGGTTACAAAGACAAGCCAGTAGGGAAAATACTATTTGTTGTGGTTCACACTTCACACCAATCTAATTCCTTATTAATTCACAGAAATTCTACAACATTTAACTTCTAAATTCTCAAACCAAGAGACAGATTAAACTCACCACCTCCCAAAGAAAAGTGAGATAGGTTGTAATAGTCCATTAAGAAAAGATGGTTAAAGGATTAAAATTTAGAATTAAAGATATTTGAGTCTTTTGGAAACAACACTCCTTTGAGTCGTTTTCTTCAATTTCACTGAGATTACATGAGTAACTTAACCCTCTTAATTCATGAAAAATATGTTTTCAAGTGTAGTTTTCGTTTATGGATAAGCCATGATTTTGTGCTTCAGTCCCATTTCTGCTGCAGTAGATAATGCATGTTCACTATGTTGTAAAGGAAAAGGCAGTGTCTAGTTCAGATCCATCTTTGAGAGCCATTTACCATTTGTGCTCTTGGGGATGTCCAAGCTTTAGAAGAAACTCTACCCAATTTTTTGTTGAATTTTGACATGTCCTCCTTTAATTTTAGTAAATGGTCTAAAACCTTGTTAGGTTAGTCTGTCGGTCCTTTGTGCCAGTCACTGCCCTTATTTTTGGGTCTTGAGTGGATCATTGAGCTTATATAATTTTGTTATTCTTGAAACCAAAAGAAGAGATCAATATATTAAGAAAAGTTAGAGAAAAGATGGGCATATTTATTGACACCCCCATCCTTACCATTAGCATCGTACTATTATATCATAACTTTTTTTTTTTCATTATCTGTTTTGATTTAGTTGATTTATTCCTGTGAAAAACATCTATTTTCCCGTTATGTGTGTCTTATGATGGAACAGGACAATACACAGAGTTACATGAACAAGAGAGTCAGAAGGATATATCATATTTATAAATCAGCTTACATTTTCTTGGAGCTGAAGACCTGCTTGCTTCATAAGAACCTACAGTTCAAGAACAGTGCACACCTTATCAAATTTCTTTGCAGCAGATCATATTTAAAACAATAAAATCAATATCAACTTCAAGCATCCTTTCATTCATTTTCACACTAAGATAAAGGAGAAAATATTTACCGTATGGTAAGCAAGGATAAGATTGTTAATAAAATCATCAACAATAACGTACACATTTAATCATATTAGCTTTGTTTGCCTGGATCCCATTAACTAGCCCTGAACTTGAAGCTGGTACTGGGCACTGTGAAAGGCAAAGTGCCTGTAAAATACAATTGAAAACTGGTTGAATAAATTTTTTAATAGACACATAATAAGAGATACACAACCACAATAAAGGGATTAGAGCTTTGAGGATTCAACTCAACAAGTTCCAACAAAAGTGTCCAGATGATAAGTAAAGATTGTTGAAACTTATAAGTAATGTTGTCAAAATCGAAATCTTACCTAGGATCAGGAAGGGTGTAAAAAATCATAAAATAGATTATAGAATCCTACCAAACATATAACACTATACTTAAACATATACATAAGAATTTAAAATAACATAGATAAAGAAATTTACCTCTAAATCACATAATTTAACTGACAATTCATGGCATTTTCTAGATAAGAAAAATATATAAATATATAACAATAAAAAACAAGAAAATAAATAAGTTTAAACATCTAACTTGATGCCTTAAAGTAATAATACATTGAAGACCGAATAAAACTTGAACTGAATAAGGAGAGATTTAGACAAAAATAAAAAATAATTGGAAACCAAAACCAAAAGGACACAGAAAAAGAGAAAAGGAAAATGATAGGAGAACAACTTGCAGTGCAGGACAGTAACAAAACAAAGGGAAAAACAGAGGCAGAAAATGCAACACAAAGGTGGTCAAAGAGTTTGCCAAAGACATCAAAACCTAACCAGAAAACACCAGCTGCTCAAAGCCACTGGAGAGCACTGAGTTGATTGGTCACACAATACTAGAGGGTTAGAAAAAGGAGAGCACAAAAATGTGAAGACACATGAATGATTTTTTTAAACCCATTTAAAGCCTTTTTTGTTTCGACCTAAAAACTACAAAATACCCCCCTAATACATGGTTCTGCAACTTTTAAAAATTAGGATAATTTTGGGTTTTCAAAAAATCTCATAGTAGCAGCAAATAAGTGCAAAAAGCTGCAATTTCCACCATAATAGCATCCGCAACAGCTTCGTTACTGAAACGCAATGCAACAAAATAGGGCTGACCACTGCAACGCAATGCATAGTGGTATCAGACCCAAAAGCTAAGATTGGTTCTAATCATAGATCCTATGATCTTAGGGAGAAAGATCATGATTCACTGCAATCCCAACATATTCCAATCTCACGTGATTATGATCACTAAGCCTCAAGAAGATTGTAGGATTGGCACAATTTTGACGACACTGCTTGAAAGGCTTCATCAACATGTATTATTCACCATCCAAAAAAAGAATCTGCTATTAATGTATTTATCATCTAATACCAAAGCATACATCACTGCTTTTGCTTGTAATATATCCACGATTAAAGGCATGTGTAATGGTGATGTTTCTTAATAGAATTTTTAAATATTGAAGAAAATCCATGATAGCTTTTTAGTTTTTGATACAGTGACACAAGAAAATTACCTGAATTTCAATTAAAAAAGTTCTTGAACCATCCATTATTACAGCAATAGCAAGCCCAGCTAAAACAATTGAATCAGTGTGTTGTTCAGTGAGAAACATTTCACTGGCATTTGAAACAGGCCGGAGTCCTGACTGTGACATCTCAAAAACTCCAAGCTGATCACATAAATCAAAGACAGAACAGATCAAACATCAATTTTCTCATATCATCACAATTGTAGAAGGTAAAATAAAAATAGAAGACCAAATACCATTGAAAAACTGCTATAATAACAAACAACTAAGGCACTCTTCTATTTAGTTAGACTGGGGAATGATAAGAAGTGGACATGTTAAATCTTTTACAATGGTATATAGTTTAAGTTTCAGTACTTTATGCAGTAAATTATATACATCATAAATCATCACGGCATCATGCCTCAATACTACAATTATTTAAACTATTTAAATGTATTGCCAGATATAAAAGATCAGGTGCATATGTAGATTAATGCATGGATTGCATGCATAATTAGCATAATATTCCTACTATGATAATGATTAGCATCTAATTTTTCTATATTCATGCATTTACTTGTCATTTCAGTATCCATTTTGTTTGCTTTGAACAGCTTATTGCTTATTCTGTGTTTGTATTGTAGGTAAGTGAATTTCCAAGAACTACGTAATAGGCAATAGTCATACCATACCTCATCAGTGGATCCAAACCGATTTTTCACAGATCGAAGCATACGATATGGAGAGCACCTCTCGCCCTAAGCATTAATATGAACAATTAGGACGAAGAAAATTGTAATGAAATTCGATGATTTCAACAACCCAACAACAAATAATATGGAGAAAAAATGTTACCAATAAAAATGGACATTTAGCTCAACTGTAATGTTGTAAAAATAACTAGCAATTATTTGAAAAAAGACCTAAAATGTTTAATGCCAAATACTTGAAAGTTGATAGTATATTGAATATTGATAGTCACAAATCAGCTTTACCAATTAACAACTATCCAAAGAAAGAACAGTATAACAAGGTACGAACTTCCATATACAAAACAGCATCAACGATATGCTCCAAGACACGAGGTCCCGCTATGTCTCCAGATTTGGTCACATGTCCAATCTAAAATATAAAACAAAAAAAAAAAGTGAAAAAGATCATCACAAGAGTCAACAATTCAAAGGCCATATTAAAAGACATGCCCAAAGATAAATTATAATGAAATACATCACAAATCACAAAGACTAAAAGCATTTTCACTTTAACAATAATAGCAAATGTAAATTGTTGCTCAACTGAGTAGGGGGATCAAACCATGAGTCGGAAAAAATGGAACTATCCAATCACTTTTCCTTTAAGAAAGTATATAGGGAGCAGAACTTTGACAATGCATTAATACATACAATTCACCACTTAAATATTATTCACAAAATTTGTAACAGCATGCTCACCAAAAAAACTGAGATGTTAGTCATTTTTGCAAATCGCATCAGAGCTGTAGTACATTCTTTCACCTGTCACGTACCTATAAAAGGTCATGTACCACAACCAGCATTTGACTTTGCTGAAAAATAAGGATTGGTAATGCACCTAGACAAATTTTTTATAAAGAAGCAGATAAAAACAATAAGGTTTGACAAGAGAAAGTAAACCATTCATTTGAGCAATTAAATAAAAGAAATATAAAATTAAGCAAGAAAGCAATAGAAAGTTACTATATCATGAGTTTACCCTTTTTTCCAAAGAAAAAAAACCTGTACTTGACATGATCATTATTTCCAACAAATAGAAAAAGGGTAAAAGTTAATTACATAAATAAATAATTCAAACTATGCCACGGCCCACCTGTCATAGCATTTTAAAAGAAAGTCAATAGATGTGGTGTGGGTAGTACAGCACAGTTAAAATATCCAAGACAAATGTAAGTTCTCTTCCAGGTAATTAAATTCAGCAGATTCCAAACCTGCATAACCCCTCCGGCGCTTCCCAGTATTGTTTTCAGGTAAGTAGTTTGTATTGAATCAACAACCAAAGCACGAGGGGAGAGACTGTTAGCTTTGTTCAATATGTCCTAACACCATGAAAAAGGGAAAGTAAAAACAACGTGAAAGTTGTCCTTGATAGTGTCAAGACAAAAATTTACAATAAAAATTCATTTATAAGAAAACACAAGCAGCCAAACTAATTAGCAGAAATCAAGACAGTATACCTCAATATCAGTACTTGAATACAAAAAAACATTAGATTTAATCCCAAGGCGATCAGCTCTAATGCCAATTTGTTGAAGGCTCTGTCAAATAGAAAAAATGCACGTTAAATAAAAATGTGTCAGATATCCTAAGGAACAGCTGTGAATCAAAAGCTAAACTACATTATTAACCTTAAACAGTAGTGAAATCATAGATTAACTATCTTCAGTTAATAGGAAAAAAAATACAAGATTTAGCATGCAGAGATACATGGACCAGGCCCACTAAAAGCAAACCTCTTCACCAGAGACATATAGAACTGAAGAATCATCGCCATCATTGCATTCTTCTGCTATCATTGCTGCAATCTTCCAACTCAACATCGCAATTGAACTAGACATTATTGACAGTTGACAGGACCATAAACAAAAGTTGATCAACAGGCTTTATATCCAATTTTAACATACCTGCAACAGCAGAGTACTCTTTCCAATACCAGGGTCACCGCCAACTAAAATCATAGATCCTTCAAAACCACAATTATAGATAAATTCAGCCACGAATAATTAAATTCACTTTTTGCTGAAGCAACGAGAGAAGTTGAATTAAGAAAGATATCATCATCAGACACTCGAAAATTGGATTGAACCTGGTACAAGACCTCCACCAAGCACTGTAGAAACTTCATTTCCAAAAGGACCAGAGCTGAAATCAAAGCAAACTGTAGAGTATAACACTTGAGAAAAGCACCATAACAAATTTTCATAGAAACAGTAGATTGATAAATACACCATGAACCTCATTTAATTACTTCAGAGAGAAGACTCAGCAATTACTTACTACACGATCAATTTTTAGATTAAAAGAAAAAGGGAACTTACAAAGGAATTCTCAAGTGGCGGTAATCGAATCGACGATTAACCTCATCCAATTTAACGGGGCGCAACTCATCGGCTCGTTGTGGGAGCCACAACCCTACTGCATCCTCGGAAACGGTTAATCCACCTCTGGCCTTATTATTATCAGCATCACTTAATTTGCTTTCGCTAAACTCTTTCATGGTTCCAGCTAAGTTACATGAGGGGCATGTTCCCCACCATTGCCCTGCACTGTACCCACAATGGTAGCAAACCCAATTAGTTTTCAGCTTCCCCTTTTTCTTCGTACCCGCTGCCGTCTTCAGGCTCAGCGCCCTCCCTCTAGGGTTTTCCTCTTCAAGTTCGCCTTCGTCGCTATGGTGCGCAACTAGGGTGTCGAAGACGTTTCCATAACTGCTCCAACCGTTAGTGGGTTGGTTCCTTGTGTTGTGGGTTTCATCAGAATCTGGGGTTGCGGAAGAGTAGCGGTGGGAAACGACAGATGAAAAAATGCGTTTAGGGTTGCGGAGGTGGAGTTTGTGGGTGATGAGGATCGTTCTTAGTAACCTCATGATGCAATCTCAAGTGTAGAGAATATGACTTGTTTTCGCATAAACCCTCTTCTATGCGTTTCTGGGTTTATGGGTTACCGAAACCCCAAACAAAAATGAATTTCAATTATGGCGCCACCACCCAACCCTTCAAATTCCAATTTCATCCTTCGAAAGAAGCTTTGTTAATGCTGATTGATTAATTTTAAAATAAATTTTTACAATGGACAATTTTAAAAAATTTATCAAAACAGATAGTTTTAACATTAAAATTGAAATAAGAAGCAAAACAAATAAGGGATTTTTTTCAATTTTTAAAAAGAAAATGAAAATAAAATTTATGTTAACAAATAATATTATATTTAAATTATAAAACATTTTAATGACTTTTTGAAACTACAGAACTTCAAATAATTATATATGTCAAAAACTATTGATAAATTTTTAAAATAACAAAAACCAAATTAATAATGTACTCAACTTTTTTCAATCACCTGTGAGTCTTGAGATTTACCGAAAGTGGCAGAAGTCAATGACACCAACATGATCTTGAATTATTGATTAATCACACAAACAAAGGGAGAGTTGTATAATGGAAGATTCGCCTTTTCAAGCTCTTCTAGTTGTAGTTATCTAATAAACTGAATATTAAAATTCATATTCTAAAGTTATTTTTTAGAATAATGTATTAAAACTATTAAACTATTAACCTCTTTGAAACAAAATCATTAAACTAAATATATATTCTTTTTATATAAACTTGTTGATAAGTATATATAAGAAAAAAATATAAAAAAATTATAAGTTAAAAATAATTTATTTACTTTTAATTTTTAAAATAAAATGAGAGTAAATTTTTTTTTAAAAATATAAATTAATTATAACTTATAAAAAATTTATTTATTTTTATATTATTTTTTTCTTATAAATACTTTTCTACAGTTTAACAAAATAAAATTTAAGATAAAAACAAACAAAGACTTTAATTACTAAAATAACTTTATTAATTAGGATGCTAAATGTGTTTATTAAAAATAAAAAAATTATTAAAAATTATGTTAAAATATATTACAATTTATTAGAAAATGTTAATGACATTAAAAAAAAAAAAACTTTTTACTTAGTCAGCATTTGCCTTACTAACATTAAATTAAAAAAGGGTCAGAATAACAACAATAACAATATAAAAAACACAGCAACAGCTAAGACCTCTATTGCTAAAATTAAACAACTTAGATAAGAACATGGATTTTCCAAATGTATGCGTTATTTTGCAGTTTCTGTTTCTTATTGGTAATTGCTTCGTTGTGAACTCAATCGAATCTTCGTTTCTTTTCATTTCTCTCTCTTCATAATTCCAATTTCCTATACTTCAAACACGGGTCAGTTCCTCTCTCTGACATGACCACTTTCCACATCACCATCGCCATTACATAAGACAAGAATCAGTGGCCAAGGTTTGTTGGTAAAGACATAATTTTTTGTTGAATACTTTCATTTAAGCCCAATTGTTGTTTTGGTCATGAGAGGGACAACTTGACACGCAACCGAAGCAATTGCCAAGAACAACGTCCATCCTTTTTAAGTAAAGCTCCAAAGTCAGAGACTTTTCTGTACTTGGCACTTGAGTTGTTGCCTTCTCATGTTAATTTGTGTTGGGTTTTGAGTATTGATCTTCCTTTACTCACTTCTTTGTTTGTTTCTGTATTTAAATTTTGAATTGAGTTTTTGCTTATTCATTTAGTTTTCGTAGTGATGGATCACGTGCTATTTATTTATTTTAACTATTGGTTTCAAGTTCTTGTCTGTAGAATCAATCTAACTAGGGAGGTACTAGTAAGCCTCGCATGATTTGATGTGATTCGTATGAATTGAATGGTTACTGGTCTTGTGTATATTTGGTTTTCCTAATAAATATGTGGACTTTGTTTATATGATCCTTGTTGTGTTTCCAGGCATAAACCATAAATGAATCTTATGCCGCCTTTTCCGTTGGTTTGAGATGGATGATGATGAGGAGGAGGAGCTATGTGATCTTTCTCTCTCTTCATGGATTAAAGAGAAATTAGATTAACTGTGATGATGATGATCAGAGAGGAGAAGGGCGTGAAGCCTATTCTACTGAAAGTTGGTTTGGCTTTGGCTCTTTCGTTTGCTGGATTTCTCTACTCACGCCTTAGACCCAGAAGAATCAGGCCCTCCAAGCCACGCAAGGGGCGGCGTTCTGGTTTGTTTCTGTCTCACACCAATATTTTCTCTCTCTCTTTTTACCCCTTTTGTTTTCTTGAATGATGAATCTAAGTGTCTTTTCTTTTTTTGTCTTTCTCAGGTCATGGGAGTATAGTTAATTTAGGAGGAGGTATAGGGGCAACATTAAGTACTTGCAACACTGTTTCAGAGGGAAAATTTTTATGTACTGTAAGTTCCTTTTTGATTCAAGTATATGCTCTGTTACAACAGAAAATATTACCCTTTTGCAACTAGCAATTAACAAAATTAAGATACACACTACATAAAGTTAGCAAAACTTTCAAGATTTTTTGAAAAATAAAAACTAAAAAGGGCTATTAAATTTCCTTTTATAGCAGGAAGAAACATGCATCGACAAGGTGATAAGTGACAATTCTCCTATTGCTCTTTCTCCTGACACTACACAAAAAGGAGATAAAGATGAGCTCCTCCTGCCTGAATTTAATGATCTTGTTAAGGAATTAGACTTTGGATCCACCGTTGTTGGAAATTCTTTTAGAAAAGATATGGAAGCACCAAGTTTAAAAGTAGAATCTGCTAAAGCATACACAGGACCTGAGAAGGATGACTGTGAGCAAGAGATAAGTCAACTCAGGAACATGATTAGAATGCTTCAAGACAGGGAACAAAATCTTGAGGTTCAACTCCTTGAGTACTGTGGTCTTAGAGAGCAAGAAACAGCAGTAATTGAGCTCCAAAATAGATTGAAGGCAAGTAATATGGAGGTAAAGATGTTCAATCTGAAGGTTAAGACCTTACAGTCTGAGAATCGAAGGTTAGAGGAACAGGTTGCTGATCATGCAGAAGTGGTGGCTGATCTTGAGGCTGCAAAAGCGAAAGTCAAACTGCTCAATAAGAAAATTAGGTATGAAGCTGAACAGAATAGGGAGCAGATCATAAGTCTTCAACAGAAAGTTGCCAGGTTGCAAGACCAAGAGTGGAAAGATGCTGCTTGTGATCAAGATATTCAAATAAAGCTGAAAAAGCTTAAGTATCTTGAGTGTGAAGCAGAAGAATTGAGGAAATCTAATTCAAGATTGCAGATAGAAAATTGTGACTTAGCTCAAAGATTGGATTCTACTCAGATCCTTGCAAATGCAGTTCTAATAGACCCAGAGGTAGGGAGATTATAGTCACATACTCTCTTCCTTCGGTTATTAGACTGCAAATTTTACCTTATGCTTTTTGAAATGCAGGCAGATGCTGTGAAGCAAGAAACCGAGTGTCTTAAACAAGAAAATGTGCTCTTGATGAAGGAAATTGAGCAAATACAATCTGATCGGTGTGCAGATCTTGAGGAATTAGTATATATGCGATGGATAAATGCTTGCTTACGATATGAACTAAGGAATTATCAGCCGCCACCAGGTAAAACAGTTGCAAAGGACTTGAGCAAAAGCTTAAGCCCCACGTCTGAGAAGAAAGCCAAGCAACTTATACTAGAATATGCAAATGCTGATGCACCAGGGAGCATTGTGGACTTTGATATAGACCATTGGTCCTCCTCACAGGCTTCTTCACTCACTGACTTCGGAGAGTGTGATGATTTTTCTTCTGTTGATAATTCATCCACTGCGAGAACTAACACCATAAGCCAGACTAAACTTTTTAGCAAGCTTAGGCAACTGATACAAGGTAAAGATTGTAGCCATCACCATAGTCATGTTTCGTCACAAGAAAAATATGGATATCAAGAAGATAGCTTATCTACACGGCCGAGTACATCAACTGCAACCAAGGATTTTAGGAGTGAGTTTGTAACTCCCATTGTCACATCTAGAGCATCCCTTGATTTCTCTCGGTTGATGACTTTGAAGGAAGGAGATAGGAGGAATTCAGATAGCACTTTCATGAAAAGCTCAAATAAATTCAGGGGACATGGAAAAAGTTCTTTCTCAGATTCCATAGGCATGGAGAAATATGATTTGGAGAAATATGCAGAAGCTTTAAAAGGTTCTAGTGTGACTGCTAGACATCAAAGACGTAGAAGATCAGCATCATATAGTTAGTTTGTTAAAACTTAATATTTGCAAAGAGATTTTACCTTTTCCGACTGTGAAAGAAATTTTGGTGGTACAGTAGACAGTGTAAATTAGCCATTAGGTCCAGTTCAGACAGCATGTGTGTATCAAATAAGAATGCATTTTCAATAATTGGCAGTGTAACACTCATCAATAGTCTTTTAATTCAGATTATCGCAGTACAGCACTTTTTAACATGGAAAATGATATTGGTTGCATTGCTTTTTAATAATTGCTTTACGAGTTGTGACTTCGTACAATGTCATACCTTGTATGGGTGACATGATTAACCAGTTATCACGTTTTAAAATTAAGTGAATTTGCAGTGAGAACCGTGAGCCACTTCATTTGTCGTGACTTCTGTAACTCTGTTTTAGTACAGTATAGCATTCTCAAATTGTTAAAGTTTTGCTAATGTGAACTTAGCTTTAAATAACATCACAACTAGATTTGTTAGCATTAATAGCAAATTGAAATTTCTTTTAGTATAAAAACTTTTGCATGTAACTTTTAAAGGAGACACGTGGTTTGATTTCTGTCCAGTTTCCTTCTTTAATTTTTAACTTAGTATTTTCATTGATGGAAAGAGAAACACATTTCGTGTCGATTTCGTAGGAAGTTCCAAAGAGCAATGCTGACATACAACGGAACTACAATGTTACCCCTTTAAGGCGACTACTTCACGACTCAAGTAAGAAAATCACATGAAAGTTAATATTAATAAAAAGCCCACAAGTGTATACAAGAGAGCTTGTCTTACAGGGGAAGAGTTGCTTTTTGCAACTTTTTCTTTTCTTTTCAAACCTCACAAAAAATAATAATTTTTTAAAATATCGTTTATGATAATAAAACAAGCTTTTGTTTGTATTATTTTCAATTTTAGTTTGAAAATTTATTTTTAGAAATAGTTAATTCCACAAGTATGAAAAACTAATTTTTGAAAATAAAAATCTTAATTTTGAAAAATTATTTCTAGAAATAATTACTAATTCTGGAAATTAATTTTTGGAAGTGTGAAATTATAAATTTAGAAATTAATATAATTTCAAATGTTTATTTTCAGAATTTTGGTCAGGACCAATTTAGAAAAAAAAAATTATAGTGGTGTAAAGGGAAAAAAAGTTGGAAAAGCAACCCCATTTATAGGTTATATAAACCCTAAATTCAATATGGACTTGAACGTAAAAGCCCAAAAAAATAAAAGAACTAAAGAGAATACAACCCCTTGGTAGTAAAATAATCCATGACCAAATAAAAAACTCTTAACTATAAAATCAAAATAAACAAATAATCTCAAAACAAAATTCCTAAATAAATCAAATCGATAACCCAGTTTATCAAAAACTCAGGCTCATAGCAATTATGCTGTCATCGGATCTCGCTCCAAGTCCTAGCAATCATTGTTTGTAAGAAAAATTTAAAATTTTATTTGAGTTCATGTCTATTACTATGTTCATTATTAGGCCGAGTCCGTGGCTATGTGCTTATGAATGAATTTGGATAGTGTGGAAGAGGTTATTCATTCAGAATTTGTTACTTTATGGTGAAGGGCAAAGCAATATCGAATTCATAAACAAATATAGTTTCATTCCAAATTTGGAGCTCGGTGTTCCTTAACTTTCCCAATGGCCAAGACTAAATTTTGGAGAAAGGATAACAAAGTACTATGATCACACCACTGTACTTCAAAACGAGTTAATGTGAACTTTCCTATGATTTTATTGAATAGAATACAGATTTCTCTAGACTCGAGAAATAACAAACTTTAAGTGATAAGGGCTATGCCTTGTACAATTAATGCATCGGCTAAAACTTGGTTAGCAGCTTGTGAAGGATGAACACTATCCCAAAACACATATTGGGTTGCATTGGAACAGGTTCCTAGTGAATTTGGATTGCACAATAAAGATGTTGTCTCCACTATCCCAGTTCCACAGCAACCTCTCCTTGCCTCCACAAAACCTATTGAATATTATCTCAAGACAGTTTAGAAGAATAAAATGGCATCCTTTTACAGAAAGAGATGAAAACCAATAACCATAGGTCAATTGTATTCTAGTCCAAGTATTGCTTACCAAATTTTGAAGGGGACTGAACAAGCTCATAAAGGGGTTTGAAAATATCAAAGACAACAATTTTAAGACCAGGAAGTTGCTTTTGGAGACTTGCTGCAGTTGAGTTGATTTGCTTGTTAAATCCTTGGGAATCATTGTTGATTCTTGAGACACAACCATTCTCAAGCAAACCAAATAGGGTTTTTGCAGCAGGTAGGCAACCCAGAGGTGGGAGTGATGTCACTCCAACTTTCCTGGCTCCCAGTCTATACAAGTCCTGTGTTCAAAACAAAAGCATCTTTAAAAGGTCTTTTTTTTTTTGTGAAGGTGTGGTATTCTAATGTTGATTACTTCATCATGCTTAATTGCTTATGAGTTATGTCTTAGTTCATGTTTGGTTGATATTAATTTTGAAGAAATAACCACTTACTTTACAAAAGTCTTCTCAAGAAGTTAGCAAAGAGATAAAATTGTTTCTTCACAATAAGCTAAGCCGAACACACACTTGTTATTCAAATTAATAGCCATAGTTTGTAGAGTAACAATAGCAAAACAAAGTACCTTAATAAAGCTTGAAAATGCACCCACAAGGTACGCAGAATAGTGATCAGGACTGAAGACTTTGTTGAGCAAAGGATTGACATAATAGTTTTGCACGAAGTCACTACTGCCAGCACTCAATATGTACAATGCATCTTTAATAATTAATGCTGCTTTTTTACTGCCTGCTATCCTGGCCAGCTTGCTTTGGTATTCCTTGTAATATCTTAACTGTTGGGACAATGGAATTGCATTCTGCCAAAAAGAGAGTTAAAAAAAGGTGAATTTTCTAAAGTTTGTGTGAGTATGTGTGTCTATGTTGGTCGTTCCAAATTTACATTCGAAATAGCAGCCTTTTCATCATAACCAGAGGCAGCTGAGGCAAAGTTTGCTCCAATAAGAAGATTTTTCCCTGATGCCTGAGGGCTAAGATATGCTGGTGCGTAACTCTTAAAACCCAGTGTTTCAGCTGCAAAAGGAAACATCATTTCAACAGGAATGAAACTTATGTTATACATATGAATATATGTGCAACATTATTATCCAAGCTAAGCAAGTTTCTAATTTGATGCTATTCCCACACCAGTAATATCTGTAGCTAATTTCCCGTTGCAGAACCTCCCAGTGGGTTGATGGTTGACAAAGTCCCTTCCATAGGGAGGGTAGTTAGCCTTGAAAAGGGTGGGAAGATAGTCATTGTTCCCCACATCTACGGCAGAGTCACCAAATGTAAAGATTGCTGGCACAAGGGTATCTTGTGCATTCCCACATGCCAAAAAGACTAGCGCAAAGAGCACAAGTACTTCTGTGCTACTGCTATTCATCTTTTTTTGGCTAAAAATGAAATAAGGTCATGGAGGCTTTCTGCAGTGTATGCATGGTGAATTTATAGTAATAAGTTAGGAACTAATTTGGCGACTGAAATGATCGTTCATCACCCCTATTGATGAATGAAGATTGAAGTTGGGAATGGCTATTAAATGAGAACACGTTGAGTGGTTAAATCTGAAGATCATCCTCGGATAATTTTCTGTTTTCTGAGACCATTCGTTTCGGCCTTACACGTGATTTTACTTTCTAGTCACACACTCTCCTCTCGTATCTGTCAACATTATTTCTTTTATTTACTATGGTGGTCGGTGAGTAAAGTTGTTGAAATTTTGTGCTTAGGAGGAAGCATACAGTAATCTTGGTCACGAGGGTGCTGCATGCGCTGGAGTTATTCAGTTGATGAGTTGGCACTTGGCAGTACATTTTTTTAAAACAAAAAATGATGAGTAAAGTTGAGACGTTTTTCAACCAATATAAAATGGTTTTATATTATCATCTAATATCATGTTACATATTTCACAGGGTTTGACCTCTTTTGTACACTATAGAAAGCACATTCTTGATCATTGTCTTGCATCCAGGCCATAATACACATTCTTGATCACTATATAAAATTGGATATATATAGCCAAAAAATAAAAGGAAAAAACTAGAAAACAGATTCTTGATCATTATCTTGCATCCGGGCCATAATCAGCTTCAAGATCAACAACATTCATTGAAAACGAGTTTGAATTAGAAATTTGCTCATTGATGCCTTTTTGTTCTCGGGCTGCTTCCATTTCTAAGCACTCTTTCAGTTCTGTGACAATGTTACTCATTGATGCTCTCTGGATAGAAATTGGAGGCACACAAGCTATTGCTGCCTCCACAGCCTTCCACATTGAACCAAAATCAAAATCTCCTTGCATCTTTGGATCAACAATTTGTCGAATATCTCCTCTTGGAAGAAAGTGGCTAACCCATTGCACAATGTGAGTGTTCTCATGACCTTTTATTATAGCTGGCTGCCCAGTTATTAGCTCCAAAAGCACAATACCAAAACTATAGACATCACTTTTCTCGGTCAGCCTACTGGATGTGTAGTATCTGTAACAGGAAACTCATCTGAATCATTGACTTTAATAAGCATAAATAGGTCGAAAAAAGTTTGTGTCCAACTTAAATCCTTCTTTATGTCTTGTATTGTAATTTTGAGTGCGGGCGGGCCTAATCTAAGAGTGTGGGAAAGAAAGGGCTTAAGCTTGAGTGAGTTCTTTATTTAAAATGCCTAGGTAATTTAAACTCATAGTCCTCTTGCTTATATACCTTTTTAACTTGTTTTTGTATGACAAAACTTACTCTGGATCAAGATATCCAAATGTGCCAACAACTGCAGTTGATATGTGACTTTCATTTTCAGTTGATAAAAATTTTGAGAAACCAAAATCAGCAACTTTTGCTCGGATTTTCTCGTTAAGTAAAATGTTTGCAGTCTTAATGTCTCTATGGATTATTGGCGGCTTGCAACCATGATGCAAGTACTCAAGACCTACACATATAGATTCCAATATCAGTAATTCAATATCCTTTAGTCACGGCAAAGTAAGGAATGAACTAAGTAACATAGTTGGTGCCACTGCTAACCTTGAGCAGCATCAACTGCTATCTGAATCCTCTGTCTCCAACTCAATGGTTCTCTCCTAGCATCTACTCAGACGCAAAATAGAGTATGATTTCAAGTTTACTTGAATATAGTCCTTAATCAAGTGATTAATCAGATAACAAATAAATATACCTGAAAGATACTCCTCCAAGTTCCCATAAGCCATGTATTCGTAGATGATGGCCGTGTGTCCAACTTCATTACAGTATCCAAGAAAGGAAGCTAAGTTCCTGTGATGAACACGCATTAAGAGTTGAGCCTGCAAAATAAGTGGAATGTATTTTAGCAATAAAAATTCTCTAAATTCAAAATATACCTTTTAAAATTTCTATGGAGAGAAACGTGCCTCAGTCTGAAACTGCTGAGAACCTTGAGGTGATTTTGGCATGAGAATTTTGACAGCAACTTGTGTGCCATCATTTAAAGAACCGTAATAAACTATTCCATATCCTCCCTTCCCAATCAATTTCTCAAAGTTATTGGTAATAGCCAGTATCTGAGAGTACGTGAACTGTTTACTGTCTGTCTTCAGTACAACTTCTTGGCTTGATCTCACAGCTTGCTTTGATGCTGAACAAAGTGATCAAAGTTCATGATTATCAAAAAGTCACGTCCTTTACATTACATATCGTAATTTAAATGTACGACTTTTTTTCACTTTTATTAATTAAAATATTTCTTAGTCATTTTGAATTGCAAAATGGTAGTGTGGGCTTTGCATAAGAGGAGTTTATTACATTTTGAAGTCAATGACTATGATAGACACCCTCCACTTAGCTCCAAAGTAATGTATATATGTATGTATATATTGTTTATTTTTCAGACCTGATTTTCTGTTGCATCTCCGTCTCCAAATGATAGTAAGTACAATACTCAGTACAATTAAGAAGACCACTAATGAAAGAATGCCTGCAACAAGTGGGAAAATATTCTTTTTGTCCTCTTCACATGGGGCCATCAGGCAGAGCTCCGGATATCCATCCACCCTATGGTCATATCAATTTTATGTAAGAGCTTGAAGAAGGAAAGAAAAATAAAGTCACAAGAAAGGGTTAGGTCCACAGCAGCATGTGATTGTGTGAAGCTTTGGTCAGTGAATAACTTATTAACACGATGATTTTAAATGAAAACAAACCTTAATAAAAGTGAACCATTTTTTGATCTTTCCTTGAGAAGTGAAGGAATTTCACCTGAGAACCTGTTCCCTGATAAATTTCTGCCAAGATAGCATATATCAATTGGCTTATTTGATTTTCCAGTGAGAAATATCAGATACGAAATCTATATAACTTACAGGGTCTTCAAGTATTGCAGTTGTGAAAAGTCAGGCAGTGATCCTGTTAAGCTATTGTTTGATAAATCCCTGAAAAACAAAGATTTGTTTTTGTTTAAATTAAAATGATTGTAGACTAATAATTGTTGCTGAAAGAATCCATGTCAAATGTTAATTATAATCTCTAGGGAACAAATATTCTGTTTTCCTAATTTGGAGGGATTCGAGTCATGCTGTGGCTAACTTAATACTCACAAGGATTCTAAGAATTTGAGCTCCAAAAAGGATGCAATTATTGTGCCACCTAATCCACTGGAGGCCAGGTTTCTGCATGCATACAGTTAAATATGTTGGTCAAATGTTTATTGAATGAAAATTTGAATTTTGGAAAACAAAACTTACAATGCAGTTATTGTGGGCGAATCATAACCATTATTGCTGCAGTTTAGACCATTCCAAGTGTATTTCAGTGGTGCACAAGGATCTCCTTGCCATGATTTACCCAACGACGATGTCCACATGTAATGTCTTTTGATGTCCATGATAGCCTTAACTACAATTCCTCACAAGCATATGATGTCATTGCCACTTATCTCTGGTTACCAACTAGTGTAAACGGTCAAGTAAAGAAACATGAATGCTTTATAGGTTTATTAAAAATTCTTACTATTATGTTCTAACTTTGAAAACACACACAAAAAAGGAAATACAAAGAAGCAAGGAAGAAACAACTAACCATCTTGTTGGTTTGTAGGTGAATGCAAGAATTCCTTAACAATGTAAATCTCCATTGCATTTAGCATGGGAGGAAGAGTTGAATTTGGTTTCTTGTGCATAGAGAATGTGAGCTTACTTCCCCTAATGGACTGTTCACTATATATTGTAGTTGAATGCAAATACTTGGGACTTACAGATTCAGCCCATAAATTTCCATTCAATGTAATGTCAAATTCCCTTTTTTCATTTTCCTGAAGCTCTTGTATTTCAGCAAAGTGCATGTAAACATAGGACTCTGAAGCAGGATATCCAGTGTCAAATTCAAATTCCAGGGAATCATTTTCATTTGTTGGCTTCACAGCACTTCTCATTACTGTTGATGGCAGATGATATGCAGTGTGGTTCAAGGAGTCAATGATGAAGGAAGTATTGATTGGTGTAGAGTCAGGTAAGTTGTAAGGGTACCACATTCGATCATACACATCTTTGTCAAACCTACATGTTATCAAATAACATAGAAATCAAATCATAGAAAGTCAAATTCAATTTTTATCATAACACATAATAGAAGTTGAATCACAATGGTTTATCTAGATACTTGGCTTAACATCCTTTAAATTGCTAAGTGCTTACATATACAACAGATAGCTTCATTGATAAGTAGCTCACCTCACTATTTCATCGGTTGTTGAGCCAATGTCTAAACGTCTATATAAAGCTAAGGGTCCAGACTTGGTTCTATAACTGGAATGATCAAAATGTCTCACCTCCAGTGCTGATATAAAAGGGGTTCCCATATCAGTGTTCAATAAGCAAACATATAAATCATCCATGGATGGAACGTGTAAAATCTCCTTGATTACCACATGAGTGGCATTGTTAAACATCACAGAGTCCCATAAATTAACCCCAATATAAAGATCAAATTTTGGCAGCTGATCCAAGTCATCATAGTTCCCATACATGAAAGAAGCTCTGATCAAGTAAATCGTATTTTTCCCTTCTGGATGTCTTAGCGTGTAGCAATTCCTCTTACCCTCAGGAAAGCTTCTCACAGTTCTGAAAGTTCTTTGGGTTATTTGAGAAATGAACTTGAAGGATGTGTTTCTGCTTGTTCCGGTTTGAATATACTGTGTATCCGAAGTGTAATGAATCTGAGTCTTGTCATCAGTATAGGCTAGGTCTCCTGGTATCCCACAATCAATGCAAATAGAGCCTATATTTAACACCAGATCACATCAGAAAAGTTTAGGGATGTAATAGCAAAGATTGTAGTACTTCTCTTTAACCCGTTATGTTTTGTTTTTTTTTTTTTTTTTATGTATTAAAGTAAATAAAAATTATCAAGACAATTTTTTCTGCAAGCTCAGAGAAGAGAAAATCCACACTCACCAGTAACATCATCTAGCTTCCTTCTTTGTTGTTTGTGATGCATATAATTTTCGTCTGTGGCCATAACTATGGACTTTCCAGTAAATTCTGCAACGGTATATGCAAGGACACACCACACCATGCAGCTCCAAGTCCAATGGCATGTCCATTTTCCAGCCATGCAATTTCAGAAACAGTTCACTGTTTGATATAGGCAAACGTTTATATGTTTTGTGATAAGAAGAAGAAGCTAAGCTATTGATTGTAGAAAAGTACGGAGTGGTTGAGGAATTTATAATTAATCCAGTCTGTATAGGAGGAGGTAGTTTATGACACTATGTTGATGTTTAAACTTCGACGTGTATTGAATCCATGAATTAGACAGATTTCACAGATCAAGTAAGCTTAAGTTACTCGTTAATGGGAAAAAAAATCTCAGTAATAATATGTATAGTCACCGATGATACATGATTTTTACGAGACACCTAGAGTATGTTGCTCACTATAGACCCTTGTTATTATTGATTATAGTACCTGTATGAGTCTCATTATTTGTGGATCCCACAAAATGCACGTGTCTTTTCTCTCTTATTGCACTCATCTATTACTGTAAAAATAATTAGAGGAGACAAGGCAGTATTCAGTATTAACACATATGATCACCGTAATTTGGGTCACCAGTAGTCATGCAAATGGATTTAGATTCTACGTTAATCCAAAATTTTAAGGCAATAGGTAATGGGAAACTATCCACTTGTACGTTATTCAACTTCTGTATTGTTACCAAATATGAGATTTTTTTCACTTATATTTGATTTCCAAATTAATGATGACATCATTTTATAGAAATAATATATAACATGATATCATACCAAAAGGTTTAAAGTAAAAAATGGAGACTAGAGATTGTCAACAGCTGCAATTGTGAGGCATCCTTGCCAAGTTTAGGGGACCAGTGACTCTATCAACTTTATGGAGCTAAGATGTGGACAACTATAAATATCAGTTTTGCCAACTATATACGTATATATATCTGTGTGTTGCGAATTAATTTTTATTGTTATTTTTATTGCGTGTCTTGAAAAAATAAAATAAAAAATAAAAATCAATTAAATTTAAAATACTTTAGATAAAAATCAAATCCATTAAATGGTAAATAAGAAAATGAATAAAATTAAATTGAATGACTTCTCAGTTTTCATTAACTCAATTCATTCCGTAACACTCCTAACTTTTTTGGTGCAGTGAAAGTGTCGATTCATAGATATTCGAAGGTGAATATTCAATTTTCAAACGGTGTAACTTTTCTGATACGACGGCAAGGAAATCTCTTCAGCTCTCAACGATCATGACAAGTGCATCTATACTTGTGTTTTCCGATTCTCTCTTTAATACATATCTCAAAAATTTCTAACTTCTTAAGACGCAACCTCTTATACAAGAACTAAGGAAAGTGATGTAAAAATAAATACTGTGCAACAATAACTTTTTAAGAGTGTGGTAAGTTAGGATAACCATTCTTGCATGCACGTACATGAATATGTAATATTTGAGCGATTTTTTGTTTAAATCCAATGTCTTGTATATATACGTAAAAGAGAGATCAAATTATAAATAAAAAATAAAAAATGAAAATGGAACATGAGGAATTCCTTGATACATTATCAAATTGACCCTCTTATTAAAACAAAACGTACTAGGGATATATGATAATTAGGATCTTATACATGAAAACTAGGATTCTAATACATGAAAAAGTTAAATCCTCATCATGGAGATTGACCAATGGATTGGTTTTGAATTGGGGAAGCACAGCACTGCTGGCAACAAGAGCCTGGGGGTGGTGGAGTGCAACACACACAAGCTGGACATATTGGGCTCTTCACTGCATAACAAAACGGAGTTCATTAGTTATCATCCAAACCATATATATCACTTGAAACTTTCAATTTAATTATGATCTCTAATCTATTGACGCATATTATAATTTTAATAACTAAAACTGGGACGATGCTTAATAATTACCTGCTAATGGAATGCGTACAGAGTCACATGGTGAAGGGGGAGAGAGAGCCATGGAAAAGAGGAAAATGGTCATCAAAGTAAACCTGAGAGAGTTGCTTGCCATTGCTGATATGTTATGTGCTTGTTATTGGAATTATTAGAATATGAAAGTGAAGCATATATATAATACTTTGTCAGGGATTAGCATATACGTGTGCATGTAATAAATGGATCAAGATCGTCTAAAAACAATATAGACAAATTAAATTTTAAAATTATTGTAATACTAATCAACCCTAATTTAATTTTTTCAAAATTTTAAATTTTGCTTCACTATAGCAATAAAAATATATATATCTTGATTTAAATGTTTAATTTCTATAGGTTTCTCTTTAATTTTAAAATTTATCTTTTAAATTTGTTTTATTTAATATAATACAATATAAAAACTAGCCAACAATGTTGAAATTCGTTTTTGAACTCTAGACAGTCTTCATCTTCATCCGTTATACGTTATTACGGATGCCGCAAGGTTTGAATTTGAAGGTTGAATTCCTCGTTAATAAATCATCTAACAGTGGGTTTTGCATACGGAGTTGACTTGATGTTCGTGAGAGCAGCTATGATTCGTATAGATGTCTTCAATTATATTTGCCGGTTGTGTTAGCCATTGAATTGATTTGCTTCTTCGAGGCAATCTACAAAAACATTAATGTAATTGTGTACAAATCCAAAAATATTTTAAATTATATATATATATATATATCATGATTATCTCACACCAATGTAATTTTAAAATTTATTACAACTTCACTCTACTTTATATGAAAGAATAAGATTAAGTATAAAAAATTTTAGACTTATATATATTAACGTAGAAAATAATATATATATATATATTTCACTTGAAACAATCATATTTAAATCATCTCACATTATTATGAATGATAACTTTTTTTAAGTAATTAACAAATCTATACTTACTAAAATTTAAATTTAAAATTTATTTAATTATTTTTTTAGTTTTATAAGATTTAACATTAATAATAATAATAATAATTTAATAGTTGAATTAATAAAAATAATATTAGTATAAGAGTAAAAACGTAACTTATATTGTATAAACTGATTTTTTTCATGTGTATAAAAGAAATGATTGATTAACTTAAATATTAAACTTAATAAAATAAATTTTATTAGTATATATTAAAATATTTAATAAATTAACTATTGATTCATAGGATATTATTCAAATATCTTGTATCTCAAATTTTGTATAATATAAAACATTTAAAAGTGAGTTGAGATTAAATCACACTAAACATCAAATTTAAAGTAAATTTTATCAATCTAATTTTTAAATTTAAATTTTTTATAAATTAAATTTATTATTAATTGATTAAAGTATTAAGTTATTAAAATTAAGTAATAAACTTGAAATAAATGAAAATTTTTAATAAAATAAAAAATAAAAGTATGTTTTTTCCTTTTAAAAACAGTTTCTTATTTTTAAAAATAATATATAATATAATTTTTTAAAAAAAAAAAATAGAATACTGTTTTTAAAAAGATAAACAAGCATACTCAGACTTTTTTTTCTTTTTTCTTTTTTAATATTATTCTACTTTGATTCTCACCGCCAAGAATCATGATAGTTAAAAATAAAAATAAAAAATTCGATGATCTCACTGTAATTCTTGAAATGGAGTCATACATAGTAACAAATATTGCTAAATAAAAGAAACATAAAAATCTTAGATCTTGAACAATTTAAAAAAACAACTTAATAACCTTTGAGTTGAAAAAAATTAACACAATCAAGAACAACTTAATCCTACAAAATATTCCACCAAATATTTAAATCAAGTTGAATATGATGACATATATTTTTTAATCAAATGATAAATCAAATTTGATTAATGTCTTAACAAAGTGGCAAGATTTCTTGTTGGAAGCCGTCAACTTAATTCTTGAGGACGGTGAATCTTCTTAAATAATCGGATAAAACTATCTTTATTATTTAACAAATATAAACATTTAAAATTCATTTGATATTATTTTTAATACAAAAATTATGAACTAATCATGATTTATAATTTTTATTTTTATGTTACCTTCTGAGTTATAATTTGATATATGATTTTTTATATATCACCTCTTGCCACTGTTTCAATGAAATTGAGTTAATTAAAAAAGAAAGTTGATGATATGTCACACACAAAATACCAATAAATAGGTCTCTCTCACACAGAAAAATAGATAACAAATTTGTGATTAGATTGATGTTAGATAAAAGGAAGATATTGTTGAATCATGAATGGTATGGAACAAATTTTAGTTATTATATAAAAGTGAAATTTCTTTCTCTCAAAATAACTTCTTGTCCTAAAATAATTTTGACTCTCCTCATTCATATATTTTTTTCATCAGTTAAAATCATTTACAATACTTTTTATTAAAGGTCATTCATATTAATTATTATTATTATTAGTTAAATTCCTTTTTAGGGATAAAGATGATGAAATTGACGATGATATTTGTAATGAATATGAATATACAACTTGCTTTAGGTTTTGACTTTTTCAAATCCTCTTCATTACAAAAAAAAATTGATTATTTCTTCGCTTACTTTATGGCAATTACTTTTGGATTAAATGAAAATTAGTTGTTCCATTGTCGCGTGACGTTCATCTTGCATCATGGACAAATTTTAAATGGTGTATACTAAAATTCGTATAATAAATTATAGGGGTTCCATAAGTTTATTACATTTAAATTTAATTAATTTCAGTGCAAATTTTTTTTGGATATATTTGGGTGAGGGTTTAAAAAAAAAAAAGAATGACATATTTTTAATTTTAAATTTAAAAAATATAAATTATTTACGATAATAAAATCAATAATTAGTACATTAAAATTATATTAATATATTAATTTATATTTTTTATATATTAAGTGCTATTTTTATTTTCTTAATCTTATTTTATTTTTATGTAAACTTTCCTTAGGATATGACGGGAAGTCGGGAAGTAATTATTATTTGAATAACATGATTTTCTAACATAATTGGAGAAAATAATTATTTAATTTTTAATTGTGAATGTTATTTATTAAAAATAATTTTATTTGAATTAGATAAGATCACTTGTGACAATAAAAATATATTTTCAAATATGTTTGTTTACTTATTATTTAAATAACATAAATATGACATATTTTTATGACTTAAAAAAAGTATCAGTGATAGGTTATTTTATACGGAGTGGAGGGGAATCTTTTAAATAATCACTCTGAAAATTTTCTAAATACTTAAAAGTACAAAAATATTTTTTTAATGTTATAAAATTTTAAAATTCAATTAGTATTTTTAAGGATTTTTGTTTTTTAAATAAAGAGGGGTTTCAGAAGTCGATTTAAATATTATCTTTTGCCACTCATACTTCCACTCAATTTGACAGAGTTTTGATGGGATGTCACCCGCAAAGTGCTGAGAAATTACGTAAATATAAAATACAGTTTCAACTTTCCAGTTGCTTTAACCAATAAGTGTATGTTTAGTAACATAATATTTTAATGAATGATATATTATTTTAAATATAAAAAAATAATTATTATGTTATTTAAATGATGTAATATTTTATATACTCAATGAAATAACTTTTTTTTTATTTGAGAACAATAAATGTGAAAGTTATAGACATAACTATTTTAATCAATATTTATTTTGTTCTCTAAAATCAGAAGTGACAAATAATATTTCACTTTAAATGTAAAAAATAAAATAAAATTCAATAACTTGTTCCTGTTAATTTCGATGTATCTTCACTTATTTTATCTTTGACATATTTAGGATAACATTCTTGAGATTAGTTAGTGTCAACATGACGAGGATAATTATATATTCCTATTCAAACTTTGTAATGAATGTGACTAATTTGGATTGTTTTATATTTCATATTTACTCAAAAATATGATTTTAAATCTTATATGACAATATATATTCATTACATGAGAATATGTAAAAGCAAATCTAAGCACATTTGTACCATTGATTTTATTATTATTATTATTATTATTGTCTCATGATGCATATAGTTTAATATAACAAGGAAACGTTCAGCATTTGGGAATCGATCAGTATCTAAGGAAGACATGTAGTTGACATTGACTACGTCGCCAAAACACAATTCCTTTTCTACTATAAAGTCAGAACATTGGGAATAATATCGTGTATTTGTCATTAGCTATAGAAGGTGACGAGAAATGAAAATGTGGACGAGTTTGGTGCTTGCTCTTGTGGGTGCTCTAGTTTTTGCAGTCCTTATTCAAGCTCAGGATCCATCAGGTTTTATAACAGAACATGAACCTCATTATATCATTTATTTAGTTAAATTTTAGCTGAAGCATGAAATGAAATCCCTTGCATATTTTATTTTATTTTATTATGTTATAGGATTCATCAGCATAGGGTGTGGAAGTCCAGAAGGTGTCAACTTTACTGAAACTACGAAAACGGGCATAAATTATACTTCAGATGGGAGTTACATAAATACTGGTGTAAGTGGGACAATAATAACTCAACTCCATAGTGTCTATCAGCGACAAATGTGGCATCTAAGAAGCTTCCCTGAAGGAATAAGGAACTGCTACAAAATTAACATCAAAAGAGGTTCTAAGTATCTGATTCGGGCTAATTTTTTATATGGAAATTATGATGGCCTTAATAAGTTACCAAAGTTTGATATTCTTATTGGGCCTAACCGGTGGGATTCAGTGAATATAGAAAGTGCATCAACTGACGTAGAGATGGAGATCATACATGTACCTTCACTGGATTATGTACACATCTGCCTGGTTAATACAAACTCTGGGATACCATTTATATCATCTCTAGAATTGAGGCCTTTGAAAAATGACCTTTATGTCACTGTTTCTGGATCATTGGAAACTTACTCTCGCTGGGATTTAGGCTCAAATATCTACTACAGGTGAATCCTTAATTACTTCAATTATTTTAGAGGTTTGTTTATGAGTAATATCTTAGTTAAACAATTGTTTAATGAAATCTTATTATATATAAGGGTTTATAAAGTTTGATCATGAAACTTAATAACATAAACTAAAACCAACTTATTTTGATAAGGTACATGAACAAGCTTATTAATATAAACTAAAAAAAGCATCCGAAAATCATGAGTTATTTTTATGATCCTTTGTCAAATCCTAATTTTATAAGTTATGGGTAACCTTTTTCAAAAGCATCCTAAATATCTTACGCATTAAATTAGACTTGCTATGATTTGTGAACGCTGAACAGGTACCCGTACGATATTTATGATCGTTTCTGGAATCCCTACAGTGGCAACAACAGTGATTGGACACAAATAAGTAGTCCAGTTCCCACTAATTCCTTCAATCAGGGCTATTTCCAACTGCCAGCAGTTGTCATGAGCACTGCAATTACACCAAAAAATGCAAGTGCTCCATTAGTAATAAGTTGGGAGGCAAAAGATCAAACTGAGCAATTCTATGTCTACATGCACTTCATGGAGATTCAAGAGTTAACAAAGAATCAAACAAGGGAATTCAACATCGTCGTGGAGAGTAATCCAAATTTTAATTATCCAAATTTTTCTCCGTTGTTCCTGAACGTAAATACTATATTAACCAACTCAGCAATCAATGGGAAAGAAATTAAATATTCACTTGAGAAGACTAAGAATTCAACTCTACCTCCCATCCTGAATGCCATTGAAATTTACAAAGTACTAGATTTCCAGCAATTAGATACATTCCAAGGGGATGGTATGTCAAGAAAATATTGTTTCTTATATCTTAAATCTAGTTTTCTGATTTACACTAATATAAATTATTCAAACCATTTTTTATATTTATATTTTTTTGCATTTACAAAAAAAAAAGCTGATGCAATTACAACAATCAAGTCAGTGTATGGGGTGACAAGAGATTGGCAAGGTGATCCATGCAGTCCTGTAGCCTACTTGTGGGACGGTCTAAATTGTACCTACGGTGCAAATGATTACCCTAGAATCACAACTGTGTAAGTCATGCTTTTCATGAAATTTATTTTCTAGCTTTATAAAACTGGAATTATAACACAGCCATTTGTTGAATAAAACAGGAATTTATCTTCCAGTGGATTGTCAGGAACGATTAATCCTTCTATTTCAAATCTCACCATGTTGGAGAAGTTGTGAGTTTTTCGATTTCACCTGGTCCAATAAATGATGAGAATAGAAAAACCTTTTATTTTAAAGCTTTGTTCTTTTTGTTACGTACTTGTGTCAAGATTTAAATTTTAAACATACTTAAAAGGGACCAGTTATTTGTCTTCCAGGGATTTATCAAACAATAGCTTAAACGGCAAAATTCCTGATTTTCTATCTCGATTGCAACAGTTGAAGATTATGTAAGTCTACTTCGTTAGCAACTGGAACAACTGCATCAGAAAATAGAAAATGATATTATAGTTTCTCTATTTTGGCAGAAACTTGGAGAACAATAACCTCTCTGGATCAATTCCTTCGGCACTAATTGAAAAATCTAAGGACGGTTCTCTGTCACTAAGGTATGGGTTTAATTAAAAATCCTCAAACTCATAATATTGTTAAAACATAATGGAAATTATCTTTTTCTCTGTCCGATTAATATTTTTCCGTAAGGTTTACACAAGTTAAAACATAATGCTTTTGTGATTGATCTTTCTGGTAGTGTGGGCCAAAATCCATATCTCTGTGAATCTGTTCAATGCAACAAGAAGAGAAAGAAGAACATTATTACGCCCTTAGGAGCATCAATCGGGGTTGTGGTCCTTCTTGTGGCCGTGGCAGCCATATTATTGACTTTTAAAAAGAGAACACCGAAAGGTGATGCTTTCAAGTTCCATCATAAAATATTCATAATTTGCCAGACAAATTCAATCATAACATGTTAATGTTCGAAATTACTGTTTGATATTAAACAGATTTTACGGTTGAAAAGGATCAAAGGGAGATGTCACTGCAATACTCAAAACGAAGTGATTCATTGCTGAATTTCAAAAAACAAATATATTCATACTGTGATGTCATTGAAATCACCAACAACTTCAATACAATTGTTGGAGAAGGAGGATTTGGAACAGTTTATCTGGGCTACATTGATGACACTCCAGTTGCAGTGAAAATGCTTTCCCAATCGACTATTCATGGTTATCAACAATTCCAAGCAGAGGTAAGTCATTTATAATTACTTTAACTAGGTTTTTAATGTCTGCAATAATTATATATGGTTAAACATGGCAATGATTTTGATTTCCAGGTTAAACTTCTAATGAGGGTTCATCATAAAAATTTGACCTACCTCATTGGTTATTGTAATGAAGGAACCAATAAGGGTCTCATATATGAGTACATGGCTAATGGAAACTTACTTGAACATCTCTCTGGTTAGTTCCTAAATGAAATCAATTTCTTGTTAAAAATTTGTTTATATCAATTCCCATTTCATTTTTATATTCTGAAACTCTGGATATGGAAATTTTATTATTGGACAACAATATTATAGTTGCATGACTGACTTTAAGATTTAGTCAACAAAAAGCAACGCGTACAGAAAGTTATAGAACTTGTGGTTGTGCAGGTAAACACAGCACACCAAAATTCTTGACCTGGGAAGACAGACTTCGAATAGCAGTGGATGCAGCCTTAGGTTAGGAAGTAATTAAACTTAAAAATATGTGTTTCCTTAACCTTTTTCCCCTCTCAATATATTTTCCATACATAAATCTAATCTCAGGATTGGAGTATCTACAAAATGGTTGCAAGCCACCTATAATCCACAGAGACGTAAAATCTACGAACATTTTGTTGAATGAAAACTTGCAAGCAAAATTATCTGATTTTGGTTTATCCAAAATTGTCCCAAATGATGGGAAAAGTCACGTGTCAACTGTTATTGCTGGTACTCCTGGTTATCTAGACCCTCAGTAAGTGCTTCAATTATTGGCCTATCCATCATTTTTCCTGAAAAATTGTTGGGACTCAATCAGGGTGTTTAGCGTTTTATCCATAAATTCTGACAGAAAATAAACTGAGTTACGTGCTTTGTGTTGCATGCAGCTACTACATATCCAATAGACTAACAGAGAAAAGTGATGTCTATAGCTTTGGAGTTGTTCTTCTGGAGATAATCACATGTCAACCAGTGACTGCAAGGAATCAAGAGAAGACTCACATAACTAAATGGGTTAGCTCTTTGATTACAACAGGAGACATCAAGGGCATTGTTGACTCAAGGTTAGAAGGAGATTTTGACATTAACTCAGCTTGGAAAGCTGTAGAAATAGCAATGGCTTGTGTTTCTCTAAATCCCAACGAAAGGCCAATCATAAGTGTGGTAGTGGCTGAACTAAAGGAGTCTTTAGCAACAGAATTAGCTCGAACAAAGCATAGAGGTGCCAATCCAAGAGATTCAGTTCAACCGGTCATGACCATGAATCTGAATTTCGAATTCACTCCTCTGGTCAGGTAAAAGCTTACTCAAGATAAGAAGAATAAAATAATGTTGTAATATATATATATAACTAAAGAGTGTTAGAAGATGGAGATGAGTGGGGTGCAGTGTTCTTCCTCATGCAATTTCAGAATGATACCAAAAGTGATATAATATTGCATAAGAAGTTAGGGTACTTTAGTTTGCGTGTAATTTTTCCTAGTGATACTTTATTACAGGCTACCCTCCGCCAATAGTCCTCCGTGCGATCAATGTGTTTGGGTGTGGTGATTGTGGTGCAGTGTTATATAATAAGGGATGAAAATCTACTTTTTATTTTTCTTTGAATAAAATTTATAAAATAAGTCATTTTTACTTTGCACTTCTATTTTTTTTTACAGTTCAAGTTAAATAAAATTATTATAAGCGATAAAATCTTCGAGTATTTAAAACAATTCCATCTACTAAAATTTAAACTCAATAAATTATATATTAATTCGGAACAATCTCACGTCATGTTCGGTAATTTTATAGTTTTTATAGTACATCATTTTTTATTTTGCTTTCATATTAAATTTAGTTTACAGTTGAAAATTTTAACCAAGAGATGCGAGCTTAAGTTTCAATGTCATGAAGTTTCAAATTTTAATTAACGAGTGGATTATTCAAATGGTATATATTTAATTTTTTAAATAATAAAAAAAATCAAATCTTATATAAACTATAGAAGACGTTGTAGTTTTTTTAAAACATTTGTTTGCACAAGATATTGAAATTCTTTTAATCCTTTCTGCCTTCTCGTTAATCACTGAGGTGAATACTTAGCTTCTAGAGGACTTCGTTAGATGCTAATTAATTATTGTCTTTAAATATTGTCCATAATAGCTAGAAAAATGGTAACGGTTTGCGTAATTTAATATTATATACTGATATAAAAAGGAAATGACGCAAGTGACAAAATGCTTATACTATTTTCTAACTGCGGGTGCTTTTCATATATGATTGAATTGGATAGTTTTTAGTCTTAAAATCGATTTAAATTGAATTCTAAACACCCTACTGTAATTAACACGAGCTGACATCAGGAAATTTTATGGATATAATAGAAAAGGTTGTACTCCCTCCAAGTTAAATTATTTAGAATTTTTTTTATATTAAGTGATGTTTTAATATTTTAATTTAATATTGTAAAACCTATACAATATACTTTTTTAAATGGATTATCCAATAAAAGAAAAAGGTCCTAACTCGTTCATAGACATATAATTTTTTTTTTTAAAAATCATAGATTTTTTTTTATTTATAAACTTATAAAAAAATTAATATTTGTTTTCTTAAGTAATTTAAAACATATAATAATATAATGTGTATCTAATGCTTTTATATCATATGTTCATAGATACATATTAGACAACTTATAGTTTTGATGCACGTAACAAGGTGTGTAACGAATGATTTCAAGTCGTCTAAGGTGTTTGTAAACACACAATAAAAAATTGCTGAGAAAAATATAAAATAGGAATTAAAGTATTAATTAAAGAATTTAAAATAAAAATACATTAAAAAATTTAAGATTTTGTTAACTTTAATTTTTAAGATTGAGTTTAAACATTTACAAATAAAAATTTTTTATGAAAAAATACAGAGTTATTATATTAGAGTTATAAAAATATAATAAACACTTCTCTTTCTAATAAAGTTTTACTATTATTAACTACTTATTCTCAACCCTAAAAATTGAGATTAATAAAACTTAAAAATGTATTAATGTTTCTTTAATTCTCTGTAGTTTATTATATTTTTTACTTTTAATTCCTTCACTGCCTTTAGTATACCAACTAATAATAAACGATATAATAATTAGTGATAGGATATTAATAGGAGCGAGAAGTATAAGCTGGTGGGTGGAGGGTGGACAATGGAAATAAAACTATTTTCTACCTCATATTAAGCATCAATTAGTACTGATATACATGCCTTAAAAATATTAATTTTATTAGTTATTATGATAAAAATAATTTAATTAGAATATTATTGTCAAAACTGATAAAACGATTATAGTAATTGAATGATAATTAGTTTTAAAATAAATATGAAAACGACAAATGAGGATTATGGCGGGAGAATTCGATTTCTTTGGACAATTAATGTGACATTGTGATGGCATTCATTCATCACATGCATCTCCCAGTACGACATTTTACGCATTGACTCCGACTGCATAAAGCGTTGACGAGTGATGAGTGACACCGAGGCTGGGCAAAAGCACTGGGTCATCGTCGGTGGAGAAAGAAGGAGAAGAGGAGCTTCTCTACACGAAGAAGGAGCGCATACACGGTGGGTTATTATAGAATTTAAAGGTAAAAAAGATGAAAAAATTATGATAGCGTGATTTTAGGGAAAAAAAAGTTGTTGGATTTATCTTAGTAGATGTTGCGGCTTTGACAACATTGTACTAATCAGTTTTCTCGATGATTTAATGATTTTAATGCCACTTTTTATGTTAAAGTTAGATGAAATGAACATTAAATCATTGAATGGGTCATCATTCTGGAACCCAGTAAGTCCTGACCGTGTTATGTACGGTTTTGAGCATTAGGTACGACATTTTACGTATTGACTGAGCCATGAGCCGTGTTACACGGTTTTGACTTTTGAGCATCACTGACTATATGTACTACTACGAGGCTCTAACTCTAACAGGTCAGTGGAAAACGAGAAGAGATGCACCTCCGAATTTGGGAAAGACCACCGCATCCACGGTGGGTTGTATTCTTCTTTCATATAGCTTTTTTCCATTATATCGATATACTTCTTATATGTATTCATTGATAGAACAAATTGCTTAGTACTGGCCGAATTCACTGGATAATTAAAAGAGAAAGAACGAAGTTGAAGTTAAAATTTGAAGGAAAATAAGATGAAAAAATTATGATAACTTGAAGTTGCAAAAAATTTGATTTAGTGGATTTGTTTTATTAGAGGTTGCGACTTTGACAATTCGACACTCAGTTTTCTTGATGATTATTTTAATTCCATTTCTTAATCTTTTGATAACTTATTAGATGTTATAATTTCTTAAAGATTAGAATTGATGTTAAATGAATTTTTAAAAGATTAAATAGGTAATGGAGTCTTTCAAGTAAATTATAATTTTTTATTTGTTATAATATATAACAATTTGGATACTATCGACTTATTTAAAATTATTAATAAATTTTTTATTTGTTATAATATACTAGACTTTTATTTAATCCAATTACTTAATTCATTTTATCTTATATATATATTTTCCATCTTGTCTCTTTTCTTTTATGAATTATTATACATACTTGTTATATGAATATAAATTCTCACTTTTTATAAGATGCAGAATCAGTGACAAATGATGAACGTTGACAGTAATTTCTAAGTAAGCAAGTGGATGTTCAGACAGTGAAGGAAGAATGAGTGAGCAGATCTAAAATAGAATTGAAGAATTAAAAACTGTTTATTGTCACCTTACGTAGCCAAATCACAATTCCTTATGATTTCTAGTAAAAGTCACAACATGGAGCTCTTATATCTGTCATCAGACAGAACGTCAATGAGTTTCTTCGTTGCCTTTCTCTGTGTTCTAGTTGTTCAAGCTCAGGCTCAATCAGGTTTGGTAACGAAACATGAACTTCATTATTCTAGTTATTATTTTTTTTAAACTTATATAACATTGTACATGGAAAAAATTATATATAACGTGAAATCCCCTCCTCACATCTTTTTTAATGATTTAGGATTTATCAGCGTAGATTGTGGAGCTCCTGAAAATATAAACTACATTGAGGCAACAACAGGCATAAATTACACTTCAGATGCCAATTTCGTAAATACTGGTGTGAGTAAGACGATAACAAATGAACTGAAAAGTGACTTTGAAAGACAGATGTGGAATGTGAGAAGCTTCCCAAAGGGAAGAAGAAACTGCTACAAAATAAACATCACAAGAGGCTCTAAGTATTTCATACGGACTACTTTTTTGTATGGAAATTATGATGCCCTAAATAAGTTACCACACTTTGATATTTTTATTGGGCCTAATCGGTGGGGTTCAGTGAATATAACCGATGCATCAGTTGAGAAATACAAAGAGATCATATATGTGCCTTCATTGGATTACATACACATTTGTCTCGTTGATAAGGGATTTGGGACGCCATTTATATCATCCATAGAATTGAGGACTTTGAAGAGTAATATATATGTCACACAATTTGGATCACTCGCAACTTATTTCCGGTGGGATTTAGGTTCAACCAAACGCAGCTACAGGTGAAATCATATTTTTCGAGTAAGGTTAAATTTGAATAAGCATCTAAGTAAATACTTATAAAAAAATTAATTTTTTTCATATAAATTAAAAACCAGTTTATATATGGATACTAACTTTTATTAGAAGCTTTTCTTTTCCATTTTTTTTCTTCAAAAGTTAAAGTGTATGAGTTAATTTTAATTTATAAATAAAATTGATTTTTTTTTCATTTTATTTTCTTTTCCAAGTAAGTGAATGTTTATATAAACTAGACCCGAATATTTTGATTAAAGGATTCTAGCTATTCTATTAAACTTAATTTGATTTTCTCACAGGTACAAGGATGATGTTTATGATCGTTTCTGGGTTCCCAATGGAAACAACAATGATTGGACAAATTTAGAGGTTTCTAATCCTGGTGGTAATTTAGCTCAAAATAATTACACCCTGCCAGTTATTGTCATGAACACCGCAGTTACACCAAAAAATGCTAGTGCTCCGTTGGTAATAAGCTGGGAGCCAAAAGATCAAACTGAGCAATTTTTTGTTTACATGCACTTCTCAGATATTGAGTTGTTGGCAAAGAATCAGACAAGAGCATTCACCATCACCCAGAATGGAGAGCCATGGCTTCAAAATTTTTCTCCGCCGTATCTGGGCTGCTACACTATATACAGCCAAGGAGGCATCAGTGGGACAGAAATTAAATATTCACTTGTGATGACGGAGAATTCAACCCTACCTCCCATCATCAATGCCATTGAAGTTTACAAAATAATAGAATTCAACGAATCAGATACATTCGAAGGAGATGGTTTGCCAATAATGATAATATGATTTTTGATATCTCAAATTCATTTCTCTTGTTTATATACTAATATACACGATCTAAACTACTTTTTAACTATGTTGTTTTCATTTTTTTTTAAAAAAATAGTTGGTGCGATTACAACCATCAAGTCAGTTTATGGAGTGACAAGAAATTGGCAAGGTGATCCATGCGGCCCTGTAGAATTCTTGTGGGATGGTCTAAATTGTACTTATGGTGAAGAAGATTCCCCAAGAATCACAACTTTGTAAGTTTTCCTTCTGAAATTAATATTGTAGCTTTATAAAACTGGAAAGATAATAACGCATATAGCTATTGATTTTACAAAACAGGAATTTATCTTCAAGTGAATTGTGGGGAATGATAGATCCTTCAATTTCAAGTCTCACCATGTTGGAGAAATTGTGAGTTTTTTTTTTTTTTCTATTTTTCTCTCACTTGATCCAATAACAGAGTAGACCAGAAAAACCTTGTATTTTGAATCCTTTTTTGTTTTTTTTTTCTGTTATATACTTATTGGTCAAGATGTTTTTCACTCCGTATGTCAAGATTTAAACATACTGGCAAATTATTATTTGATTTCCAGAGATTTATCAAACAATAACTTAAACGGCGAAGTTCCTGATTTTCTATCTCGATTAGCACACTTGAAGATCATGTAAGTTACTTCGTTAGTTACTGAAGCAATTGTGTGATTTTGGATAAACAAAATGGAAAAGGATATTATAGTTTTCCTATTTTGGCAGAAATTTGGACAACAACAACCTTACCGGTTTAATTCCCTCGTCACTGGTTAAAAAATCTAAGGAAGGTTCTTTGTCACTAAGGTATGGATCTTGCTGAAGACACTCATATTCATAATATGGTTATTTATGGTGATGATCATCAGATAGTTATATTTTAGTCTTTTATGAGAATCTGTTTGTGTCTAATATATAGTTGGCAATAGTCTATTAATCATGCTTACTCTGTTTTGTTTTTAATCCATCGGATCATGGATTACGCCAAATTATAACCACTCTCCTCTATATAGACCTTATTGTTCATGACCAATCACTAGAAGAATTGAATCTGAAATTCATGTCTAGTTAGTTGTCATGTTATATATTGGTGTCACTGTTGCTTTTCCATAGAGTTGTTGATCTGCCGAATATCGCACAAGTAAAATGAATTGAAGCAACTACTGAAACTATTGATGACTTGTATGTTTTATTGGGAATTGAACCATAAATCTTCTGTGATTTCCATGCTAGTGTGGGCCAAAATCCATATCTATGTGAATCTAGTCAATGCAATGAGAAAAAAAAGAAGAGCATTCTCATACCTTTGTTAGCATCGGTTTGTGGGATTTTGCTCCTTCTGGTGACCGTGGCATCTACATTGTGGACCCTTCAAAGGAGAAAACCGAAAGGTGAGGCTAAAATCGATCATAAATGATTAATTCGTAATTTTAATTGATAATTTTCTAAACAAATATGATCTTAACTTATTAATGTTCAAAACTGTTGTATGATACTAAACAGCTTTGATGGTAGAAAAGGATCGAAGTGAGATATACACAACACAAGATGATTCTTGGCATCAACCCAAAAAACAAATATATTCATACTCTGATGTCCTAAGAATCACCAACAACTTGAACACAGTTCTTGGTAGAGGTGGGTTCGGAACAGTTTATCTTGGCTATATCGATGACACTCCCGTTGCAGTGAAAATGCTTTCTCCATCTTCAGTTCATGGTTATCAACAGTTCCAAACAGAGGTAAGTTATATATCACTTCACAATCACCCAAGTTTAATTTTATGAGGCCAAGAATAAATACATACGGTTAAACATTGGTTGTGATTTTGATTTCCAGGTTAATCTTCTCATGAGAGTTCATCATAGAAATCTCACCTCCCTCGTTGGTTATTGTAACGAAGGAACCAATAAGGGTCTCATATACGAGTACATGGCTAACGGAAATTTATATGAACATCTCTATGGTTAGTTCCCGAAAAAAATATATTTCTTGTTGGACAATTATATGATTCGTATGATTAACTTCTAGTCAACAAAAGTCAACAGGCAGTGAAAGTTACAGAACTTGTTCATGCAGATAAACAAGGCAAATCAAAATTCTTGACCTGGGAAAACCGACTTCGTATAGTACTGGATGCAGCCTTTGGTCAGGAAATAAACTAAAAATCTGAGTTTTGATAATGGCAAAATTTATGTGGAGTTCAACAAATATTGTTAGTGTTGTTCACCAATTAATTAGATTTTCACTTTATGAAACTCTTTTAATTGATCGGCAATACTATTGGCACCAGTTAAACAACACATAAATTTTGTCATTTTGTTATCTCTCATTTTATCCACTCAATATGTTTGCCATGCATAAATCTTATCTCAGGATTGGAGTATCTACAAAATGGTTGCAAGCCACCTATAATCCACAGAGACGTAAAATCTACAAACATCTTGCTAAATGAAAACTTGCAAGCAAAATTATCTGATTTTGGTCTATCCAAAACAATCCCAAATGATGGGAGAACTCATGTGTCAACTGTTGTTGCTGGTACTCCTGGTTATTTGGACCCTGCGTAAGTACTTCTATATGTATATTGTCCTATCCATCAATTTTCTGACACAATAAAATGGGTAACATTACATGCTTTGTGTTGCATGCAGCTACTACACATCCAATAGATTGACAGACAAAAGCGATGTTTATAGCTTTGGAGTTGTTCTTTTGGAGATAATCACAAGTCAACCAGTAATAGCAAGGGATCAAGAAAAGATTCACATCAGTCAATGGGTTAGGTCCATGGTGACGATAGGAGACATCAAGGGCATTGTTGACTCAAGGTTAGAAGGAGATTTTGACATTAATTCAGCTTGGAAAGCAGTGGAAATAGCAATGGCTTGTGTTTCTACAAATCCAAACGAAAGGCCAATCATGAGTGTGATAGTGAATGAACTAAAGGAGACTTTAGAAACTGAATTAGCACGAAATAAGCAAGGTGGCTCCAATCCTAGAGATTTACTAGAACCTGTCACTATGAATATTGAAACTGAAGTCACTCCCCTGGCCAGGTAAAAAGCTTACCCAAGTTATATATGAAGAATAAAATAATGTTGTAATATTAAATAACTTGCACACTCTTCGAAGATGGAGATGAGCTAATTGGTGAAGTAGTCTTCCTCATGCAGTTTGATCAGAATGAGATCAAGCCATTTTAGGGGAAGTGATATTGCATAGGTGGTTTAGAATGCTATTTAAGTGATTATTTAATATTTTGTTAACGATATATTGTGCTTTAAATGATAAAATTTATCAAAATAAGTTGAAAAAAGTTGATTTTGAATAGTCCTCCGGGTATTCTAAATATCTAAGTGTATGGGTTGGGAACGGTGATTGGAGTGTGGCGTGTGCAAGAGGTAAGATCTAAATAGGCGTATGTCTCAAATCATGATTTAAAAAACAAAAAAATCATTTACTAACACTTTAATGTTAGCCTTTGCTACTATATTTTTTCTAATAAAATTAAATTATTAGCATAAATGTTTTAAACTTACATTAATAATATGATATATTATATTAGTAAAATTTTCTTACTACAGAATATTAGTATATATTATTAACATCCAAATATTAGTATATTATTATATTTGCTAGTATAGAACTTTAGAAATTTTATTAATAATTTAAATTTTGTTAGATGTAGATTATACTAATAAATATTATTCTAATAAGTAATAATTTTTTGGTTAATAAATAATAATTTCCTTATAGTGATAAGTTATCTGTCTAATACAAAGAAAATCAAATATCAAAGTGTAGAACTTTTTATTAGTAATAATAAATATTTTATTATATTATATAAGATTAAATTAAAAAGATACTTTTTAAAATATAAAAATATTAGAAATAATTAAAATTTTCTTTAAGAAATTTTTTAAAATATTTTCATCTAAAATTGAAAAATTACATTTTTATATAAATAAAAATTACATTTTATTTTTATAAAAATAAGATCCTATTTATTTTAAATATATATATATATATATATATATATATATATCGCAGTTTTAAGGAATTCTTTTTTTCATTCAACTTTCTTGTTGGTTGAAATTGAAACTCAGGATATGTATGCTTACGTGTTATTCAAATTTAAAACTCTCTCTCTCTCTCTCTCTCTCTCTCTCTCTCTCTCTCTCTCTCATTTTTATTTATTGAATTTGGATGACCTCCCATTAATTCAACAATATAAAGGGGGAAAAACGTGTATATAGTGTTATGTTTTTAATTTCAAATCTTCAAACTCTACATGTTTGACAAAAGTCAGAAGATATAAGCTTTTACTTTTGTCCAATCTAGAGTTTGAAGTTGTCTCAATGAAATTTCAAACGCACACCACTTTTAAAAAAATGTCATCTACTAATTGTTAGATGTCAAATTAATTTATTATTTATATCATTATAAGTCTACGATATTAATAATATAATGTATCATATTAATAAATAATTTTGGTAATATAAAAATAGGATTAATTATATTTTTATTTCTCTAATTTAAATTATGTACAACTTAAATTTTTAAATTTATTTATTTGATTAATTTATGTTTCTAAAAATAGTAAATGTAGTCCTTCATCAATTTTTTCTCCCTGAAATTTTAACTAAACCAATTAAATTATTTGATATTCAAAATCATCAAAAAAGACAAAATATTCAAGATAAAATTCTAATCCTAATCTTATATCTTATGAAATTTGAAATTTTATTGATTTTCACTCAATTTTTTACTTGTGAAGTTTTAAAATTATTTCATACCTCAATTTTATCATAAACCAAAATTGAAATACAAAATAAAATATAATTAGAGGACTAAAAATGGAAATATAAAAATACACGTGTATGTAAATGGAAATTAAATTATAATCAGTAAATTTTGTCAAAAATTATAAAAATAATTAAAATACTCTTATTTAAAATTATGGACTTACATTTTATAGATAAAAAGTTAATTTAATTAATAAAAATATTTATTACAGTTTTAAGAGATCTTTTTCCAAGAAGGTTTAGCGTGAGCCTCCGTACATTTTGACTCGTCCTAGTCTGTATTATTTATTGAATTTGGATCACCTCCAATTCAACTATAGAAAAAAAAAACGTAAAAATAGTATATTTTATTTTTAATTTCAAATCTTCAAACTAGATGTTTGACAAAAGTCAGAAGATTTATAGATTGAAGCTTTCTCAATGAAAATTCAAGGCCTATTAAATATTATAATTTACATTAATAATATAATGTATCCTATTAATAAATAATTTAACTAATATAAAATTAATTTAATTATATTGTTATCTCTCCAATGTAAATTATATACCGTTTTATAGATTTTAAAACTTTTCAGTTAATTAAATCCTTCAACAAGTTTCTTCTACATTAAATTATTAATTTTTTTATAACAAAACGTAAATTATATTGTTTGATTTTCAAAACTTATCAATTAAAATAAAAATTTTACCCAAAGTATATAAGTGTTTTTTTAACTCTAATTTTATATCTCATAAAATATTTGGATGTTTATCAAGATTTTGCTGAATTTTTTACTTTTAATCTTTTAAAATTATTTCATGTCTCAACTGCATTCCCCCATATATTTAAATAGAAAATAACAATTTGAAGATTTTATGTATAAGAAAATTGATAAAAATAAAAGAGTAAACTTGTTTGTCTTTAAAAATAAAATCTAACTAGAGAGATTAATATTTTATACAAGTAAAAAAAAATATTTATTGTTATGACAAATTTTTAATGAAACACTTTGGACATATTTTAAGCCAAGACTTAGCATATAGTAGTGGAGATATTTTTTTAATAGGGGTTACGCATGCATGTTTGATACTTAATTAACATTTAGTGAATGTTAATTTTAAATGTAGCCGTTACCGGAATAAGGTTGAGTGTTAGGTTTATATTTTATTTTTCTATTTATTAATTACTAGATATGGTAAGGAATATTTGAATAACATTTTTATAATAAAATTATAAATATTTTTTATTAGAAATAATTTTGTTTGAGTAGTAGAAAATACTCATATAATATAGTTGGGTTAACTCTTTAAACGAATTTTTTATTTTTTTTATATATAAATTTGAGTTTGATCTTTTATTTTAAGAAAAATTACATATATACTGATTAAATCAACCAACTTCGTTTAAATTTTGTATAACATGATTATCATACACTATATGTAATAAATTGGACAAAATAGCCATTTTCTTTCTAAACGAGTAATCTGAAAATCACGTTGTTTTAATGACTTTTCTTTTGATACTTTCTAATTCTAAGTCAATTGGTGGCGAATCTTTTTCAATAAAAGCAAGCTGGTATATAGTAAATGCAAAATTAATACTACTTGAACCCATTTTTTGAAAAACAAATACTACTAAGTACCAGAAAATTATTGTAGCTAGAAATATAACAAAATAAAATAAAATACTTTAGACTTTGTTTGAAAGTTTGAAAAATGAGAAAATAAAAGAGTTTAAAAAGGAAAGAAAAAACGAAAAAAAAAAGTTGATACAAAATTTCTTAAACTAAGAAGAATTAAAAAAAATTAAAAATATGATATTAGAAAAGTTTATAAACTTTCACCTTCTCATTTAAAAACACTATAACAAAGATAATCATTATATAATTTTTTCTCTCTTTTCTCCAAAAAAAAAAAAATAACTCTCAAACAAACTATGAAAAATCAAGTTATTTTATTCATCAATGCATGCATATATTTTTAATTATAAATTTATTTTCTACCATATATTTAAAAATATGTATTAAAAAATTATTAAATGTTAAATATTTTTTAAAATTATTTCATTAAATTTTGTAATATTTTATAATTTTTAATAACAATTTACTATATAAATTCTTATTATGTACTTTTAGACATAGGTTTAGAAAAAAAGTCACATACGTTTTTGGTCAATCCTTGACATGCTTTAAAGTGGGTGTATTTAATTATCGCATTGTGTGGTTAAGAAGTTATTCTTTTAAAAATCTTTATATGTTTATGAGATTTTAATTTTAGTTTTTTTTTTAACTTTAGTTCTTAATTTGTTAATTTTGATGTGCCCCAATTGTAAAAAAAAATAAAAAAATTGATATATAACAATTCTTTAGTTAATCAAATCATAATAGTTATTAAAAAATAAAATAGCTAATTTTTTTAAAAAATTAATAACTAAAACAAAAAATTAAAAGAATAAAATTAAAATCTTTTGAAATATAAAAATAAAAAATATATTTAATTTATTATTAAAATCAACTTATGAAAAACTTACTCGTTGGAAATATACAAGTTTATTTAAAGAACATATATATCCACAATGATTTGTTAAATTTTTTTAATACTATAAATTTGGTGTAATTCATTAAATATACTAAACGGGTAAAATATTGATATGTAAGTGATTTAATCGTTATTAAGCCCTTTGTTGTTCCCAACACAATATTCTTATATCTATATTTTTAATAATAATATATATCAACATTTTATTGACTTAAGTATATCCAACTTAAATGTTAAGTTTACGTAATAAACTTTCATGATTTGATATTTGTTAGAACGCATGCTTTGATATATTCTTCCCTAATTAATTTTTATTTTCATTTACATTGATTGAACTGTGAGTTTAGTATTGTTTTTTATAATGCTGATGCATAATTGATCAAGTGGCAGGAATTTCTAGGCAAGCAAATGGATGTTCTGGTCTTACACAAACATGTTTGTTGATTATTAGCAAATGGTTATACTTAAACTACATGTTGTTGGCATAGACTATGTCGCCAAAACTTAGTTCCTTTTCAAATATAAATGGTCACGACACATTCTACGCCATCCAAATTCAAAAACCAGGAGGTGATGAAAAATGAGAATGCCGATGAATTTCCTTGTTTCTTTTCTAGGTGGTCTAGTTCTTGCAGTTCTGATTCAAGCCCAAGATCAATCAGGTTTGATAACAAAACATTAAGTTCATTGTAACATAAATTGTTTTACAATTTTTCTAACATGTGGTATAAATAGTAAATTTTTATTTAAAGATGTAACATTTAATATTATTAACGTATTAAATTTTGATTTGTAGTAAAAAGTTATTACACACAAAAATTCTTATGGGGGTGTTCTTCGACAAAGGTTAAAAATGGATTATTTTATACATAAAACTTTAGGTAATCAAAGCCCAAGTCCAACACATTTTTACATGTTTTAGGGTTCATCAGCATAGATTGCGGGGGTGCTGCGGGTATCAGCTATACTGTGACGACAACAGGTGTAAATTATACTTCAGATGCAAAGTTCATAAATAGTGGTGTAAGAAGAACAATAGCAACTGAACTCAAAACTCGCTATCAGCGACAACTGTGGAATCTCAGAAGCTTCCCGCAAGGAAGAAGGAACTGCTACAAAATAAACATCACAAGAGGCTCTAATTATCTGATTCGGACTGTTTTTTTGTATGGAAATTATGATGGCCTAAATAAGTTACCACAGTTTGATATTCTTCTTGGGCCAAACCGGTGGGTTACAGTGACTATTCAGAATGCAAATGAAGACCAAAGCAACGAGATTATACATGTATCTTCATTGGATCACATACACATTTGTCTGGTTGATACGGGCTCTGGGACACCATTTATATCATCTATAGAATTGAGGACTTTGAAAAATGATACTTATGTCCCTCAGTTTGGATCGTTGGAAACTTACGAACGGTGGAATTATGGTTCAGACGAAGACTACAGGTGATGAACCCATACCTTTGCATTGAAAAATGAATTTAATTCAAATTGTAATCTTTTTTTCTACTCTCATTCATTTATAAAATTGTGAAAAAAGAGATGGAATAAATACTTTATTTTTAAATATAATTATATGATATTTATAAAAATAACTAAAATTTTAATATATGAAATTTATGCTAATCTATTTTTTTATTTTTAAAAAATCATTAAATTAGACCATATTTAGTAAAAATGAAAAATTGGTATTCCAAGTTTCTTTTCTCCTGCAAAACCAACTCATTTTATTAGACTTATTTTGATTTTTTTTTCACAGGTACAGCTACGATGTTTATGATCGTTACTGGAATGGCTATGGTAACAACAGTGATTGGACACAACTAAGTGCTTCGGTTGATGCTGATTCTTTAAACCAGAACGATTACAAACCACCAGCTATTGTCATGAGCACTGCAAGTACACCAAAAAATGCAAGTGCTCCATTAGTAATAAGTTGGGAGCCAAAAGATCAAAATGAGCAATTCTATCTTTACATGCACTTCCTGGAGATTCAAGTGTTAGCAAAGAATCAGACAAGGGAATTCAACATCATCCAAAATGGGGCTCTATGGTATGACAATTTAATTCCAGATAACCAAGCCGTAAACACAATATATAGCATGCAAGCCTTGAGTGGGAAAGAAATTATATTTTCGCTTGAGAAGACCAAGAATTCAACCTTGCCTCCCATCATCAATGCCATCGAAATTTACAAAGTAATAGAACTTCAGCAATCAGATACATTCCAAGGAGATGGTAAGCCTAGAAAATTTGATTTCTCATATCTTAAACCCGTTTTCTAGTGTATACACTAATTAATATACATGATCTAAATTAACTTTTACTCTCTTTTTTTTTTTTTGCATTTAAAAATAATAGTTGATGCAATTACAACGATCCAGTCAATTTATGGGGTGACAAGAGATTGGCAAGGTGATCCATGTAGCCCTCTAGCCTACTTGTGGGATGGCTTAAATTGTACATACCGTGGAAATGATTCCCCAAGAATCACAACTTTGTAAGTCATGCTTCTCAAATTAATGTTATAGCTTTATAAAACTTCAAGGATAATAATTACACATATAACTATTGATTTTACCAAACAGGAATTTATCTTCAAGTGGATTGTCAGGAAAGATAAATCCTTCAATTTCAAAGCTCACCATGCTGGAGAAGTTGTGAGTATTTTATTTATGTCCAACACAAGACCAGAAAAACCTCTTATTTTTTAAATCTTTTGATTCTTTCTGCTATGTAGTTACAGTGTCAGGAATTAAACATAATGAGGCAAGTTTTTTTTTTTTCCAGGGATTTATCAAACAATAGATTAATTGGCGAAGTTCCTGATTTTCTGTCTCAATTACAAAACTTGAAGATCTTGTAAGTTGCTTCGTTAGTTACATATATGAACAACTGTTTGATCCTTTAGATCAGAAAATAAAAAGGACGTTACAAATTTTCTAATTTGGCAGAAACTTGGAGAACAACAACCTCACTGGAGCAATTCCCTCGACGCTACTTCAAAAATCTAAGGAAGGTTCATTATTGCTAAGGTAAATAACTGTCTGGGGTGATATTTTATTAAATGAAAAGTTAAAGACCTATTTGGAATAGATGTTAGTTTTTAAATGAAGAAACTTAATACAAAATATGTTTAGCTAAAATAAAAATAAATTAATTTTTACTCAATTTAAGAATAGTTTTAAATTTTTAAAATAAAAAAATAGTTTTAGCACTTAAACTATACTTTAAAAAATAAGTCATTAAACACTCTCGTCTCTTTCAAAAGAGACATGTAACAACTACCGCCATCATTCTTCTTATCATGTTCGTGTTCTATTAATTTAATACAATCGTTAAAAATATTTAATTTCACTTCCAATAGGATCTTAGTGTAATTCCTCAAATTCATAATATTGTTATTGCTATTTGTGGTAATAATTGTCAATTAGTTATATTTTGGTTCTTTTATGGAAGCAAAACTTTTTCTTTATTGTTATCTTTCAACCATACTTTTTTATGTTGTTCTGAATCCATGGGGTCATCATGGGCTATACAAAATTTTACCTCACTCACCTGAACGCTTGAAGCCCATCTAAAGAAGAATTGAATCTGTGGACTCATTAAATTAGTTTTCACATTAAATATCAGTATCAGGCTATGCTTTTCCGTAGACAGTCGTTTATGCAAAATAAATTGAAGTGTCTGCTGAAATTATTAATAATAAAATTATTAATAATTTTTCAAACGTGTGTTAACAGGGACATAATAAAAATCTATGTACAATAACTTTTTTTATAAAAATCTCAAGATTTAATATATTAAAAATATTATTTTCAATAAAAAATTTTGTTAATTGATTTTTGATTGTATATCATTGGGTACATGTTAAAAAATTAATTGATAATTACTTGGGAGATTTACCAAGAGTTGCATAAATCTTCTGTGATTTTCATTCTAGTGTGGGCCAAAATCCCCATCTATGTGAATCTGGTCAATGCAACGAGGGGAAGAAAAAGAAGAAGAACATTGTTGCACCTATAGTAGCTTCAATTTGTGGGGTTTTGATCCTTATCGTGGCCGTGGCAGCTATATTGTGGACCCTTAAAAAGAGAAAACCAAAAGGTGATGCTTCCAAGTTCCATCATAAAAGTTCAGTAATTTGTATTTATAATTTGCGAAACAAATTCAATCTTGACCTGTTAATGTTTAAAACTATTGCATGATTTTTAACAGATTGGATGCTAGAAAATGATCAAAGTGAGATCTCGCGGCAATACACAGAACAAGATGATTCATTTCTGCAATTCAAAAAACAAATATATTCATACTCTGATGTCCTTAAAATCACCAACAACTTCAATAGAGTTGTTGGAAAAGGTGGGTTTGGAACAGTTTATCTGGGCTATATTGATGACATTCCTGTTGCAGTGAAGATGCTTTCTCCATCGTCAGTTCATGGTTATCAACAGTTCCAGGCAGAGGTGAGTTATTTATCACTTTACACTAAGTTTTTGAGATCAACAAATAAATATGGTTAAACATTGTTGTGATTTTTTATTTCCAGGTTAAACTTTTAATGAGAGTTCATCATAGAAATCTAACATCCCTTGTGGGGTATTGTAATGAAGGAACCAATAAGGGTCTCATATACGAGTACATGGCTAATGGAAACTTACAAGAGCATCTCTCTGGTTAGTTCCCAAATAAATTTGTTTTCTAGTTAAATTTGGGCAAATTTCCTAATCACTTTTTAATTCTAAACTTTGAAATTCTGGATATGAATATCATTCGGTTTAAGGGTTGGTTTCACCACTTTGCCTGTGGGAATACCCGATCAAAGAACAAAGTAAAAATAAAAAAAACTCTCGATATGGAAATTTTTCTTGTATAGAAAGGAAGTTATAGAACTTTGTTCTGCAGGTATACACAGCAAAACAAAATTCTTGACCTGGGAAGACAGACTTCGTATAGCATTGGATGCAGCCTTAGGTCAGGAAGTACACTTAACTCGGAATGTGTTTTCTTAACTACTCATTTTCTCTCTAAAAATGTTTGCTATAAAATTTGGTCTCAGGATTGGAGTATCTGCAAAATGGTTGCAGGCCACCCATAATCCATAGAGATGTAAAATCTACGAACATATTGTTGAATGAACACTTCCAAGCAAAATTATCTGATTTTGGTCTATCCAAAGTTATCCCAAATGACGGGGGAACTTATGTGTCAACTGTAATTGCTGGTACTCCTGGTTATCTGGACCCAGAGTAAGTACTTCAATTATTTATAATTGTCCTGTGATTTAACATTTTCATGGAAAATAGAGTGATTCTATGTGCATATTCAGAGTTATCTATACAAATTCTGACAGAAAATAAATTGGGTTATATATCTTGTCTTGCAGATACTACATATCCAACAGGTTAACAGAGAAAAGTGATATTTACAGCTTTGGAGTTGTTCTTTTGGAGATAATCTCAAGCCAACCAGTGATAGCAAAGAATCAAGAAAGGACTCACATAAGTCAATGGGTTAACTCTTTGATCGCAAAAGGGGATATCAAGGCCATTGTTGACTCAAGGTTAGAAGGAGATTTTGACAGTAACTCAGTTTGGAAAGCAGTAGAAATAGCAACGGCTTGTTTGTCTTCAAATCTCAACAAAAGGCCAACCATAAGTGTGATAGTGGCTGAACTAAAGGAGTCTTTAGCAACAGAATTATCTCGAACCAAATATAGCAGCCGTGTTACCGATACAAGAGATTCGCTGTTCACTATGGATTTGAATACTGATTTCGCTCCCCTGGCCAGATAAAAGCTTATGCAAGATAAGAGAAATAAAATCATTTTATAATAAATAACTTAAGCCTGTGAAGATTGAGATGTGTTCAGCAAGTGATCTTCCTCTAGCAATTTCAGAATGAGATCAAGCCCGAATGGGAGTGATTTTGCATGAGAAGTGAGTATCATGCCCCATTTTTTTTTGTATTGACTATTGTTTTGATGCTACTCTTGTCCTCCATGAGACTCTGCGTCTGGAAGTGGTGATTGTAGTGGAGTGTGCTACTAGGTGTGAACAAAATTTCATATTTTAAAATAATATTATTTGTTCATTCTTTTAAATGAAATTTTGTCTACAATTGAATGTTTTGCTAAAATTTACCAAACCTACCTCTTAACTGCTTTGATTTTAAATTATACCAAATTATAACAATGAAACCATAAGCATGAGATAAGAAATTACACAAATTTTATTCACCTTTAAGACGAACTATAAAGCAGAATGACAAGTAGTCATTATATTAATTCAAAAGAAAGGGTAAACAAGATAATGTTCTCTTTTCCTCCCCTACCAATTATTTCTCAGCAGAAAGAGTAATTCATAGCAGCATTACAACTAAGTAGTAGATTTCCAATCTAAAAGGGAAGAAACAGAATGCTCAGTTACTCACCAAGAGAAGTGAAGTCATAAAAATTCCCTCCGTCAGAATACATCTCTGCAAGTTGAAGAATAAATGAAATGATTCCAAACTGACTTTGGCAAATAAATGTGTACCAAACAAACAGTCAGATAACAACTTTACCTGTTTTATACAAATTCAGAATTGAATATTTTTTGTCTTCACCAATCACTAACAAACTAAAATTTAAGACAGAAAAACAGTATAGCGGACCATCATGTCTGTTAGGTAAACGACGAAGAATCAATTTAAATATCAAACATAGAACAATTTAACAAGAAAATAACAAATCCAAAAACTTCAAGTAGCAAATATTCTCAAAATACCAAAGTGAACTTCAAGTAGGGACTAGAGAAACCATAACTCTAGCTTTGTTAAAGAGATACATAGGTCAAACATAGCCTGAGTAATAAGGGAAATTTCTTAGGGAAACTACCGAAAATGCTACAAAATACAATAACAACTTGCTTTCATTATCGTATAGTGTCTTGACAACATTATTTTCTTAAATAATAATTTGCTGAAAATGTTATGATTAGCCAAAAAACTACATGCATCAAATGCAAGTACTACTTAACATTATCCTCGCCATACAGTCATACCTAGTGACAAATAATGCAAATATATATCTTATGGGTCAATGAAGTACATGAAGAAACAAAATCCCATTTGGCTTCTTCCGTTTTCTCTCCATTCCCACATTTAATAGTTAGATTGAGTAGTCACGGACAAAGCTATCTGTAAAAGGAGTTCAAGTTCTGTGCCATTGTGATCAATCTTCTTCCATTGCATTGGTTCTATAGTAATCTGAACATGACAGGAAACTGTAAATAAAATTATTTCAACAATAACGCATGCTTAAGTTACACTCAATAATATTAAGAGCATTAATAAATAAAATACCTTCACAGCAATGTTTTCTTGACTTTGAAAAAGAGGGACCATAACTGTGTCCGTTCTCTTTTTTCTCTGGAATCTACAAAACTATGAAGTACATCAACTGCGATACAACAATGAGGTGCTAGAAAGCCACAATTTTTAAATATCAATGAGCATTAATAATCTATGATATGTTTAAAGCCAATTTACTATTTCCCTCTCTTAACTTTCACCAAGTTTTAGGCTTTGCATCGTCATCATGAATAAAATGTGATTAAGACGCTCCATGCTGGCTTGAAAGCTACAAAAAGGTGATTCTATATCATCTTTTCTTTTGACAATAACAAGTTCCTCATCAAAGAAGGCGTTTTGAAGCAAACCGTTGAGACAATTTACCATAAATTACATATAAATAGCATAAAAATACTAACTTATCAAAATTTCTCTACATCTACTACATCCATTGTCCAAAATCGGCTGAACAATCATGAAAACTATTCGCCAAAAAAGAGTGTATAATTGACGTACTCAAAGACGAGATAGGCCCTAAATAAAAACCATGGGCTTGGATTGCGAGAAGGGATTTCAGCGGCGAAACGGAAAAAAAAAAAAAAAAGAAGAACAATTTCATCGGATTGGGATTTGAATTTTACGGTTAACTGCTGCTATTTTCTATTCAAACACATCTCGCCTGAGAGGGATGTGATCATCATGGAGTTCTGTTCTCACTTGTTTATGCCTTGTTCTTATATGTTTAATAGTTTTATTAAATTTAAAATATATTGTTAGTAATGCATATTTTATTATATTAAATCAAATTAAATTAAAATGTAATATAATATTTTAAAATTTATAAAAATTCTAAAATTTAAATATTTAATGTAAAAAAATTATATGGCATCGAGAAAAAAATGATTCTTCCTAAAATGTTTTTGTTTAAAGTAATTCTTGAAAATGTTCTCTTTTTAAGAATCAATAGATCGAAATAGATGGATAAAATAATTTTTTCAATGCGTACATACATAATGAAATGAGTAATAATGGTGATATAATATGAGAAGAGTTTAATTTTAGGGTTATATTAATGTAAAAAAATTTACATTGTTAATTAATTTGAATATATTGTGAATATAATTTTTATATTAATTATTACAGAAATTTCCTATTCTTGCTAAATCTTAAATCATAAATATTAAAAAATATTTACATATAAATTTAAATTAAATTCATGTTTGAAAATTCGTCGGGTCAAATGCGTATATACAAGCATTCTTTGTCATAACATAAAAATAAATTCCTGCAAAATATCATTGCAAGCTTATTCGTCCAACTCAAGAAATGGTAAAGAAAGCAATAAAAGTGTGATTGAGATTTTGGACAATTCAACTTAGAAGCTTCTAATATTTAATAAAGAAAATGTGAAAGAACTTCATAAGCAGCAAAATTTGACTTCAACATGGAGATTAGAATGAACGTCATCATTGAAGAACAAAGCTCAATTATTCTTGTAAATCATTTGTTTACTCTCATTCTTCAATCTCATGGAGATGCTTATGAGCCCAAAAACATAACCAGGAGGTTTCAAGTTTCAATATCCACCAGCATCAGATTGAATGCGTAACAAGTTTTCAATTCTCTATACACAGTTCACAAATGGCAGGACTAAACTTTCTACTTTTAATGTTTCTACTTTCTCTGACTCTTCTTATCATTGTTCATGCCCAGAGTCAATCAGGTTTGGTAATATCTTGTAGTTATTCTGAATCCTACAACTGTTTCTAGTTCTTAGAACTAATGCTTGCTCCTTTCACAGACTTCATTAGTATTGATTGTGGACTTGATGAACCAAGCTACACAGATGGAACAGCTTTCATATATTATACTTCAGATGTTAACTTCACAAGCAATGGTGTAAGCCATAGCATATCACCAAAATATGAGGCTTTGCTTGACAAACAGTTTTGGAATGTTAGAAGCTTCCCAGAAGGAACAAGGAACTGCTATACCCTTGTTGTTCCTCAAGGAAGTAACAAGAAGTATTTAGTGAGGGCCAGGTTTGCATATGGAAATTACGATGGCAAAGACTCTCTTCCTGAATTTGATATCTATCTTGGAGCCAAATGGTGGGGATCTGTGGTATTTGAGGATGCATCGAGTGTAATCACCAAGGAAATCATTTATGCTGCTTCATCAGATTATGTTCATGTTTGTTTATTCAACACCCAGAAGGGTACACCTTTTATTTCAGTTTTAGAGCTTAGAGTTCTCAACAGCGATGCCTATCTAGTTAACTCTCTGGAGCTATTGGCACGGTTTGATGTAGGCTTAAAGGATGGTGAAATAATCAGGTGAGCATTGTTACAACATATATCATGGAACTACTACCACTAAAGGGAAAATGATTTTTTTTTCTTTTTTTTTAATACTGGGTCTTAGCATTGATTAAGCGATCAATAAATAGATTTTTTATTGAAATCATGCTAGGAATGCATTAATAACCTTTTTTACTTTTAATATTTTAACTAGTACTACAGGGACACTAATTAAAATTTGCTTTAAATATAATGCTCATGCTTTTCCCCTTTGTTTTTATTTCCCAAAGACATCCAGAGGATTTCTATGATAGAATGTGGACACCTTATAACTCAATTGACTGGAAACAGATAGATACCACCCTCACCATAGACCACGGAGCTTCTTCATTCAATTTTTTACCATTGCCACCCTCCATTGTCATGGGAACTGCAGCAATTCCAGCAAATGTCAGCCACAATATAGAATTCCACTTTCTTCCTAAGTATAATAATAGTGCCTCTAGATACTATGTGTACATATTCTTTGCTGAAATCGAGAAACTCCAAGCAAATCAAATTAGAGAGTTCAACATTTTTGTAAATGGGAAGCTTCTAAATAATGCTCCAGTCAATCCTTCATACCTGCAGAGCCTGTATCATGTAGCAGCTATGAGTGAACCTCAGTTGGAACTATGGTTTAACAAAACTAGTAGATCAACTCTTCCTCCTCTTGTCAATGCCATTGAGATATATATGACAAAAGATCTCTCACAATCAGAAACATATCAAACTGATGGTATGTTCTTATATATGTTGATTTTGCTCCCTAGTATCAACTTATTATGATTAATTAAAGACCTGCACATCATTATGCACATGCGCTAATCTTATTATTACTCACATTACTATTTTACTTACTTACTGAATTACTTATTTTTATGACAATAGTTGATGCTATCTTAGATGTAAAGTCAATTTATGGGATCAAGAGAAACTGGCAAGGAGATCCTTGTGCTCCACTGGCTTACTTGTGGGATGGTCTTAACTGCAGCTATGCTGGATCTGGTTCACCAAGGATTGTATACTTGTTAGTTTTGCACGAAATACACATATACTGATCCTTTAGTTTTAACTGCAACTTTATATTTTTGTCTTCAATAATATTAATGAACTATACAATTATGCTTTTAGGAACTTATCTTCCAGTGGTTTAATAGGAAAAATAGCTCTTGGCATATCTAATATGAAGTCCATAGAGTATTTGTAAGTCACTGAATCCATCAGATACACATAGCAAGCTATATAGTTGATAATAAAAAAAAATGATACCTGTTCCAAAAGTTGAGTAAAAGAAAATTTGTTCCCATTTCAGGGATTTGTCAAACAATAGCTTGACTGGAGATGTGCCAGATTTCCTTTCGCAACTGCGCTTCTTAAGAGTTTTGTAAGTAAACTGTTTTGATTGGAGGATATTCTATAGAGAGTTAGAGTTTTCAAGAGGCTAATCTCTCCTAAGTGGAATTGATTTTTCAATGAATTTTTTTGCTTGAGTTGTTCAAAAAACCATGGTAAGAATGTCAATGTGCATCTTACCGTAAAAATCTCAACCAAGTCCACTTCCGCATAGAATTTTCACCCCTTTTTTAGTTGGAGTTTTTTTTTTTATGGAAGCATTTATAAATTATTTACTTTGTCTTAATTGAAGAAACCTAGAAGGAAATCAGCTGTCAGGAACAATTCCAATGCAACTCGATGTGCGTTCAAATAATGGTTTGCTTGAATTCAAGTACGTTCCATTTCAAAATTAGTTTTAGATTATGCTCTGCTTCTGTTATGACTTCATTTTCCATGCGCTAGCAATTTGTCTCATTTTTAACAACAATGCATGGCATAACTAACATGTTGGTGAAGGTTTGCATTTGGTAAGACAACGTCGCATAACATGTTTAATTTTTATTGTAAATGCAAGTTTTGGTGGAAATCCAAATCTTTGCTCCCTAGGTTCATGCAACAACAGGAATGGAAATCAGGTTGTAATTCCACTGGTGTCATCGCTTGGTGGAGCTTTCATGATACTAATAGTATCAATGATTTCTTTCTGCGTATACAAAAGGAGACAACAAGGTATATGTTATTTTCTATTTTTAAATTGTGGGAAGAAAAGAAAAAGAGAGATAGAAATTAAATAAGAAAAATTATCATTGTTTGAAAATTGTGGCAAGAACAAGAGAGTATGGAAACATCACATTCGTTTCTCAAATAAAAAAGAAGGAAAAGCAAGTGCTGTGATTTGTAACATTCTCAATTTAATTTTAAATATAAGCTTGGATGGATTTGGATTGATAAACCTTTATTTTTCTTTCCAGGTATTTGCCATGCAATTATTATTTTTTATTGATTTGTAATTGCACTTTTATCTTGAAGATAAAATATATGCAAGGTTATCTAAGATTGCATTATATTTTATTCTATGCATAAAATATAAATACCACAAAATTAACGTGCATATTATCCATGTATACATGTACATTGACGGTGTTATTTTTTTCTCCCAGTTTCTCCTCATATTAGCAAGAAGAGTGCATATTCCAGAATAAGGGAGGAACTAGAGTCAAATAAGCAAGAATTCACTTATGATGAAGTCTTGATAATTACTAGAAATTTTGAAAGGGTTGTGGGAAAAGGAGGATTTGCAACAGTCTACTATGGCTGTGTAGATGATACTGAAGTAGCTGTCAAAATGCTCTCTCCCTCAGCTCCAGCATATCTGCAATTTCATGCAGAGGTACTATGATTAACATCAAATACCATCATACCTATATATATGCGTATACTCATTAATGATATTTTATTTATGATTTACAGGCCAAACTTCTTGCGATAGTTCATCATAAATGCTTGACTGCTCTTATAGGATATTGTGATGATGGCGCCAATATGGCTCTCATCTATGAGTACATGGCTAATGGAGATTTGGCAAAGCATTTATCAGGTATTAATATTATAATCATTTGAACCAATTTAATTTTATTTCTCACTAACGTGTTACAATTTAGGGGCTTTTACATTTATTCAAGTTTGTATCCACTTCTGCTAGACGAAATATGCTGATTGAAAGTCAATGCTTCTAATTCTATAAATGTCAAAAATATTCATAAAACTTTTAAACAATCGATGGCTGCCAATAAAAATAAACAAACAATTCAAATAATACATTTAGATGAAGCCCAAAAACTGAGTCAAAGATCAGTTATGCTTGTATGAATTGGAATCCAAGAATGATGTTTTTTTCCCTCTTTTATTCTATTCCCTGCTTTAAATTCATGCATTCCTTGATGGATTAAAAAATGCAGATAAAAACGAAAATACATTGAGTTGGAACCAACGAATTCAGATTGCAGTGGATGCTGCAGAAGGTAAGTATATATGGAAAGAATCCTTTTGACATGAGTCAGAGTTTTATGCAACAGAACAGAAAGTAACCTGAAGATTTAACTGTAGGATTGGAGTATCTGCATCATGGCTGCAATCCACCGATTGTTCACAGAGATGTTAAATCTAAAAACATCTTATTGAATGAGAAACTCAGAGCTAAACTTGCTGATTTTGGGTTGTCCAAGATCTACCCCGATGAAGGTGACACCCATATGTCCACAGTGGTTGCTGGCACCCCTGGTTATCTTGACCCAGAGTAAGTTATTATTTTAACTATTGACCCTAATAAGAAATTATATTTAATAAAATTTTATTAAAAATATATAATTTAATGTAATTTAATGACTTGATGATATTAAATATTATAATTTTTAATAAAAAATTATTTTATTTTTTTTGTCATGTGCAATGTATTCCAGTTTAAAACAACTATAATCATACTCAAGTCGCAAAGGTCTAGAATCTTAATACCTTTATTTTCTTTCAACTTTTGATTGGTGCATAAACACTGAGTGAGTTGCAAAATTTTAATCTGCAGGTACAATAGATTAAACAGGTTGAATGAAAAAAGTGATGTTTTCAGTTTTGGTGTAGTTTTGCTTGAGTTAATTACAGGCCAATATGCTATAATCAAAACCCAAGAGAAAACTCACATAATTCAATGGGTTGGTTCCATGAAGCCTGAAAGGGAGATCAATGATATTGTGGATTCAAGATTACAAGGAGAATTTGATATTGATTCTGCAAAGAAGGCCTTAGACACTGCAATGGCTTGTGTAGCTTCCACTTCCATTAATAGGCCAACCATGAGCCATGTAGTTAAGGAACTCAAACAATGTTTGGCAGAAAAAGTGACTTATCCTTCTGAATCTGGCAATCATGAGAGTTTACCCAACAGTTTAATCACTGTCTCCTTTGATAGAATTAGTGGAGAGAGTTCTTTAGAAAGATAGTACATTTGGAAAAATTAAAGTCTAAATGTGTTTGCTTATTGTTTCTTCCTATTATATGACATCATTTTTTTTCCTGGAGATAAGAATGGGGTGCCTTTGAATTACATGGGAAATCACCAACATTTGAGCACAAAATCCCTAAAAATCCTAGACAGATTATAAGAAGAAAATGAAAATATTTTTACCACATCCTGTTTTTTTTTTTTTTTCGCGCATCATCTCTACATCCTCCTTTTATAATAATAATAAAAAAAAAGAGATAAATTCAGTTGAGTTTTTTTTTCGTCTTATTTATCATAATAATAAAGTGTGGTAAGAACCTTTTTTTACTAGTAATTAAAGTAACACATTTGTTAACATCGACTCTTAGATATAAATTTAAGCATTTAAAATAAATAATTTTCATTAAAAATATTATTTACTTTTGAGGCTAATTTTTAATTAAATAATAATAATAATAATAAATATGTATTACTGTGATATAAACTATCTGGACAACACAGTTATGACAACAAAGTCAAAATGTCTCTCTCCCTTCCCACTTGGGAAAAGCCAACAAGACAACGATCGATATCACGGTAACGTTAATTTTCAAGACACGCAATTTACTGATTGAAATATCAAATTCAACGGAGAGAATCCAAACAAAGCCTTCATTGGTCCCTTTTCACCACTGAATTTGTATATTAGCAAAGAGCCCAAACTACGATGGTCCCTTTAATTCCCTTTCTCAATCCTTAGCCTTCAATCCAAGCTGCAATTCCATGACCAAGGCCCACATATTTAAAACCATACTGAAGGTCAGCAATTCTTTTAAAATGTTATGAGCATAAATAATTTCATTTTTGCAAGGGAAAAACAAAAAAAGAAAAAGTTCTGTAGGATATACACCTTAGAAAGAAAGAAAAAGAGAAAATGACAATGTTTGGCATATTAGCAAATAAAATGTGACTAAAAATTAAAATTTTACTTTTTTTTTATTCTTTTTGTAAGATATATCTAAGTAGATTATATAGATTAATAGAAATAACTAAAGCTAATTTATTTTTCTGATCTTTCAAAACAATACCATAACTTGCTAATTTTTTTATTTTATTATTATTCAATTTATTTTTTCTATCAATATTTATTTTTACTATTTTTAATTTAACTTTTCACTAACTGAATTTATTAAAGATAAATAAAAATAATAATAAATGTTTCATAAAAATATAAAAAAAAATCTTATAATAAATACCATCAAAACCTTTTAGATGCTTTAGAAATAAACTAGAAGTTGCTATATATAGATAAAAATTGAAAGTTGACAAGTTAAGCAAGTGTTAGTTATAATTAACTAACTGATTAAAGATCTTGCTAACTAGTGTCCTCATAACATTAATTAAAAAATGACAAATAGTTTTATTAAAAATTACCTTAAAAAAGATATTAATAATATAAAAATTCATCATTTAAGTTAAATCAAAGCATTTAAGTTAACATTTTAACAGCTTCCTATCCAAACGCTTCGAATTGCAGTTTTTAAGAGAAATAAGCTACTTGACTTGTTCATACACTATGCAATTATCCTAATATATACAAAAGAAATGTGGGATAAAAGAATGAGTATAAAAAATAAGATTGAGGTGAAAAAATAGTGCATATAGAAAGCCTCATGAGATCGTTCTACAAGAATTTGAATCATATGAAATCACCACTCTAGGTAAGGGTTTACCTAAATACAATTCTCAACTTGAGGGTTAGTCTCACCTATTGGCCTTGAGGACAAAATAGAAACTCATTTAAATTTTAAAATAAAATAAAAGACCTAATTTATAAACTTAGACTTGAGGTCAAAAGAAGAATAAGTGGAAGATTATAGCGACTTGGAAAAAAGAAGGAATAATTCTTAAGCATGACAGACGAAAGGCCGAAAGGGTTTGATTTTGCACTAGAAAATGGTACATTCTGATACAGAAGCACAGAGGCATGTGCTTAGTGAAGATATTAATTGGAGCCAAATTAAAATAATCCAAGTTCTATAACATTAGCGCCAACCCACCTCGTGTTTCGTTGTAGCCGTCGTTATCATAGTCATCATCATTAACAATATCATTAGTTACTCTAATATTTAATAACTTCTTCAGAACTTTTAAATAAGACACAGGTTTTATATATATATTGCTTATGACAAACACTCCTGCCAAAAAAGAAGAATATACACGTGCTGAGCAACGAGTTTAGAGTGATTTTCAAGGGCACGCTTCGGGTTGAATCAAGGAGACAGGACCACTGACTGAGCTCACTACTCTTAAGAGAATGTCTCTTGCATTGGTTTGCTAACAAAATACTGATTAAAAAAGCCCTTGAAGATCTCCAAGAAAAATTAACTTTAAGTACATAGATTGCATTAAACTATCTTAAAACAAACTTAAAAGTGGCAATCACTTTCTAGCCCTTGATCTTAATCATGGGTGTTATAATTGCTATACCTTTCTGTAAGCAAAAAGGTTATGTAATTCACTTTCATTACTTTCACTACTTTTACTGTAACCATTTTCGTTCTTTGAAGAAAATTTTAATCAGTGGAGGCATCAAAAGCATTAGGGTAACAAAAAGTACTTAATTCCCTCATGCATGCATATAATTTATGATAGCAACTAGAAATTCTCATCATTAATGAGAATTTAAAACAAGTCCCACTGTAGATATTGCGGAGAAATTAAATTACATGATTGACAACAAATGAAAAAAATTGCAATTCTGGCTAGGACATGATATCAACTAGAATATGTTAATCATAGTCATTGGATGAAATAATTAGTGGTTACAAGACCCCTTTTTGCATCTTCTCTTCCATGATATTAATCATTTCAAGTTTTCAACCCTGGGAATGTTAGATGTGGCTGCTAGGGTTTCTGATGGGGAAATTTGTTTGTATAGGAAAAGAAGGGTTGAAAGAGAAGCCTATGCTAGTAGGAGGACAATTCATTGTGTCAAGCTTGTTACCTAGATTTTCTAGTGCTTTGACTTGTGACCTGAGAAACTTAAGGTAGTTTGCAGCTTCATCAAGCATTGATGCAGTGTCCATCTTGCTTCCACCAGGCACAATCTTCTGCAAAACCCTAATCCTCTCACTTATTTTCTCCCTTCTTTGCCTGGCAGCCACGGTCTGTGGATCAGTGGATATCCTAACATTCTTCCTTTTAGGCTTTTCCACCACTTCCATGCCCAAGTTCACTGGCCTAAAAGCTGCAGCCCTATATATCATTTCCTTCATTTGTGCTATGGCCTCTGGATCGGGTTCTTCAAAGCAAGGTGACACGGATGAATTTGGTTCCTGGAAGTTGATATTTGATGAACCCGGACGCTTCTCCCACCTGGGTTTCTTGGACTTCGGTGAATTCTCTGAGATAAGCTTGAAACCACCTTCAGTGTCAGAAGCATTCTGCGCAATGCTAAAGCAGGAATCACTGGCAGCAACTTTGATCAACTCATAATGATCATTGCTCCTTTTGGTGCAATTAACTTCATAGTCTATAATTTTTCCTTGACTGAGATATTGATCAGAGGAACTTTGAGATACTGTTTCATCGAGCTCATTGACTGCATACCTCACGTCTTTGTTTCTAGTATTGGAAGCATTGCTCTCAGATTCACCAGAGGAAACTGCACTGCCATAACTGAAGTTCCACAAATTTCTGCAGTCAGAGAAAATCATGGAAATGCCATCATCTTCGACCGACGTGTCAGTATTGCTATTATTAGTAGCTGAAAGCAAGCAATCAAATGACTCAGGAGAGCAAGTAGCCTTGCTTTTTTGTGAGCCATTGATGAGGTGTTGTTGGTGGGCCATGTTGAAATCAGGCATATAATTGCTAGTTTGCTTCACGTTGACTGAAAGGGACGGGCATGGTTGAGATGTTAAAGCATCTTCCCAACTGGCTCCAGCTGCTCCTGATTTCACAGGCATGGTTGCTGTTCTATGTGACAGATTTGTGTTTGGCATCATGTTTGTTATCTCAGAAGTGGTAGCAGCTGATGACTGAACCATGTCAATCACTTTTTCAGAACTGGGATATGGATAACATGTTTGATTAACTACACTTGAACTTATATTGGCCATGGAGTAGTATTCTTCTTCAAGGTCTTGAGACTGAGCGCTCCACAAGACCGGTATGTTGGCAATAAGCTGCGATGAGGCATCCCAACTTAGACCATCCATAGATAGCTAGTTGACAACAACCACTGGTGAAGTGAAACTAAAAGAGATCTAATTGAAGTTGATCCTTCTTACCTATCATGTTGAAAACAAATATATCAGACAACATAAATAGGCCCAAACATATATAAATATATATCCAAATTGTGTAATTATATATGTTTATGTTAAAATATGAATTTAGTGTTGAAGGGCTTACCAATTCTAGATCCAGCTGCTTCCAAAACCAGAAGAATTCTTGCTTGAGTTAGCAAATGAATAGAAGAGGATTAGAAGCAGGTTTCATGTCAACTTGGGTATAATCTGGCTGTAGCATTAACTGCCTTCTTCAATTCTGTAGTATGAAAATTGTGATAAAGGGAAAGAAAACAAACAATGTCAAATTGGGTAACTGAATTTTATATAATGTTTTATTATGAACAGTAACCTAATGACTTTAAGTTGTGTGTTTTATAGAACATTGACCAGATACATTTAACAAAACTGACCAGAGAATAGAAAGTGGGAGAATAAAAGTTGTACCTTCAGATGCCATGGAAGACCAGTACAGATGCAGTGTGTGTTTGTTGAAGGGAAGCTTATATAGATAGGGAGAATAAAAGGTATAAGCTTTTACAATTAAAAAACATAAATTGGAACTTGAACAATTATGTCAGGAATTGGTATAATAAATAGGCATTTGATCGTGTAATATGAGAGGAAAAAAATTTGAGAGGCTATTATAATATGTTTTAAAAGTTTTGAGCAAAACAACGGTTTTTGGAAAAGATAAGGCTTTTGGGTGTGTAAGACTATATTTTTGCAGACGGGGAGCATGAGAATTTTGAATCTCAGTTAATTGAATATTTTATTTTATTATCTTTCTGCTTTTGTATTCTTTTTAAGTGGGGAAAACTCTGACCTATTTTTGGTTGTTTATCTATATTCCATGCGCACTGTAAAGTTGCAGTGAAAGTGAAAGCATCTTTTACAGCATTACTTTCTTTTCAAAGATTTCTGTTAATCATAGTTTTAATCATAGCTTTGTGATGTTTTCACTTTCTACTAATATACTTGTTTAAGTCGGGGTGGTAAATTCTTTGAGGAATCTACTGATTTAAGATTCAACTTTTTGCAACTTAAAACTGCTCCAAATTGAAAACTTTATGGACCGGATGACTCAACTTTGTGGTATTTGCTTAATATATTGTACTCCTCTGCATCTCAGCTCTGCTTTTTATGTAAATGGATGCCCCATTGTTTGTATTAAGGACAGGGAACCCCAATCTCATCTTCTCCAATCCCTTGATTAAATGTACACATCTATATGAAAGTGTGCTATACATGTATTCATAGGAAAAAAGTATAATGACCAATTGGAATCTGGAAATGGAAAGGATATGACTTGCATACATGTATTCATAGGTTATTTCTTTTGGGGCATTCACAATAGCAGAGTGTTTATTGTCACTCGTTTATGTCCATTGTTATTTTTGTTTTTTAAAAATTATACAAAATATTTTAAACAAAATTTATTTAAATATAGTAACAAGAAATACTTTAAGTAACAACAAATATATCTATAATGTATAATTATTTTGTATTAATAATGATAACTTAATTAATTATTTATTATATATAAAAAATTGGTGGTAGATAATATAGTGGAGAGGACTGAAACATTCAACGTGTTGGCAGGCTAGCAAAGGCAGTGAAATGAATAGACAGAGAAAGGAAGTTGGCTATGGCATTTTGTCTCATCACATTTTAGTTTTATCTTTGAATGTTATTTGAAGTTTTCATTGCTCTGGCGGAGACAATGAGGGGTCTCAGTTCTGAGCAGCCATATAGTCTCAGCTTCTCACATGCACCCCATCATTACAGCTCAGTCAATGGGTTCCCATCGCATTTCTTCAACCTCTCTTATACATATTCCCACCAATGTTTTTCTTCACCTAACAGTAGAAATGGTAACACAGAGATTGCTTAACTTGAAGGGAATAAATAAATTAAACTTTTTTTAATATATGTCAATAACTTATACATAAAAATTTATCATAGCAGTTTGAATAGGTTATATTATAATTTCGATAAATCTATCACATCATCAGGCATGACATATTTGGAAAATTAAGTTGCTTGTGAATAGATTTTACATGCACCTAGATTCTAAATTTATTAAGTACCTAATGCTTAAAGTCAAATTGATGTTCGAGTGAAAATTAATATCATACTCAAAGAATGCACAAATACCATCATGATCTTATTAAAAAAAGTAGGAAAAACAAAATATTTAACGTAACCTACATTCTAGTGTGTAGTTAGGTAGGTAGAAATAGTTCAAAAATTTGAATTCTACCAAGCTCTTTTCAATGATCATACAACTATTAACATGAATCCCACACTCAAATGTCATGCTCAGCTTCTTCAAAACTTCGGAATCAGTTTAATTTTAAACCCTATTCATGGTAATTTGACAAATTTCTGAAATAATTAAAAATGGGAAATGGAGAACTTTGAAGTGTGAATAGAGTAACGTCCATAGTTGGTCCATTGACAATTTGGTGGGCCCTCTTTGGGCACCTAGCTTCGTTATTTATGCATGCCCAGCCCAAGAATATAGGACGAGGGCTGTCGGCTTGTCGGCTCGGCTCGATAGCAAGGAGTTGATGGTTCCCATCTTGTAATAAAAAATTAATAATGTAGGCCCCACGAGCCACAACCTTCAATTATAACATGTCACACGTGAACTAAAGCCTCTTGTTTAGACATGGCAACTTTTCATTGGTTGAAGTTATGATGAGATAGGCATCTTCCACTTAGAATATAAATAAATAATGGGGTTGTATTTTAACTGCGGTGGGGACCATCTCATCCAACGATTATGCATTACTATATAACAATCTCTATTAAACTTTATTAAAAAGTGCATTGTTAGCATTTTTTACTATTCTAAACATTATTATCCTATCTTATATACAGTGTAAAATTTCATTCTTCTCATATATTGACGTGGGTGCCTGTTTTGCATACTTGTTTTTTCGTTTCATATCACATTCCTAAGTTTTCATTGACAAATTTCAAACTAGGTGAGAGTTATAATGGAGGATCATGAATTGAAAGCAACTCATTATTTAGGTAAAGTATTCTCTACAGCTACGTCACGATAGAAACTTATTTTTAACGGCAGAGTATTCACAAACCCCCCCGTTAAATATGGTTGAGCAAAATTGAAATTAATTAAAGTATGGAATAATAATGACGAACCCCACTTGCCAAATTGGTTGAAGCCTTGGCTCGAAACTTAAATAATATATATATGTACATAGAGACTAATCAACCCTCTCAAAAACTTGAGTTGTAGTGAAAGCACAAAAACTTTCTTTTATATATTGTACAATATTGACTTATATATGTATCTGTAATACTTGTGGGTGTTTGGTGTGTATGTATATGTACGTACTTACTTTTAAAAAAATGATATTTTTGGCAATAGCTGTGAAAGTAAACCGTGTTTGTTACTTTGCTATAGTCAACCTTTGCTAATTAATATAGGGAGAAGAAGAAAAAGGATAAGGACAAGGAAGGCGATCCAGAAGAAGCTTAATTACGCATTGAGTAGCCTATATATTTGGACCATTAAGAGATAGGCTTTGCCGTCTTCATGTAAACCCATAACCTTCTATGGCCCAAGTTAGAAGCAATCTTAATTATTCTCAAAGCCTTCAATGAGTCTTCTAATAATATAAAATAAAAACTGAGGTGGCCCATTGCCAGCTCTTGCATATATATCATTGATTCACTGCATAATGTGCAATACAAAGCCAAGTTCTGGGTACAGGAATGAAACAAACATGTCGGCCGAAGATCAGATAGGAAAAGGAAAAGGGGTGTTATCACCATCGTTGAAAGAAAGGACTTACATCAACCATGACTTGTCGTGGTCGCAAAAAAGCTTCTCCCTCTCTTTCATGGCAGTGAGTGAGAGAGTTTTTTACTCGCCATGCATGCATTGCATATACAACAGGTTTGTCACATTCAATGGCCTTAACCCAACAACCAAATAAAAGACCCAACCATGGAAGGTGATAATGATGTCGACCCCCACGTGCACACGACACCAGGCCCACACAATCATCTGTGTCCTTTTCTTTTGTTTCCTCTATGTAGTTGAAGGAATTATTGATCATTGTTCATTACCGTTACAATTATTTTGTTCATCATTCTTCTCTATCTAAGTTTCACTGCTCTCGTAACCATTAATGTATTCCAAAATTGGAAGGTTTCCTCTTTTTTGCCCTTTACCTCTTGAATTTTAGTGATAGCTTTAGCATGACTAAAATGAGAGACGCCAAACCTTTAAATACTGTATGCATTTCATCATAATTCCAACCACTAATTTCTAATTAACTATTATCATTATATTTTATCTTTGTAATTATAGTTCTACTTTGCGGAGTCAAACCATTCTAGTGAATTATCCTTTTGTTTTTTGGGTCAAGTAGTGGATTATCCTAAAAATATATGCTAGTGGGTGTCGTGCACAAGATACCTTGCTTTCTCCTCCTAAACTCATCCCTCTATTATTTTGTGGGCCTCAACATTGCATCTTATTATTATCGTGATCGTATTCCATGTTGACCCACTTCACAAAATAAAAGCCCAAATTATGGTCCAAGTGTGGCAAACCCCAGAAAAAAAAAGGCACAGAAACTAAGGTTATTGCACAAGTGCCGTTTTTTGAGTAAAAATAAATAAATTGATTTGCGTATTGTGAAATATACAGGTGTTGCTAAGCATACAAATTACTCTGTACCAGCAAGATTTCATACCTGCTTTCAGCTTAAGCTAGTGCCGCTTTGATCTCATGGAAAATCAGGCCCGGCATAACAGTACAAATACACAGTTCAGGACCCCCAAAGAGAAAAAAAAACATTTAAAATTGCTAGAAAGCATAGTCAAGACCAAGAGACAGAGGACAGAATATGGTCTATTTGTATGCAAACTGAATACTGTTTATTCATCTGGTTTACATCTAATATTTCATGATGGACTAGCACCTCCCCCTCAAGTATGCGAGGATCTGACAAGTGTAGCGTATGACCTATTTCATGGCAGATTCGTCATATGAAGTGAGATCCATATTTTGCAGGTTGCTAAGCATGAATCCAATCTTTTGGGGTACCTGCATAAAATAAAAAATGAGAAACATTTGCAACGTTGCAACAATGTAGTCATCTATGCATATGCTTGTTGCCATTCAAAATGATTTAGTACCCTCATGCAGCATAGTCTTGGGCAGGTAAACCATTAGTCAGACCTTGCAGCAAAAGAGTATGAATTTCCCAATCTAGCACCGAAGACCCAACCTTGACTTATATCTTGTTATATCCCCTGGAAGACATGTCAGAAACAGAGAAATAAGGGAAAGGAAGGAAGGAGGAAACATGCAAGAAAACAACAGTAGAAACACTATTTGAATTGGTGCAGATTACATCACTCACAACTTTAATTCGTACTATCAATGACCTATAATGCATCATACAAATTCAGCAACAGGTAATGTCACAGAGGTGGCCTATAACTGATGAGTTATGACCGCATTAATATATTAGCTACATCTCTTTAACAAAGTCTTGAGAACAGGGTAATCACACTGCAAGTTGAATAGAAATACAAGACTAGGAAAATGCAACTTCTATTGCAGTTTACTGTAGCCCATGGATGCAAGTCATAGTTAATCCTGCTGAACTACATAAATTAAGAGTCCATTTATGATTTATCCATTGAATTCTGCACTTTGCATTCATTTTCATTAAGAAATTGTAATACAAATGGCAGCTATATTTGACAGCAAATCATGAACAAGTGTTATGATAATTACTAGGCCTTTACCCAAAATCTAATCCAACTGAATTTATGCATTAAAGATTTCAAACAAGACAGTCACTCAAAATTCATCAGACATCCAAGGTGCATACTCCTAAGTAGTCCCAAATGTAGCATAAAAAATGAGATGGTGCCCAACCTTGAAATGGTAAGTTTTGATTGTCACAGATTAATGAAGCTCCAGAAGGCAGACACACTCAATATGAGGTGTGTGAGGGAACATGTCAACTGGCTGTAGGCCTACTAGCTTGTAACATCCTTTTATATTCTGTTCTGCCTACACAAAACCTTCAAATTTCAATGTCTCAAATAATTTAATCCCAAAGAAAAAGAATTAATATACAATAAAATAACACATACCACACCATTACAGAGATAATCAAGGTCACGTGCACATGTGGCAGGATTACATGATACATAAACTATGCGAGGTGCCCTAAGATTTAGCAGGAATTTAATCAACTTCATGTGCATTCCTGGGCGGTTGGGATCTGTATTAAGTTTACAATGGTGAGAAGCGTGAAGCATTGGGGTCACACACAAAAGATAACCAATATTAAGAACTGCAATTCAGTCAGTGTGAAGAAAACATATGATCAGCATGTTAATATCTAAAATGGAGCTAAGTTAGTTTTCTTGGCATAGAAACTGTATGTTGAAATCTTGAAGCACACAATGATAAATACCAGTAGAAACTAAACAAAGCAATTGGCACAGAAAGCTTGATAAGTTCACTTTTGCAGGACACTTATCGACTTGATTTAATGAAACAACATTCAAGTGATGGGGAAAACAAGTTGAATAACAGTGGCAAATCCAATAAGTAGAAAGGTATCTCCATCTATACCTATGATTAAGATTTGAGACTATATTCAAGTAAATAGCTTCCAGCACAAGCCAAACTAATTGGGAGAAACAAATATAACAAAAAAATAAGTACAAATAAAGAAACTTAAGAGTAACGAAACCTGAAATAACAATGTCCGGTTTAGGAAAATTCTTCCCAAAATTCTCATCAATTTTATTGAGATCCCCCTGGATAAATGTTGCATTTTGTATGCCATTTATCTTGGCATTAAGACGAGCATCTGCAATGGCTTGAGGAACTACTTCATAGCCATAAACATGTCCTACCCTGTTCAACATTGGAAGATAATAAATTAGTCGCATGGTTTGATAGTTTATCCTTATATACTATTTCTTCCAGTCCTTTTTATAAGAAACAAAAGACTAAATCACCAGAATTAAGGAAAACAATTAATTCTATTATGTTTTCCATAAATATAAATTTTATTCCAAAAATACCCATGATATTAAATGGTGTAATTAGTAATTTGTATATTTAATGATATTAATAAAAGAATGGTATAAAAGAAACTTAGCAATTAATGCATCTTAAATCTATCATTTATTTTTTATAATAAAGACAAAAAAAATGGTCCATTTTGTTTCTTATAAAAAAGATTGGAGGAAGTAATAGTCTAAAACTAGATGAAGATAAAAGATTACCTTCTTGCAAGTGTCAAACCTATGGTCCCTGTTCCACAAAACAGGTCAAGGACAATTTCTGAGCCATCGCCACTGACTCCAGCACAATCTTCTATAAGCTTATATAAAACTTCTGCCTAAAAGGGAAAAGAAACATGCTTTTTTTTTGGACAGATGGCCATGATTAAATATAAGAAATAAAATATGGGACAGGATCCAAAGAGAATGCCAATTATTTTGGCATATTGCAAACCTGATAAGTATTTGTCTGAAAGAAAGAGTTTGCTGATATTTGGAATGTAAGCCCCCTTAAGGTCTCTGTTATGCTAGATTTCCCATACAATGTATATTCTTCCTCCCCAACAGATGTGTTACCAACAGAAGTATTTACATTATTAATGACGCTTACCTATCATTCATGTAAAGGAGAAACTTTAATGGTATTAAAAACAAATATAAGCATACAGTTTGGAAACAAGTTAACAGGTCATTACTCATTTTGTGATAATTTCCCAAGAAATTCTATCTGACTGTTGGCATTGTAATACTGAGTAAAAATTGCATTGCAAACTCAAGTACCAACCACTTCAAGAAATGAAGAAGCAGAATGTATATTCAGAAGAAAAAGGTTACTAAAAACATAAGTACCAACCACTTCAGGAAATGCAGAAATTTTATCAACTAGGAACTTCAACAGGTCTGGCTTGTAGGAAGAGGTCACAAAGTTGACCATAATTTCAGGCAGACCAGTTGTTACATCCCTGGAACAAACTTACATCGATTAAAAAAAGTTACTATTGAAAGATATAAGAATGTATGAAAGGAACAAGTGTTAGGGATGTGTTCAAATAACTATAGACATTAGACACTCTTCAACTTGAGGAATTGTGTAAGGTATATGTACTTGAAACAATTAAGTCAGGGATCATGAGATATAATTTATATACCTTCCTGTTCTCAGCATCAAATGCTTAAGAAATCCCAAGTGTGAATGAACATTATAGGGAGAAAAACCGAGTTGTGGATCTCTCCAACATTCTTGGATAGCGCCCAGTGCCTATTCAAAATTTCAAGTCAAAACAGGAGAGTGTGCCTTCCGAAGACGTGATAGAAAATCAAATAATTTAAAAGAACAATAATACATGGCACACCTTATTAGCAGGATCAGATTGCAGTAAGCACTTATCAACATTTAGAATTTTATCAAAAAAACCAGGAGCATGCAATCCCAGTGCATAATTTTCATTCCCACCATCCCCACCTCGTTCATGCAACAACTCTTTAGGTAACCATCTATGGGGTCCAAACGAGAATTCCATCTGCACAAACACGTAAACAGAAGCTATTCACTATCAGCTGACATTTTATTAAAAAAAGAAAAAGGTTAACACAGCAACACAAACCTTATTCCTATAATGAAACTGAATATCACAAGGGACAATAGGCTTCACAATGGCGTCCAATTGGAGTTCTTTGGAAGAAAACCTTCCAACGTGAACCAACAAGTCACGAACCTGCTCCTCCTTGGCTCGGAGCTGAGCCTCGTAAGACAAGTTTTGCGTCTTGCATCCGCCACAGTAAGGAGCATAGACACAGGGAGCATCAACGATGTCACGTGGAGGAGTTAGGGTCTTAACCTTAGTAACCTGCACTTGTCAACCGAATCAGAAAAGGAAGAGTGAAAAACGAAATGAAGAAGAAAAGAGGAGAGGGAGTTGCCTCGGCGTAATTGCCCTTTTTGCGGGTGACACGGCCGATGAAGTGTTCGCCGGGAAGGGCACGGTCGCAGAGGACGACGAAGCCGGTTTGGGTGACCTTGCAGAGGCCCTTTCCTTTGAAAGCCAGGGATTCGCACACCAGTTCCAGGGTTTGCCCGCGCTTCGGGAAATAGGAATTCGGGGTTTTGGTGGGGTCCACGTCTTCGGCGAGAGAGCATTGGAGAGTGGATAGCGAACGAGAATAACAGGAAAGTGGAACTCGGAACTTGCGGATTTGCAGTGGCAGAGTGCTTGTTAGATTTGAAATGCAAGCCATTTCGCGGCTCAACTCTTCACTCTCAATGTTGGTTTCCACGCCCACTCTTCCCTCTCATCCATGATATGGCTAGTTTGAAGTAGCTTAACCAAATAGCATTATTTTAAAAATTAATTTTTAAATATAATTTTAACATTAAAATTAAAATTACAAGGAATATGTATCACAAAAGAGATGACACATTGCAACTTCTAGTGTATTGCATTTTGCAATATACTTGAAATACCCGACTGTTACGCATATCGGTCTTTAGCAAATGACACATTTTGTTTCAACTTTTTTATATAATTTAAAAATTAATTTTTAAAATAACCCTATTTGAGTCAACAAGTTGTTTAAACTCCACTCATCTCTTAAAATAAGGTAAATACAAGTAAACACTCTTAAAACCCGAATTTCACATGCTTGAAACAGGACATTTAAAAAAAACTGTATCAAATATTTTTTATATATTATTATTTTTGAAGTCCAGAACACAAGCAATTTGATATGGATAGGATCACGGTAGATGACTATTATTTTTAAATACAGTAGTTTATATTTAATTTTATTTATTTTTTTAACTTAAAATCTGAATACATCGGGTCAAATTTTTTTCTGCTAATAGATTTGTAGATGAGCACGGTTAATGAGTTTTACGTGGAAGCGGAATGGAATTATTTGAATTAAAAAGCAATGCATTTACAACCAAGGTATGTGTCAATGCAATGTCCCACTACTACCTCGTGATAAAAAAACCAACAAGAGCATTCTACGATCCGTGTTATAATTCATCGTGATATTGCCCCTTCACTAGTGGTACTTGTTGATTTGATTTGAGAAGATATGTAGTAGCCAAAGACGCATGAAATGCAGCTCCATAAGGAAGTACATCTTCATTGATTTTGAAAGAGGGAGAGTGTGCTGACCCAAGACGTTCACCAGAAGCACTCTCCATTCCAAGTAGGAAGAAGTAGCCAGGAAAAACCTCTTGATAGAATGCAAAGTCCTCAGCTCCCATCACTGGTTGCATGTCCTTAACTTTATCTACTCCTACCAAACTCCATGCAACGCTTCGAAAAAACTCATGCAAGTCACCATTGTTTATTGTTGGGGGGAAGAAAAGTCTCTCTTCATCAAGAAAGTTGACCGTTGCATTGCATCTTTGCACAGCAGCTTGCCCTGTGATAACCTACATAAATGAATCAGCCTTAGCCCCTAATACCATTCCACTCAAAACTACAATCGTTTCTTGGTTGCAACACAAACCAACGAAAAAAGGTCTACTAGAGTTTGTTAGCAATTTGTATTGTAACATAAGAATACAACACATTGTGTGCTAAAAAAATTAGCTCATTAGTTCCACTTTACTGTATATATGAATCTATTCTAGTCCATAACTGACCTGCTCAATCCGCTGCTTTAGTTGCATTAAGCTTTCCTTTGAAAAAGCTCGGAAGGTGCCACTAATTGTGACGGAGTCTGGAATAACATTGAATGCACCACCTCCTTGAAATTTTCCTACAGTCACAACCTGTGGGGATATTCTGTGTTAGGAATCACACAGAAGATTGCCTCCATAAACAAGAAATTACTTCTAGAAGCAAGGCTTTTATCATATTCAATAATCTTTGTTAACAGATATTTGTAAACAGATGATTTTGTGGTATGTTTTCCATCGTACACATTTTCCCCCCGGAAATAGCTACAAGTGTAGGCAAGACAAAGTGCCTACAACATAGGTATTGATTGTATAAGTTATGAGAATCTCTATTCTTTGATAACATATCTACGATGAAGGCCCACAAGGATACAAAGCTTTTGATGCTCAATATAATGATAACAAGTTTAAGGTCTCAGATTAATAATATGAAAGTTATGTATGTAGTTAACTAAAAAGAGTGGGCGAAAGCAAGGGAAGCTAAGAATTGCTAAAGAAACTGGTTTGCTAGCTCAGGCCCAACCAATACTTTCCTTTAGCTTCCCTTTGTTCTTTCTGATGTCCACATAGTTAAAGAAGTAAGCATATACAAGACAGAGTTTGCCATTTTGGTAGTCATGGATTCAAAATATGGTATAAATGCAATGCTCTCAGACAAGGTAAGGATAAAACTAAGAGTAGATGAGCATGGGTGGCAAGAAGGTAAAAAAGAATGAAATAAAATAAGTTTACCTGGGAGTCCAGAGGATCGGCCTCACGAGAAACAATATGTTGTAAGCTAACAATCACATTGGAAGCTGCCAATATTGGGTCTATAGAGTGCTGAGGGATAGCTGCATGACCTCCCCTACCATTTATTATTGCTTCAAAGAAACCACTTCCTGCCAACATAGGACCTGACCTAGAGGACACTTCACCTAAAGGTGAGGTAGGATCAACATGCAATCCGAAGATGGCAGAGATATTTTCTAGGACTCCAGCATCTAAAATTTTCTTAGCCCCTCCACCTCCTTCTTCTGCTGGTTGAAAAACAAGAACAACAGTTCCCTATAGAGACAAAATAAGGAACGATATTAAGGATCCACGAGGATGAAACAACAGAACACAACAATTCAGAAAAAGTAGTAAGCAGGAGTAACTGTCCTTGAATAGTTGATGATGTAGTGGCCATTTTTTCCCTTTTCCATTTCTTTTCCAGTCTTCTTCTAAATTATGTGTCCGTTACAATTACAACAATCACGGATGCATCATGCTTTAAGACTAAAGTTGCATACCAGATCATAGGATTATTTAAGTTTGTAACATAAAAAGTTGGCATAATCATAATTGGCAGCGGTTTCCCAATATGACATTCATGGTTAAAATCTATTCTATTGATTTTCTCATTAATGGTTGAAATGTCTCACTTTTCTCTCTGAAGTGAACTAATCAATCACTTCCGAGGAGCCAAATATCGTATCCTTGACTAGATAGAGCATGGACGTTCTAAATTATTTGAAGAGAATACATCAACAAAACATTAAAAGATAGTAAAACAAGACGTTGCCTATGCATAAAGAAAAGTAACTACCATCACCCCCCCCCCCCCCGCCCCCCGCCCCCCGCCCCCAAAACAAACAAATAAATAATGAATGTCAAAAAGCATACCGGTATCTCCTTTTCATGCTCTTTGAGGATCTTTGCAGCACCGAGAAGCATAGCAACATGAGCATCATGACCGCATGCATGCATCTTTCCAGGTACTTTACTCTTGTGCTCCCACTCCATTTCCTAATGTTAAATATAGCAAATAAATAAATGAAGTATACGAAAGAGTGTCCCCATAGAAACATAACCCATAAATTGGAAAAGGGTCAGACTACTAGCAATGAAAAATTGATCAAAAGCAAAACATTAACTTTAAATCAAACCCAAAAGGAATCCGAAACATAAGCACATGGTAAGCATATATGAAGAGAAAGAAAACATAGAAATCATGTATACCTGCATAGGAAGAGCATCCATGTCTGCTCTTATTGCAACAAAAGGAGAAAGTCCAGTCCCTATGAAGCCAATAACACCAGTAACTGCAACTGGGTGCTTATATGAGATGCCCAGTTTATCCAATTCCGCTCTAATCAGCTCACTGGTCTCAAATTCCTCAAAACCCAGTTCTGGATTCTCATGAATTTTCCTCCTGATACCCACCATCCAGTCAAAAACCCGAGGATCCTTCGCTAAATCTAGAAACTTGGCAGCGTGTTCCTTTAAGCTGAAGGAGGAATCAGAGAAGATGGGGGTCGCAGCAAAGAAATTAAAAAAGATGAACAAGTTGATCCATTTGAAGAAACCCATGGCTACTTTAGACTTTGAATGGGTCTGGGAAAGAAAAACGTACAAGATGAACCAACAAAACTCACAGATTACAGCACTGCACAGTTTGCAGTACGAGTGTTGTTAATATTGACTTCTGCTTGGCCAATATAATTCTACACGTATACCCAAAAACTTGAACATCAAATAGAGGTTTTTTTTTTATATGAAAACAAAATATGGTACTTTGAACAAAATTATATAAATATGAGATTATTTCAGTAATTATTTTTGAGAAGTTTTTTTTTTCATTTTTAATATTTTTTGAAAATTTGTCTAAATTTAATAGATTTTTGTTACTTTATCGATATTTATATAAAAAAAATCGTTGCTAACCATTTTAAATTTTATATTTTATAATTTTTTAAGAATATTATATTTTAGTATTTATTTTAAAAATTCTATATATAAAAAAATTAATCTTCAATTTCGAAAGAATCCAACAGACATTAATCCTTTTAACCTCGAAAGATACAGCTCCAAACGTATGACTAAGGAGCAGTTTAAAAAATGATAAACATGTGGATTTGAATGTGTGGCCGGTGATGTCACATCAGAAGGTCTAAGTCACAGCACGTGACATTCCCACATTTCACGCTTTTGCTAAATTAAAAGCACTTCAAAAATATTTTAATCAAATTCGAAACAGTCTTTAAATAGAGATAGGCTTAATTGGCATTATGCATCAATTTTTGTAAAATGGTATTTAATAAATTTAAAATACAAGACCATCAAGATAATATCATACAATTTAATAATTAAGGTGATAAATTTTTTACTAAAATATTAAAAAGTCATTTTATAAAATTTTATATATATAAATAAATATTGAAATTTATATAATATACAAATTTTAAAAATAGATATATGATTTCAACTGTTATATTTAATATTTTATTAATATGAAATTTAAAATATAATTAGTATTTTATCTAACTATTTTATTTATAAATGAACTAATAAAAAAATATTCGTGTTAATAGAAAAAAGATGTGATAAGAAAGAATATTTTCTTATTAATTTGTGATCACTAGACGGGATCTAATCAAATGCATTTAGTCAAACTAAGAATTTAATGTACAATTAGATTTCATGAATAATGATTATGTGGTGTAGCAAAAACATATTTAGAAGATGATAGTTTTTTTTTTTTTTTTAAACATTAGTAATTTACAATTTCAATTATCTTCAAACATACTTAAGGCATAACTCATTAAAATTATTTTTAAAAAACAACTGAACATACGTTAATAAATTCCAATAAACACAATAACTATGTAATATCAAAGAAAAAAAGTATATTTAGCAAATTTAAGGAACATTTTTATAACTTCTTAAACTAACAAAGCTAAAAACAAAATTCTTTACCAAGTTAATATATTTAATTATCCCTTCTCGTGTAATTAGAGAATCATTAAACTGATTTATTGTGAAATTTAAAAATTTAATTGTCTTGAAAATAACTGTAAATGTCAGTGGTTGCCAGTTTTATAATCTTTACATCGTTAAATAGAACAGAAAATTTGATGATGTTTAACTAAATGGAGCATTTGTTTTTTTGGTGAATAGTAGGCAAAGTCTAACATGAGTTACGCTGGACATTCCTTGTGGTTCACTCTGGACATTCTATCTTGGGTCCATGGCAATGTAACACTCTGTCTGGGCCCACGAAGAAGCCCACGATCTTCTGCTGCTATATCATCGTTCCCTTCCAAGTCGGTGTTCGTCTCTTTCGCTCTGTCTCCCTCTCCAATTCGAAAACCCTTCGTCTCTGTCATAAAAAAGAAATAGTAAGAAAAGAAAAAAGAAAACCCTTCGTCAATTTATGTTATTCGTTTTCTTTATCGATTCATCTATTGTGATCAGAGATCACGTAATTTTTACCACCTAAGTGCTTAACGTTTCGCTTAGTTTCCCCCAAACAAAAGTAATTATTAGGTATTTCATTTTTCAACAATGTCTTCAATTTCATCGCATCGTTTGCCTGATCGCTTTCTTTGTCTTCAATTTATTCGGCAACGTTTCGTTTTTTTCGTTCAATTCTTTTTTCTGGGGTTTGGAATCTCACGGAGTTGTCAATCCTAATTCTTAAAGTTTTTGACTTTTTGGGTGGAGTTCGTAATTTGTGAAGTGATTCTGATAACTAGTTGTTTTCTTCGCCATTTTTTGAGTGGTTTAGATATAGATTTATGGAGTTGGGACGATTGGATTTTGTGCCATCTATTCTTGTTGTGGATTGTTCCCCTTATGTTTTGTGCTTTATGTTTCTTTATCAATAGCTTGATATGATTATCAGATTAATCTCAAACAACTGCCTATTCATGATTTTTGGTAGTAAAACAGAATGAACTTAAACCCATTATAATATGTATTTCTTGGTTATGTAAAGTGTGAATCTTTTCTGAATTCTCCGTTTCCTTTCAAAATTGTGATTAATGTCAGTGTGTTCAGATATCTGCCCTGTCAAATGGTCTCTGATGGCGTGCCTCTGCATTTGACATCAGGGAGAAAAAGGAAACACAAGGTAGAGGATAATTCCAATTGTGTTCGAGAGGGTACTAGGCTGAAAGAAACTCAAGGAAAAAAAGATTTAGATCAAATGGACCAAAGTGTTGAATCTGTGGATCGTATCTCGCAGTTGCCTGATCATGTCATCCATCACATTCTCTCACACCTTCGAAATGTGAAGGATGCAATTCGAACCAGTACTTTGTCCAAGAGATGGAGAGCATTGTGGTATTCTTTTTCTATTTTAATTTTTGATGAACGAAGGTTTGCTGCTGGAAATGAACATGAAGATGCAAGTAAAAAGGAGGTGACGTTTAGAGATTATGTATCTAACTATCTACATGGCCACCTTGCAAAAAAATTGTACATACAGAAATTGATGGTGCACATGACCTCCTTTGACTTAGAAGATACCCCATTTGTGAACCATTGGCTAAGTGTTGCCATTGCAAGAAACGTCCAAGAACTAGATCTCCACGTTGGCATCAAGAATAATAGGCGCTATACTCTACCAAAAATTATCTTTTCATGCAAAACACTGACTGGGATAAGGTTAAGTGGTTGCAAACTGGAAACATGCGATAATATAATGCTTCCCCGTCTGCAGAAGCTTTATCTGCGCAAACTTTCCTTGGTTGATCATATGATTCAAAATATGATTTCCGGCTGTCATTCAATTGAAGATTTAAGAGTCATAAAATGCTCAGGTTTGAAACATCTGAATGTTTCAAATCTCATTCAACTCAGTAGAGTTGAGGTCCACAACTGCAATCAACTGAAGAAAGTTGAAATCAGTGATCCCAATCTTCATACATTTTGGTTTTGTGGCAAGAATACAACTTCCTGTAAAGTTAGTTTGGAGGGGTGTACATCTCTGAAGAGGTTGACACTAGAGCATACCCAAGTTATTCGTGACTTTTGTGAAAATCAGATCTCCAATTTTCCCTTACTTGAAAAATTGGATCTAAGTATATCCGGAAAGATGAAACATGTTATGATTTCAAATACTCATCTTCAGAAATTTGCTTTGAAAGGATGCAAGAAATTGGGTCTTGCTCTACTAGAAACTCCTAATCTTGTCTCTTTTGAGTGCAAGGGTGAGAGCATGCCCTGGACTGAAATTCACCCTTTCCGCCTCAACGTTGCCAAACTTTCTTTCATATCTAAATCTGAACGTAAAATAGTTGGAAATGGTGACAAAATTTGGTTTCTCATGAAAGCATTTATTAAAAAGTTCGACAGTGAAGAATTTAGATTGGTTCTCTACTCAAATAAGGTATTTTTCTTCTAACTTTTTAGACATATCTGGTTGGCTACTTTGAAGAATTTCTGCCTCTAAACAACACTTAAGTCTCATTTGTTTTTTCCTTATCTGGTTGCTTAATCCAGAATATTGTTGTCCATGAAAATTTGAACAATTTCACACTTCCTCCGGCGCCCGACCTCAGTTGTGAAATTATCAAATCATCAGCCCGAATCGATGATACTTTGTACAGTTTGTTGCGGACATTGCACCCAGTAACTCTATCTATAATTTCTCCATTTGACAGCAAATTCCCTAAGGTAAGATTGTTCTTTCTATTTTTATTTTCTATACAATATACATTCATGTTGAATTTATTACTTCTGAAAGCTTACTTGAACTGCTTTTGCTATAACTGATTGCAGTTAGTGTGTGAAACGATAAAGAACGAAGATGAGGATCCTATCTGTTGTAAATTTAATGCTTTGAACAATAAATGTTGGCGGCATTTCATGAAGGATGTCAAGTTTGAGGACCTTAATGATATGACGTTTGAAGACATCGAAGCCTATGAAGACAAAAGGACTTCAAATTGGTATAATTGGTTGAAGTCCTCGTATGCCAAATCGCAGTGTCAGATTACTAATCTTAGATTATACTGGAATTCTCACCAACAAGATAGGAAGACAGAACAATTATTCACAGAAAATAGTTAAATGACAGTTGTTCTGTGGAATTTATTCCATTGCACACTCACTCTTCTTTTTTTGCACTCTTCTTTTTACTGTTATAGCAAAAGAAATTATATGTTCGGAAGAACATTTTATATATTTATTTATCATGATTTTATAGCGCTTCTGGACACTTCATTTTAGTGTTGCCTACTATTCTAAATTCCATTTGACATAAGAATATTTTACCGTGAGAATATGTCGTGCTCCCACTGGATGGTGGTGGCCATGTAGTATATCGTAAATTATAATTGAAAATGAGTTAACATGTCTAATTATAATTCGTCTAGCTTATAAAGATAATAATAGACTATGCTTTATCGAAAAGTTATAGTGATATTCTTTCAAATTTGTTCGAATAAGATGCTCTGCATAACAGTCGCCAATTTGTTGCTTATTAACATCATTTTGCGTTGCTGCTCATCATAACTTATTGTTGTTTCTTCTGTCACTGGTATAAGCTCCCTTTCCGAGTTAATTGGCCTTATGGTAAAGAAACGCTAGATCCCTATCGTTTTTTCTTCTCTAATCGATGTTTCTTTTGTTCTTTAACGTTGTTGTTAAGTAGAACTCGTTGACCATACGAAGAGTCCAGTTTTATGATGCTATCTGTTCTAGATTTTGGGTAGGAAGTTTCAGTTTTTACAGATCTGAAAAATGGAAACCTGTGATGAAGAAACAAAATTACTATTTGATCTAGCTACTCAGCTCTTTAAACGTACTGATTAAGAAATTAATAAATAATAAAATTTTATTAAATTTTTTTTATAATAAACATTAAAAATTACAGGAATATTTATTTTATGTTTTTTAATTAAGAAAAATCTAGTTTTGATTTCTGAAGTACACTAAGTAGAATTTTCCTTAACTATTAACGGAAGTACTGCTGTGATTTTGCTTTCCTTGTCTACTGTATTGCTTGAAAGGATGTGGTTAAGTTGCATGCTGTTAAATTTTGCATGTTAAGCACATACTGGTGTTAGAAGTTCATCGTTGTATTGGGACAAATATAAATAAAATTGATCCTTGTGTAGTTATGGTTGTTTTGCACACAGTTAATAGAGTAGTGTGATACAATTTGTAGGATGGAACAAATAAGAAGACAAGCGTGACAGTGGGACCATGGGGTGGCGAAGGTGGGACTATCTGGGATGATGGAACATTCACAGGGGTGAGAGAAATAAAACTTGTTTATGATCATTGTATAGACTCAATCCATGTTGTTTATGATAGGAGTGGTAAGCCTTTCAGAGCTGAAAAACATGGAGGAGTTGGAGGTACCAAAACAGCTGAGGTTAGTTCAATTAGTACTTCTTTTTGCTTCACTATCTCATCTAAGAGATACAATTTACGTGCAGTTTTTTAAATGCTCTTTTTATATTATTTTTTATTGTTTAATAAAACATCTTAAATTATATAAATTAATAATATTATAATATAATAACACAAAAAACAACTAACCTAAGTTTTGTTGTATAAATATGTTGTATTTTTCTCTGTCTCCTAGATAAAGCTGCAATACCCAGATGAGATGTTGATCAGTGTGAGTGGGCACTATAGTCCAGTTACTCGTGGTGGCACCCCCGTGATTCGGTCATTGACATTGAAGAGCAACCGCAGAAGCTTTGGACCGTACGGAGTTGAAGAAGGGACCCCATTCACTTTTTCAATAGAAGGAGGCTGTGTGGTGGGCTTTAAGGGACGAAGTGATTGGTATTTGGATGCTATTGCTTTCACTGTGTGTAGTGCACGACCAAAGTCGCTGCTTCAGAAGATGCAGAGAGGCTTCCAAAGGCTTGCAAGCACTCCTGCAAAATCTTCATTCTCCTATGATGCCTAGAAGACCATATGAAATTGTGACTTTTCTATGTATCATGTGCTCAAGAGTGTAGATTTCTCTTTGGTTTTTCTTCACTAGCTTTTTCAAGTAAATGCTTAGTTTGAGAGTGTGAACTATAATTGAAATGAGGATAATGTCTTCTTAGCCAAAAAGTCATAGTTGAGAATATAAATAAATGTGTATGTGTTCATAATTATTTTGCATAGGCCTGATGCAACTATGTTAATCTTTTTCATTGCCAGTTAAATTAACACATAAAATTGATACCTTAAATATATTAATAAGTTATGATTGATAATAAAAAAAAAAACTACTGTCATTTTAAACTTTTAAAAATGACATATAAATAAAAAAAAACTAAAAGGTAAGAGATTAAAAAAATGAAGGAAGTAATATATACGATATTTAATAACAAATAAAGTTTATGAAAAAATGTGCATCTGCATGACAAATATATACAAGAGCTATACTCATCCATTAGGTATTCACCTCCTTCCTTATTGCGAATAAATTGCACTTGTACTCGTGGATGTATTTATTTTTGTCATCTTTAATTTGAACAATTTAAAAATTTAACAAATTTTAATTTTATTTTATTAGGTCATCTAATTATAGTTTAACATCCCAAGCTTGAATATGGGATAACCCTTGTCTACCTTAATAATAGCTTCAATTTTGTTTTAATGACTTTATTAGATGCCACAATAATAGTTTTTTAGAAATGGTAATATACTATTTATTGGATATTCTCGTTCTAACACATTTTGACTTTGTTTAGTATATATCAAGAGAATTTAAACTAATCTTTTTTCAAAAACAAATAAATTATTGACATAAATTGTACTTCTGTTAATAAATTTAAAAGAAACTGTGGCTCTAAGAGCAATAACACTTATCTACTGTGTTTGTAGACTCAATTGCTGTGCTCTATGATGATCGCGGTTTTCCTTTCAAAGCGTAAAAACAGAGGACGTGGAGGTAATAAACTGCTGAGGCGAGCCTTTTTATTTACCTCTCTCTTTTTTGTGAAATATAAGATGTAATTGATTTTGTTATTCATTTTCATCTCTAATAATTGCCTTTTAATGAAGTATATCGCTATGTTTCCTAGGTTATACTACAACACCTGAAAGAGTTCCTTGTCAGGGAGTGGTCCATTATGGTGGAATAAATATACCGAACATGCATGATCGTTATATTCGGTCGTTGACATTGCAAGGCAATTTCAGAACTTTTGGACCACGTGGAGTTGAAGTTTTGGGTTTGAATGGTCGCCGCGGCTAATTGTTGGACACTACTGCATTTCATTTTCAATTCTTATGCGGTAGCATGCAATTCAATGCAGAGTCGTATGCTTCTGCTAAAACAAGTTACAACTGGAGTTGAAGTTTTAGTATACTGAAATAGTACAAGAGGTGTTTTTACTTGAGAACGATTGTGTTGTTGGTTGGCACAACTTTTTCTTACAAATCTTATAAAAATGACATTTTTACAGTTGCAGCATTACTTGGACAAATATTTTAACTTGTGCTTTCATTAGATTAGTTTTTTATATCATAATATTGCCTATGTGAGTTGACATTGTTGCTTTTGGTTTTACCCTTTTATGAAATAAAACCCTTGGTTTTGGATAATCACTTTCATTCCTTCTATCCCACTCTTACGTGGGTAATTTGCCCTTTAATAAAACAAGTTGCTACGTTTCCTAGGTACCCAAAAGAGTTCATCTCATAGCACGGTAAACGCACGGCAAAGTTTGATCCATGTATTCAGTTAACATTTCAGATGGTTGTTACCGGACAAGAAGTTAAATTAGGCACCACATTGGCCCAGAATTCCTTATATACATTACACGCCATCTTTTGGATTTAGAAGAAACTTGGTTCAACTTGAAAAAATTATCATTTTTTTTAGCGCTCTGATAAAAATTAAAATAAAATTCAACAATTAGGGTTTTTTATATAAAAAAATTGTCTACATGAAAAAAAAAATGATCTTTAACATGCCAGCAGCAGTTATTGTTTGGAAGCTATTGCATTTAATACTTTGCATGGATGGCTAGATTGTAGTTTCCCGGGTAATTAAGTGAAACGTAATGCAGACTATACACAGTCAGTAAAAGCTAACATACATTATTCGCGATGGTTATCGTCATGCTCTCTTATTATGCATGCCCATTCTTCCTTGGTCATCATGTAAATAAATCCCACACAGGCAAAGCATTGGTGACACTTAAAAATATAAAACCAATTATATACTTATCTCAAACGTTCTAGCATGAAAAGTGAAATGTATTTTTCAAATTACATTTTCCCAGTACCGAAACACAACCCAACATAAAAACATCAACCACGAAGCATATAATTGATACACGTTCAATAGGAAATGAACCAGAATCCACGCTATAAGAGCCAAGAAGCATTCTCGGTGGCTAATTGTAGACGTAGACTTTTAGGGTGTATAAATGTGCAACACAACCAAGTAGATGTTGCACACTTTAAAAGCATCTGCGATTGGTTTATTACATAAGATAACTTTACCATACATTACATTGGTTTACAACACACAGATTTCCAAGTTGTGAACCCAAACGTCGTCCAAAAGGATGGCAAGGCAACTTGAAAATACCTCAAAAATAATTGGATAGATGGAGGAAGGAAAAACATTTTCTAATGTAATAAACTTTTGGCAAAAGTGAAGAGCTTTTGTCCAAAAATGTTATTAATCTACCTCCTCCAAGATTTCCAATGCAGTCCAACATAAATTTTAATAAAGATAATCATAACAGTTAGTGGTGTATTTGAAAAAGCCATAAATATCCTTTAATATCTTAGAGGTAATCTCCCTTAATAAAAAGTTAACATTTTTTATCCCTTGGAGCACTGGTAGCCCAAAACATTATCAACCAAAATTTTCATAAAAGAATCTCCCCTCCCGAGCATTCAAACCGTGTAAACAAATAACACTTTAACATGAATTTTCAATCTGCATCACGCAGACGTAGCCCTTTCCAAAATCACCCGCACAATAACGAACTCCTCAGTTCTCTAATCCACCAAAAAAAATCACACATAAACCGCAATCAATAATTCCAGAAAACATGCCAAAGACAAACAGAAGCATTCAATTAATCTATTAAATATTCACACAAGCATAAAAGGAAGGGCACAGAAACCCCTCAAAGCGAAGTGCACATAACAATATCACGTACTGTTAAGGGCAACCAAATTAAGTTTTCATATACAGAAACATATATAATAGTAGTATAACACTGCATCAGCGTCGAGAAAGAACGATAACAACCATAACGATGATCATATTAACCTCTAGCCTTGAGCTCAGCAAGGCGCCTTGACAAATCATCTTCGTCGACTTTGTCGGCGTCTTTGACCGGAACGGCATGGGCAGCAGGTTGGGGCAGACCGACGGAGACTTCGAGGCCGTAATCGTCGGCGACCTGTTGCATGAGACTATTGACCTCTCCCTCGGGAGTGGAGAGCGAGGTGGATCCGGCCATGGCGCTCTCCATGAACTCAGCTTGGACCTCCATGTTCACGAACTGCTTCTCGAACTGGTCCATTGTCTCCGACATCTTCTGTAGGTTCCCTGTGGCAAGAGAAGATTCCAGCGATTTCACGATGTTCCCCATCGATTTGTTGATCGTCGTCATCTTCGCTTGGGTGTCGAGACGCGCCACCACTGCGTCTAGCCGCGAGGCCAGACGTAGGTAGTTCATCTGCTCCGTACGCTTGCGGATCGCGTTCTCCGCGTAGATCCGCGCGCCGTCCATGTTTCCTTTCTCGATCGCTTTCTTCACCTTCAGCTTCTCTGATTTCTCTTCCTTCTCGCATTTCCGAGCTTGCCGCTGCAGCGATTTCGACGTGAATTTCAATTCCATGATCTGGTTCATCAGCTTCTCCGTGTTCCCCATCGTTATCGGTTAGGTTAGGGTTTTTGGATTGGGAATTTCAGATATACAGAGAGAGAGAGAGAGAGAGAAAGGGAATTTTGAATTTGAAGTCTTTTCTAAAGTTTCTTGTGATTTTTTTATTAATTGTCAAAAGTCATTTGGGCTCCTTCCAGGAACCGTTACTACTACTCTTTCTCTCTCCCCGCTACGGCCCAACCTATGTAAATATTATTAACAATTTATTTATTATTCTGATTATAATAAATGCATTTTTTATTAGAGTTTAATGAAATAACATTGAATATTTGACAAATATTTCAAACATAAACGAGAAAATAGGCAAATTTATTATAATATTATAAATTAAAAAATAATTTATTATTTTATAATAAATCTGAAACAATTTCTTAATCTGGGATTTTTTTGCCACGTTGATCAATTTTTTGCCATAACAGCCGGCGAAAGTAATTAATTTTTAAATTTTTTAATATCTATTTTGTCACAAAAAGTACGAAATTTGACTTTTTAGAGCGGTTAACCGCTCTCATAACTCTATTTATATTATCTACTCTTTCTTCCTTTTCAATGTAAATATAAACAATAAAAATAAAGTTATTTATCATTGTATTATAAACATTATAAATGAAAGTAATGAAACTCTAATTTAATTTTTTATATTACCTTCACTGTCGGCTTCACAATTTTATTTGCAGTGAAACTTTATTTTTTACGACTTTCAAAGTGGGTACTCATTTTTATTTGAATAGTATGTGAAGTGTCAATAATCTTTAAAAGTTTGGAAGGTAATTTTAACACTTCACCATTACCTTTAAAAAATTATCACATAAAAATGGTTATATGTTTTAATATATTTTATTTATAAGAAGTTAGAAATTAACACATTTGCTTACAATTTAAGATGTTATAATAAGATCTATTAACTTTACTTGTGCTAATAATTAATTATCTTATTATTGGATACTCTACGTCTTTATAACATTATTCACATTTAAAATTTGTAGTTGTGAAAGAAATTATATATATATATATATATATAGTTTGCAATTTTAAAAATTAGCACTTTTCAAGGATATCAGCATATAATAAAAAAAGTATCATAGCTTCCATTCCATGGAATGATTAAAAAAAAAAGGATCACAGGGACGTAAGCCCCGTTCTGTTAGTCAGACTGAAAGACCATGTGAATGACTGTGAATATTGGCCAATTGCTTCGTAGGGACTTGTAAAGGCTCCGCACGCGTCTCAGCCCATCGCCCCCCCCGAAGAGCGAAACAAGTCCCATATCGAAGAGTACTCGTTTCCGAGCCTGCATCTCTGCAGTAGGGGCCCGGGGACTTTCCAGAGCCCAGCACAAAGCATGGGCCCACTCACATCACCCTATGATCCGGGTTACTTGGTGTGCTCTCATTCTAACCATATAAAGGCCTTTGAACTAATATTACTTACCGATGTGGGCCTTGTTGGTAGCACCATGCAACTCGCTTGGCATCATTATTTGTCAAGGAAGGCTGGGTTTCACCTGCAAGCAGGTGTCGTGTCTGGTCTAGTATATAAACTTTTGATAAATGTAACTGAAAATTTCTGCTAGTGTAAGGAACTTGGAGGCTATAAACCAACAAAAACTAATGTTATTTGGATTACTCCGAAAGTGATCTATAGTGGTTGGATTACCTTGGGATGCCTCTGAATACGAAAATACAACTCTCATCGCATTCACAAAAGGCAAGCCTTTGTCAAACTATATTGCATTAACCTCGTCAAATGTTCAAAATATACTATACTGCATTCACCTCATCAAATATTCAAAATATACCTTTAATTCTTATTATCAGAGCTCATTTTTAAGACTAAATTTTAGTCTAAAACATCATAACTTTTATAGTACCATTAAAAAAATGTCAACTCTTACAAAACTTTAATGTTATCACAACCTAAATTAAGGCACATCAAAATGTTTTGCAAAAAAACTAAATATGATTTATTTTAATATAATGACTAATTTGTAAACGAATATAATCTATATAGAGCAAATGTATATTTTAACTGCTCATATAAGATTTTTTTGCCCTTTCCTTGGCCTTTGTTCTTCTTATATCTTGCTTTGTTTACCAATATTCACTTTTTTATATCAAAATCAACGAACATTTTATACAGTTATTAAATTAATAAGTTGGTTAGATAGTTCAGTTAACAAAAATTCTTCGATAACAGGTCATAAATTATATTCTTTCTCCCGCAATTCATGACCTTGCAGGGATAAAAACGAAAAAGACAGATACACGTAATCCTTCACTAATTCAAGACCACTGGTAAAATTGAATTTGATTCAATTGATTGTAATATGGTAATATTATTATTGCATTCTTACAAAAATTGAAAACTGAATTTCTGAATGACGAGTGAATATATAGTTGATTTTAATTCATACAGAAAACCAAGCATGCTTTCAGGGATTTGTTCTCATTGTTGCCAAAATGGTTAAATTGCAGGGCTAATAAAAACAAGTAATCCATATGGAAAACATTGAGTGTAGTTCTTCAAAATCTTGCCCGTGTCCAGCTTTAAAGATTCAGCCTTCATTGTCAATTGACGGGTGACAAGATGAACATCCTTCAATCATTTGCTCAAAATAATAAATCCCGGTTGAAAGCTATAACATAGTTCCAGTTGTATATTGAAAACACAATATTTCCATTTCAAACAAAACTCCGAATCTCGAATCGAGTTTTGGAACACATACTAGAAAAGGGAAAAAAACGATGGTAGAAATGTAGAATGCAATTTAACTCTTCTCTCCAGGGACCTTCACAGCTTGTCTGTTTCTCTTCTTCACACCAGACTTGGCAACTTTGAGGCTCCTATTGACAGCACTCAATCTTGCGAGAGATGCATTTTTGAGATCAGGCCTGTAGTAGTTATCTGCTACCTGCAATACATATCAAAAGTGGGAGAGAGAGGAGATAAATTTAGCCACATTGATTTAATAAAATAACAAAAGTGGAAAATACAATGCAGTAAGCAGTCAACAAGTAGATAAAACTAGTAACAAGGTAGCAAATATTGGGAAAAAAAAGGCATAAAACTATCATTTAAGGAAACCTAAAGAACAGTTGTATGGCAGCATTATGCTTATTCACAACTTGGGAATTCACGAGAACAAGTAGAACAGTTGTAGTAGCCAAACAAATAATTTCATATTTACACAGAATGCAGATTGAGAAAGGACGAATTGCCATGGAATTCTAATGAAAACCAAATATAATTATTCTATAATATTTTGTATGGAAGCATTAAGAAAGAACAGTCAAGTGACAATGGATAGAGGCCAGAAACCTTCTATTAACAACATAAAATAAGGAAGAGACCAAGAGAGTACATTACTACATTCATAAAGAATTTCTGAAGAAAGAGCTCAGAAGCCAAGCGTAACAAGTAAATTTCATTGAAGAATCCCATCTAGGGATTTCTTCTTACATGTTAGAAGCTCATCACTGCTGGGGAAAACTCATTCATGATGGCAGAGATTCAAAAAGGTTTCAATTTAAAACTAGACATAGCAAACCACATTTCCAAGTGTCATATCCCTACAAACACTCATAATTAATAATAAAAAACATACGAGCATATGTACAAAAAATGTCATCCCTTATTTGGTACTGAAATGCCTTCAAGTTTTCAACATCTTAAGCTAGCATCATCACCCCAAAACAAAAATTACAACAATTACCAAAAGCCTGATAGAAAAGACACCTTTATCAAGTAACAATAACTAAAACAAAACAAATTTTGATGCATCAAATTATTTCACACACAAACTACAACATTAAAATTATAATATATCAAGACGACACCAAAAAATTCACCACCTTTCAATGGGGACTGACAGCAAATAAAATTGAAACTAACAAAGCAAACAAATACTGCAAAATGAATCAGTGAAGTCGCCATCAAAACATAAAATAACTGATATTATTCCCTCCAATATTACCTGATTTTGCACTGACTTTGCCATCCTCCTAAACTCCTTCCTCATGACAGACTTGTGATACAATGCAACAGGCTTGTTTTGCTTCTTTGTCTTGGTTGTTGCTAGCAACACAGACTGATCTTTACCCGCAGGTTGAATAGTAACAGTCTTTTTGTTTGCCAAACCTACAATACCAGCATAAAAACAAGGTAAATTATCATCAAAATTTAAAACTCCACACAAACTCAAGTCATATATCAATAAACATTCAATTATGATCATTATGTCATCGAAAACAACTTTCAATTCCCTAAATACATGATTTTGGGAAGTAACCATTTCTTATCACCCCCTTTCACGTACAAAACCCTTTCCAGAAAGGAGATTTAAATATAATTCCCATAATTGCAAATGTAAAAGCATGATAAAGCAAGGGACAAACCAGAGAACTTGAAGGAGTTGAGGTTGTAGAGATTGTTGGGTTCTCTGCTGAACTGCACGCTCTGAGTGCCCCTACCAAACTCTTTCACCAAGAAAGAGTTGTTCTTCTTCACAATCTCCCAAATGAGTTGACCTGGTACTGTCGCCATTTCCTTCTTCTACTTCCTCACCTGAAACGCACTGCACCAGATCTAAAGTCAGAACAACGAGGAAACTAAAGAGAACCCTAACAACAACAATGAGAAACACGGAAAAACCTTCGTTTGCTGTGGAGAGTGGAGAGAATTAAGAGGTGTTTTCTTTCTGTGTGAATTTATAGCAAGTACAATGGAAAACCCTAATTCAACGCTCTGAAATAGGCCCGGTCCGATTACGTTATTATTGGGCTACCATCATATAGCCCATGAACCTCTCAGATAATCTTTATTTCATAATCTCACAAAAAGCCCAAATTGATTAAAGAAAATGTTAGTAAGATACTGGCGATACAGTGATAATAATGAAAAAAAATGCATTGGTTTGGAAATTTTAATTTAAGTAGTTTTGAGAAATATTATAAAAAGAATACACCGAGGGTCAGGGAGGGACCATACACTCTGGCAAATGATTGTACTAAAAATTTAATTAAAATACACTCATTTAGTTATAGTCTCATAGATTGACATATTACTAAAATTTACTCTCTTTTTTTTTAACTATTTTAAAAGCATATCTATCATTTATTTTAAGTAATTGACTAAGCATATTGTTTTGTTTTTGCCTCATTATTTAACAAAGTATGCGTAAAAATAAATTTTATTGAGGTACAATATTACTCATAACTCATTCTCATAAAAGACTTAATTGATACATTTTATGAAAGCATAACAGATTTTTAAGAACGTGTACAATTTCTCACACAAGAATACTAATATTTAATATATTCCAGTGATATTTCACTTTTATTGATACAAAAATTCAAAATAAACAATCATAGGATGCAAGCTTACAATATTTGTTATAAATATCTTGATTATTCTTCGAGACAGTTTATAAGATTTAAATATCTAAATATTTCAGAAAATAAGTAGAAAATGATCTACAAACTCATGAATTACACACCCGGCCACATTCCCATCTTTCACCACTTTCCAAAGAGGTAAAGCAACTGAAAATAAATGTTACCCTCATAAAATAAACCACAGGGAATTTAAGACTTTGCTTCTAGAACATGGAAAGGCAGCATAAAGTAAGTCACTTTCAAGTCCAATATAAAAGATACCAAAAGAAAATTACGACATTCATATGAACTTCTGGGTAGAGATCTTCAAATAATAAGCATGTTTAATGCTAAGCTTTATTTCTTATCTCAACATCCAAATTGGAAACAAGCATCTAGATGGGTTGAATGAGCCAAGAACAATATCTCCTATTCCTGGCAACAATTTGGATAACCTTTCCCTTGTTCAACTAACACCATATCACATGCTTTCCCAAATCTGCCTACAACATTCATCCTCTATAACTTCTAATTTTAACAGTCACGTTACACATTTTACAAGGAAAATGCTCTTGCATTAGTGCGTATCCCGATGTTGAGACTGCAACATCAACATCCATCCTTAGCTTGCAATTATTAGTTGCATGTGGATTTCCATCCATATGAAAAATACCAGCACCAAGATGCATTCAAGGTTTTGACAAGCGTTTATACACAGCCTTGATCCGTCATAGCTTGAGCAATGGTCAGAAAAGCAGAGATGACTGCTCCATGTACCAAAGCCCTGAACAAAACAAGCATACAGGTATTATATAAGTAGGGCTGTGTGGGAAGTAGCCACTTGAAAATTAAGGATCATTAAAACAAACCCACAACATGATTGAAAAGGATTAGAAAAGAAAATGGAGCAGTTCCAAGAACCAATAATTTGTCACTAATTTAGTCTTTTTTTAAATCAAATACATAGCTGAAGCACATTTGTGTTAGAAACTGAGACAATGAATTTCATTATTAGTTTCAGCCTAAGTATAATATCATGATTCACATTATTCTAAATTAGTAATTCAGGATCAAATTATGTTCAATATTCAGAAATTCAAGACAACTTTTTATAGAGGGAGGTCAAATATTTTTTTAATGGGAGAAAAACAATTTGAAAGAGAATAGCTACACAAGTTGGAAGTTTACTAGCAGAGCATCAATTCTGAAAAGTGCAGGCACAGGTAGATAGCAGCTTTCATCAGTTTTACATTTCTGGAGAAAACTTACTCGGGACTTTCTTTCTGATAACCAAAATCAGTTGCAGCTTTGATAGCTCTCTGATAAGTCTGTTTCATTGCTTCCTATAAAATAAAAATAGAAAAATTGAGGACAATAGTTAGCATAAAACAGTATGCAATGGTGTTTATGCAAGTTTGAAAAAAGTAAGAACTAAACAAGAATAATTCACAATTCACATTTTTCAGATTTCATCCAGCTAAGATTTTTGCTCACGCATAATGCACCATCCAGCTGCATAATAACAATAATCAGCACCCAAATCTGGAAATGTCCTATTAACTATCAAGATCCTATTGGTCGAGCTATTAGATCTTTATCTCAGCGAGCAGAGCAAATTCCGAATTGGTTTTTTTAGCACTTAACCTTTTTAATTGTTTAAAAAAGAATTTGAATTCGCAGAAAAGAGAGAAATTTTTACCTATTTTTTCTAGAATAGGAGAATACGATTAGAGTGTGTAATAAGACTTGTATTTATTAAACATATGCAGATCTAACTCCAACTCTATCTATCTATCTATTTAAACAATAATTCTCCTTTCCTCACACAACCCAAAACACAGATGCACACACTTGCATATCTACATGCATTATACAGTATTCCTCTGCACAAAATAACTGTATTCAAGGAAACTATACATTTTTTTTTTCAAAAATAAAATAAAACAATGAGTGAATTCCATACAAATTGTATAGGTTTGATTTACAGTAAAAGGAAGAGGAAGAATGTGCCACGATAACCACACTACCAATTACAATTCTCAAAAGGGAACTTATGCTGTATAGGAACAGATTTCAAAGAACCTGCAATTTAGATTCAAAATCCTCTGGCGACCAGTGCATCAAACTGCATTCATGATTTAACTCGAGTTCTCCAGCCACAACCTGCAGGCAAGGAGAACACTTAGAGGAAGGTACCTTCAGATATCATGCTAACAAATTTATGTAGCATATGTAATAATCTGACCAAAAGATCAGTCAAATAGAACTAATTACCAAAATATAAAATTAATTTTGAATTTCCAGTTATAATATGATAAATAATTAATTGTGCATTAAAAATTCTCATTTTAACTGGACTTAGAAGCTCCAGTTGGTTGGTATCAACATAAACTGCATCAAAATATAATATTTATCATAATTTGGAATTTCCTTATAGCAGTATGACAATTTAAAGTGGTTAGTTGCAGACTATCAATGTTAAATTGTTATTGCAGATTTAAGATCTGAAAATGTCTCTCAATAAATAAGATAACTAAACACAACACCATACCCCTCCAGCACCAGCAGCCATAGCCGGAGCAATGAGAACACTAGCTTTCCTCAGAACATCAATTGCCTCAGGGGTACAGGGCATGTTCGAACCTTGGATATAAAAGATTAAATTGCCATTAGTGTATATGCTAAAAACATGCAAAATAGAGTCAATTACATGTTGGATCTGATAGAAAACTACCTTCTACTAGTACGCAACAACCTGAATTAACCAAATTAATGGCATCAGATTGATCAATTTCATTGTGTGAAGCACAAGCAAAAGCAATATCACACCTTTCATTCCAAGGTTTCGCTTCATCATAATATTTAGACCGAGCATAGGTCTTTGAATAATCTCTACACATGCCAAATTCATGCACAACAAAAAATCAGATAAAATTCCCCATCTGAAAAATATACAAGATTATGTGAGAGTGATACAAACCTCAAACTCCTTTGTTGAGCTTTGATGTCTCTTAAAAATGATATTTTCATGTAGTCGAATCCATCTTCATCGACCAAATATCCTCTTGAATCTGACAATAGCCTTTGTTAAAAAATTGCATATGCCTTCTAAAGACCAGGCTTTATTAAGGAATTTACTCCTAACAATTACATTATGAGAATCCTACTTCTAATTGTGACTATTCTTAATATTGTGAATATTAAACTTGACACCTGAAATGCAGTATTGAAAGACAGGTTTCTATTTTTGTTACAACGAAAGAATGCACCAGTACCATAGGAAATGATTAGCTTCTGTATGTTCACACGGCCAAAATTACCTGATACTGAGATGGGAAGAGCACCATAAGCAACAAGCTTCTCTAAAACATGCATTGCAATCTTTCCAGATCCACTCACAACACATCTACAGAAAAATATAAATTAGAAGAATTCCAGAATCATGAATATGTACAATAAATCTAATAAGCAACAAATTTCACTCTAGATTAATTGGTTTAAAAATAGCAGCTAAATTAACTATTGAAAAAATAAATTATTGAAGTCATGCTAATGGGAGCTTTCTCTAATATCACTGGATTTTCGAGCTCTAGAAACACTATCAATAATTAAAATGAGATTCTTCACACCGTCATATGAATATCTAAATAGCAAGAAATGGGGATTAAAATGGTATCATCAATAATGAATGTATCAGTGGTAATTCCTTATAAAATGACCAATATTAAAAGAGAACCTTAATCCTTTGAGTTCTTTATTCATGTCAGCAAGTACGAGCTGGGCAAAAAAAACCTGCAGATGTATGGAAAACTTGTCAAAAGGTTTAAACTTGAAACAAGATATGCATGGAAGTTTTTTTACAATGATATTCTGGATTAATAATGGACAAGTATGCTATATGCTCTTGGTCTTTAAAAAAGTTGGCAGATAAGAGATCAAGGCAACAACTCTGAGAGGTCGCGAATAAAGAGAAAGCCATGTAAAGGAAACTGAAAGGTCCTGCCATAAAAGGATATCATGTCGAGAAATTCCAGAAAACATAAATAAATAAATAACAAATGGATGGCTACCAAAGGACACATTTCATAAATAGTCACTTATATTTTCATATCCCACCATACATCCACTGTGTGTAAGAATTAAAAGTTAAATTACCAAGCCATAACCTGTAGCTTCAGGTCGAAGACTGGCACCAGACCAAAATATCCTTGGTCCTGTAAAACTCCCCTGCATAAGTAAGGAATACATTTGAAAAATACATAAAAGTTACTCAGTTTCCCTGTCTGCCAAGAATGTCAATATAATCAGTACCTCAAAATTTCATGCTCCAGAACTGATTAGATAAGTGGAAAAAACTCCTCTAAAGTAAGCTTATCTGCAAAGTGCACAAGGTGTATCCACATTTAAAACTTGGCGTGTTAAGATTGCAATGTATTTTAAATTAAATCAAGTGTGGATATACACTTGTGCACTTCACAAACACTAGGATCCTTATCCTAGATATGTTGCATACAGCAAGATACACGGTGTATATTGTTCAAACTTGCACATTCATCTGTGCACAGTAAAGCATTCAGCCAAATAACTAAAGGCTAATATGCATAGAGGGAAAAAAAGTGAAGCAAATATATAAAAACCAATTCTTAAATTTTGCAAAATCTGTTCTGTTTCTATGATAATCTAAAAGAGATACAAAAATCATCTTTTTAAATTAACCAAAAAATCTGACCTACTACAATCTCTTCCTCCTTTTGAGGAATTTAAAGTTCTTTTATTGTACATCATAATACAATTTTTCACTCGAGAGAAATACATCATGTCATCATATAATAAAATAAAAGTTGCAATTGTCTCATAAAAAAGCCTTCATGTGTGCCTCCTCTTGTCTCAAGATAAAATCAATCATAAGAGTACTTAATCAGAGTAGAATTTTATTTTAAAAAAATTATTAGAGACACAAGATGAAATAGAATAAGGAGGGAGGGATGAGTGCATCAAGAAAGTAATCACTAGATCTGAAATATAAAAATACAGCAGATTCAAAGGGTAAACCCATAGAAAAAGGAAGAGCAAGACACCAACTAGTTAATTAAACTTAAAGATTGTTACATTACCTGAAAATGACCAGCTAGACGTCTATACTGCCCAAAAAGATAACCCATTTCTCGAGTACCAACACCCATTTCCTCTGAGGGAAGGTCCTAATAAAGTAATAAACATCCATTACAAGAATGATAAGATTTAGAACAGGTTTGGAATGCATATAGGTTTAAAGATACACAAATGGATATACTTTAGTTACCTTGTCAGGACCCATGTACCGATACATCTCACTCATGAAACTTTGGCAAAATCGCATGATCTATCAGCTTGTCAAAGTAACACTTAGAAATTATACAACCGCAAGAGAAGAGAGAGATAGCATAAGTTGAAAAAGCACCTCATTATCACTTTTTCCTTTTGGATCAAAATCACTTCCACCAGCGGCTCCTCCTAATTTGTAAGGTGATAAAGCATTCTTTAAGGTCTGCAGAGAAGGAAGTCTGTCATATAAATGGTCCAATAAATAATGCAGCTTGCAATCTAGATTCTTTTCACTTGATGGTAGTTGAATCTCAGTATACTTGTAAAAAATAAAGCCTTAGATATGTATAATCACTTAATAAAAGTGAAGACTATATGTGTGTGCATGTGCAGCCTGCATGCATGAGCTTGTGTGGACACGAGTCATCTAACAAGCATAAGCACATTTTCTCCATGTGTTAAGACAGATATCACACATTTGGATCCCCAGAGGATGCCACATGTAAAATAAAAGCATATAAGTACATTTTTTCCCATTCTCCATTTGAACCCAAAAAATTGAAAAAAAAAAAAGTGATTAAGAAAGTGAAGGAAAAATTGGGGGGGTGGGGGGGATGGAATCCTACTAGTAAGGGTGAAAAATGGAAGGGAAAAAGAGGCACACGATAGAAAATTGCATCAAATCAATAAATGGCCTAGCAGTTTTTAAAATATATGTAGGTAAACAATACATGTTTGTTATGTTGGTATTATTGGTACCAGTGATTGTATGGGTATGTTCTAAAATATAAAATTCCAGAAAATCCTGTATGAGAATATTTGGAAGAACTAACTGCAAACACCCCACCAGTCCCTTCAACTATATTTATACCGTCTAGCATTACTTATTTTCAATACTCCCCCCCCCCCCCTACAAAAAAATAATAATAATAATAATAAAGAAAACAGAAATTTCACTGATATCATGCTTTTCTTTGCTAGTAAACTTGTTTTTATTCATTTCTATATATGCATGTGTATGTGCAAGCACAAGTCTGTTTTGCACATTTATCCTCACAATGTTTGTGTTTATTATCTTCTTTTATCACCCAAAGAAAAAAGGAAGCAAACTCTTGCATTCTGCACATATTTGTTGGTGCTTAGGTTTCCAACCTGTCAATTTTCATGTGCACCAGGTATTCAGATAGTAAATAGACAAAAATGCATTGACCCTAATATAGGATAGGTTCTGAAAAAGTTGAATGATTAGCTTTAGGAGAAAATGTTCAGTATTAAATACCAAAAGTATTCATAATACCTGTTCAAAACCAAGGAACTTGGCTATACTTAAATTCATTGATGGATGAAAACGAATACCACCCCTACATGGACCCATTGACTGGTTAAATTGTATGCGGAAACCACGATTAACATGTGTCTCACCCCTATCATCCACCCATGGAACTCGGAAAATAATCATTCGTTCAGGTTCCACCAAGCGTTCCATGATGCTAACATAACTGAAACATAACAATAGTAACGAGAAGCATACAATATTTAAACATTAGAATTGTCATATGTAATGTAGAGTAATTAAATAAATGAATATACAATTACGACTTCATTTGCATAAAACTCACTGGGAATTTTTTGCTATGACTCTTTCAAGAGCACGAACTGCTTCCTGAACTGCCTGAATGAATTCAGTTTCATGAGGATCCCTTTTTAAAGTAGCTTCAAGAATTGACCCAGCTGTTTTTGATACAATAGTTTCAATTTTAAATTATTAGACAACACAGAAAAGACAGTAATCTTTTTATAGACTGCGGAGGGCTTATAATTTCCACATGATTTTTTAGCTGGTAAATAACCAGCATAAACACATTCTAGAAATAGGTTATGTAAATCATAAATATTTAGTTCTATACACAGATACAGAACAAGGATGAACTAAAGTTTTATCAAAGCAACTATCATCTCATCTAAAACAAACATTTTAAGATGCAGATTAAGAAACATTACATTAATATTAAACAAGATGGAAATACAATATTAGTCAGGACAGAAGCAGAAACCAATATCAGAGAATGGGAGAAGACAAAAGAGAAGTTTTGTTACGCAAGAAGGCAGCTGGCAAACCGTGGAGGGAGGGTAAATCAGGGAAAAGATCGAAAATCAGTACGGAGAGGAGGTTAAAAGGGGCACATGCCAGCATTTATAGCATGAGAAATGACCAACCTTTAACATAAACGGGCTTGTCAACAACAATTTTATCCTTGGAGGCCATCTGAAGACGAAGAGCCTCTTTGTGAAGCAAACTATTATTGTGTTCTTCTAGGGCACTCATCTGCATGTTTCGACTGCCTTCATTCCCATAAGGATTTCTTCTGTGCTTCCTGCCATACTCCCTGCAGACAGAGCAAAAAATCCTTGCTGTTCCATCTTTCACGTCAACGTAAGCCCATTTATAGGTGTCTGCCCATTCCTCTCTCCATCTTTTAACAACTTTCTTCTTCCTTTTCCCTGGTTGGGTCTTTGACATATCTTGAGCATCATTAGGAAGCTGAGAAACCATCCCCATCTGTTTGCTCTCTACGTGCTCTTCTGTAGAAGATTCTCGTGGCGGGCCACCAATTAGAGTAGTGTTACCAAATGAAGGATCATCATCCCCAGGTCCAATTTCTAAATCAATCTCTTCGCCAATCTCCCTCACAACCAAGTGATGCCTCTGGGCCTGCTGAATCAAATTCATATCATCCATTGCAGAATTCATCACTCCTCCACTGGAAGGCAGCAACATTCAGCATGACAGCCACCTCCACAAATCTAAAATCCTTAGGTTCTAGCAAAACACATACACCACATACGGCAGTTAATAGAACAATCAAAAGACAAAACAAAAAAATAAAATTAATGGGCAAAATTTCTTAGTGATGTTTGTTTAGTGACTTCAGCTTCACATGCCTCAATTGAGCTAGATTAATTTTAGATTCTCAAGACACAGAACCAACGTACCACTGTATGAAGAGAATTCAAAACAATAAAAATGACTAATTATTTCTGCCTAGTTCCAGACTCCTCGTGTTACTTTTGCAGGCTCAACTACCCGAATTAAGCATAAAAAGTATAATCGCTTGATAATGTAGAACTAAAAAGAACATCACACCTTTGACCAAAAACAAAAATAAAAATAAAAATAAAAATAAAATGCCATTGTCAAGGGCAGGTTCCGTATCTCCAAAACCTTAACAAACAAAAAGTAACTTCGTTTCCAGCGTTCAGTATGTCAGTCAACACAGAATTCTACAAATTTTCCTCAAAAAGTTTTATCTAGCCAAGATTTAGCAAATCAGTAAAGCCCAAAAACACCCAAAATCACAGAATAACACAAGAAGTTAATAGTGAATGCAAAAGACAGTTTCCTGGTAACGACCCAGAAGTCAGAATTGAACATTTAGGAATACCCAGAACTCAAATCTCATAATTAGTACCTTTGGAATATGAATGAAAGTGATGAACCTGGAAAGGGGGGAATTTGCGGAGGTTGGTTTCAGCTTCGAGTGAGATCTTAACCCCTCACCCAAACATTTTGAGTTGAGTTGATGAAAAAGGAAGATACTTTATTTGCTGAAACTGAGCGGAAAAAGTGAGTGAGTTTTTCTATTTGATCAATCATAATCAGCGACTTAACTTTGATTGTTTTCAGTTTTTGTCTGTTCAAAAGTGAAAAAACGAGATGAATGAATGAACAGGCAAACAGGGCATAATTCTGTCGCCCAGAAATAACCCCTTTGGAAAGCACTTTTTTGCCGACTTATTTTTTCAGGACGAGCATTGAGCATGATCAAAGTTTGGGTCAAATTTTTAAAATTGTAAATTTTATTAACTCTGAAATTGTTCTAATTACTATATATATATATTACTACTTTTTTCTTTGTTTTCCTTCGACTCTGTTTACCAAAAAAAAAACCCATATTTTCAGCCGTATGAGTTATATCCTTGTCCGTGCACCAAAAAAACCCATCGTGCTGGCTTTTTTGGAGATCAATATAATTGTTTCATGTCCGAAGCAACTTGTAACCTATTCAACATTATAAAAATATAATTTATAGTATGTGTTATAAATTTGATCTAATATATAACACTATTGCTTTATTATTATTTAATAAAATATTTCATTATATGATAGTAAAAAAATAAATTAAATATTAAATATACAATTATACATTAACGATATCAAAATTTTAATAATGACATAATTATTTTAAATTTTCATTTGGCATAATATTTTAATATTAAGAATTTTTAATTAGATCAAATAGTTTAGCTTTATTTATCTGAATAAGACTTATTTGTTATTATTGTATACTTGCATTAATTGTATAAATAGTGTAACTTATTATGCAAACTTCTTTCTTTTTTTTTTGGTTCATATTCTATTGCGTATAATAATTAATTTTTAAATATCAAATAATAAATATTGATAATAAAATATTTTAAAATTTGGTAATCGTGTATAATATCAGGAAAAAAATTAAAAAGATGGTTTAGTACTATTAATAATCAAAATATTTAATGCTTCTATTTAATTTAATTGTATTTAATATTGTTAATAATTAATATTTTTAACCTTTTTGAACTTCTATAAAATTTATTAAATATAACAAAATTATTTAATACAGACTTAATTTTCATTAAAAATATCATTTTAATTTAATAACACCCATGTAATATACGAAAAATTTGCTGGTATATATATATATATATATATATATATATATATATATATATATGTGTGTGTGTGTGACATTCACATACTCGTATGCATGTTCAGACTTGCAACTTCTTAAGCTTGATTTTTTTTTTCTATTATTTTTCAAATCTCAATATCGTTGTAAGTGTAATTAATCCTTTGACTTTTGTAAGCTAAATGAATTGAAAAGAGGGGCATGGGGACATTGATTCATAACTCCAATACAAGAAGGTACTAAGTTTTTACAAAATTTTAAAATTGACAAAATAAATAGTTTTAATTGGACGAATTTTAACCTAATGAAAAATAAAAAAAATAAATTTTGGAATCAAATTAGATCTTAACTTAATCTAATTAAAGATGACGTGGATTAAACTAAAAAAGATAAAACTTGGACATCATCTTATTCAAAATAAATTTAATTTTTTTCTCACCAGCTAAAGCTTGTCCACAACGATTTAGCTCAATAACATGTTTGTTGTTCATAGCAATTTAGCTTAAATTAGTTATATAACCTGCCTTGTCAGCTCTAAATAGATATGAATAATGAACTTCTAAGTTTTGTTAATATATATATTTCATGATTTTAACACGGAATATAAATAAATCATCTCTCTCATATCTCTTTAAGCTAAGGTAAACAGAGATAAATTGTTTCGAATTAAAGAAAACACTTCACCACAATTTCGTCTAATTATTCCTTTTAACAGGTACAAAAGTCAAAATAAAAAAATGAGTAATTTTTGCTAAACATGAGCATGACATTCTAAAACTCAAAGGAAAGTCATTAAATTAGATGAACCAAACTATGCAACAGCAACCCCACCTAAAGAACCAAACTTATCCTAAAGTTGACGTTGACTACATTAATTAGACGAAGAAAATATATAAGAATATTTTCTTTCTTCTTTTGGTATAGAAGATGTAGACTCTTCTGTGATAACGTGTATAGCAATAAGTGGTCACCATTCAACTCAACAAGACAAAGTCAAGGCTCAAATCATATAGCAGTTATCTTTGAAAGCAGAATTGTAATTCACCAAGACTTTGCTTCTTCTCATTCAACTTGCCAAGCAATTTCAACTCTTATAGGCCGCAATTAATGTTTGTCCATTTGATTCAAAAAAATACACGTGTTTCATACAAGTAGCTTGCAAATGTGGCTGATTAAGTTGAACTTGGGGATAAATTGGGTAGCACAACTTAAATTCAAACTCACTTGAAGCAATAAATGCTTTTTTTTTTTACGAGATTTTTTCTGTATTCAGTTTGTCAAATTGACCTAGCAATCGAACGCATGTGTTGGGTAGTAAATGATATCTAAAGATGGAACTGGGTGGTCCTTAAAAAACACACCATAGTATGTGATCCACGAGAGCAAGGTGATTGGAATGAAGATGATCATCACACATGAGTTGAGCAAAAACACACCTTGATTGATCAATCAAACAACTACCTCAACTTGAAATTAGTAATTGGGTAAAAGAGGCTCGACTTTGGTGGTTTCTTTTGAGAGATATATTGGTAGGTTGTCTCACAAAATGTTCCATATCTAGAACGAACACAATCCCCACATATTATGATAGAAATCCACTGAATATTCTTCTAAATACTGGAGAGAGAGTAATCGGTGGGAGAAAAACAAAATCTAGTTGCATACTTGAGAATAAAAAACAAACATGCATAATATATTATTTCCTTTGAACCTTGTCGACCCTCCATTGAAAATGTACACAAAGTATACGAAGGTTTATATGTATTGCAGTTTTGGATCTCCAAATTCAACGAACCTCCATTCCCTACCTAAAATAATTAATGACAAGCAACTTGTCAAGTAGTAAACACTTCCATTCATACAACCATAGATGCTTGAAAAAGTTATTAGAAAAAAATACAACAAATTGCACGTGTGAAATACATAGATATAGATTAGATAAATTAGGAATTCCCAAGCCATGGCAACATATACTCTCACCATAACGACATTCATATCTCTCCATATTCTGCCCTAAAAATGACTTCGTTTCCTTTTCTTTTCCACCATCGATAAACGTGAAGAACACCAACCACAAATATATTCAAAAAACCCGTAAAAAGTAAAAAAAAGACTTTACCTAATTGATGCTACTGTAATAGCCTTCTGGTTCGTGATCCTTCACAACTTGATATCCATCAAAATATTCAATAGGCTATACACATAGACCTTTTCACAACATGTCTAAATATACTGATCAGAATAATCAGCATAATTGTAAAGCTGATTCAGCCAAAAAGATTCATTTTTTTCATAAGTTTCTCTCATTGCTTCTACTGAAAACCTGACCCAGGAGTGTATATTGCAAGGTTGGACCACCCATTACTTCCATTCCAACAACTAGAATCACCATTTTGCATAGTCAGAAAACTCTCTGCACTGCCATTACTCTGCATTTCCAAACCGGGATTCCGACCAGAACCCGGATTCACCAGTGGGCCAGAACTCACATTCTCCCCAAAATTTTCCATTTGCACAGTTTTCAGATTCGAACCACTTGAATTCAGACCCTCCAGAAGGTTCCCCAAATGCCCATTTGATGTCAGAAGGGAACTGAAACCCCCACCAACAAGCACCCTCCGCTCTTGATCAACCGGGTTGGTGTAAACCCGGGTCGGGTCGGGTTCTGAAGCACTCCCACCTTGGGCCGCAGTGGAAACTGATGGTGATGGAGAAGGTGATGATGATGATGATGCAGAGCGTTTGGCGTTGGTGGATGACCGTTTTGTGTTCTTTCGGCTTCCACCCCCAACAGGAATGTTTCTCAAAGCGCCTCCTTTGGTCCAATACCTTCTACAGTTCTTGCAAAAATGGCGTGGCTGTGAGAGGTTGTAGTTGTTGTAGTAACAGAATTTGGTGTTGGTGGAATCACAACGTGGGCATTTGAGTTGTTCTTGTTCAGGAAAATGGGGTTTGATGGGTTGGAATGCCGTTGGGTCTTGCATTCTCTTCTATCTCAAAAGCACTCTTTTGTCACGGTGGAAAATTGATCAACTTGACGTCAAAGTTCAAACCTTTCAATGGATTGAATTTGAGGGCATGTGTAAGATTTTTGGGAGGAGAAATAAATGATAAAAAAATTTAAATAAAAAAAGAGGATATTAAATGGTGTTCAATAATTAAGCATTTAAGATCTAATTGAGCTTAAGGAAAATGAGGGGTGTAAACTTGTGTTGAAGATTTGAAGTGCATAAAGGGTACAGCTAAAGCTACAACTGAGCAGAAAGTGGAAAAAAGACAAAAAGGAAGGATATTTATTCGGACCCTGAGATGGGTTTTAGTAGAACCGACCAAAATCCAAAAAAACTGATCTAGATAGAACCGATTCCACAAGGTTGTTTTAAGATAAAGAAAAACTCAAACAGACAGAAAGTTACATGTTGTGATGGATAAGTGCAAAAAAGCAAGGTGATTGATGATTGAGCTTGGAACTTGCCTTGTCTGCTCTTGCACTTGTATGGAGGAAACTCGCTGAAAAAACACAGATTTAACTGAGTTCCGAAGATAGCAAACAATATTCGAGAAAACCACAAAAAAAGGTTAAAGATGTTTGTAGAGTCTGGAAATGTTGATGGAGATGATCTATCACTTAGTCCGCGTGAGTGTGACGAGTGACGACTACCACAGTCCTCAGCCTTCAAATAGAAAGAGAAAATGCTCTCTCTTTCTCTCTCTCTCACTAGGGGAAGGATTGGCTTCAATCTTGAGCTGCACTCCCACAACCCACTTAACCAAAGTTAAAAACTACATTTTTGTTAAAAAAAATGTAATATGAGAATCATGCTATTTGATTAGTTTTAATAGAATATTAGATAGCTTATCTCCACGAAAATGACATATTTTATGTGGAAAATCACTATCGTTAATAATGTATAAAAAGTATACACAACTATTAGGAAATAACTACGACTATTTTATTGGTCAACGACGAGTCCATGACCAAAAGACAACAATAAATTAACAGTTGATTTGATTAAACAATCCAGTACCAAAACTGTGTTTGAAAAGTAGTAATATTAAATAAAAGGACAACAATAATGCAATAAAAAATTGCTAAAGAGACAAATAAGAATATTGCGAGTGGGAATTAAGCATGAAAACTTGAAAACGTAAATTCCTGGGGTTATAAACAAACACGAACGAGCAACAAATCAACACTCTTTCTTTTTTTAATATTTGTGATATTAGAATGTTTCTGCCAACTAAATTAACTTAATCAACACACCAACCACGGAAAGACAACTAATGACCTCATTACTATTTCATCTTGTTTTTCTTAAAACTACATTATACTTCTTTTAATTCATGTTATAAGTAATATATTTTTCTAAATATACATCTATGTTAGATGTATTCATTATTAAAAAAAAAGTTATACTATTGTTTTACTGTAAATTTTGAGTTAATAAAATACTCACACGTTTAACATATAAACAAGTGATTCAATTATTTAATATGAATATATAATTAATTTTTTATCTTGATTTATTAATTGTTAAAAAAATGGAGGGAGTAGTAGTATATGAAGGCAGGGCTTGACAGACATGTCAAAGCTTGTGTTGAGGTGAGGCGCGACTTAACTATGTGGAAGCCAAGCCAGCCGTATGGGTGCATGAGCTTGAGCCGTGGGCAACGGTGGCCCAGTGAGTCCACGACAGGCTTGCGCGTGAACGAAGCAAACGCAACCCATCATGATTTGGATTTCATCAGCAGATCAGAGCCGTTGAAGGCCAGCGAAGCGAATCTGGGACGTCTAAGTGTCGAGCTGGGTGATGAATGAAAGTGCGAACGGTTGCGTTGAGTTACCGCCACCCCAACACAGTGGCAACCAATGTCACCCGCAACACGTGGCAGTGCCCCCATGAGTGGCATACGCACTAATAAGTGGAAGGTGCTTGAGTGAAAGGATAGAATAGTAAATTTGAATCACGGATGTGCTAGAGTACCACGCCGGTTATATGGGGAGGAAGCTGGGTCCCCCGAGTTTGTCTTTTCATTGGCGCTATGTGTTTGACTCGTTTGGCTGTGATGTGGAAGTGGTGCACGGCGAGTGAAGTTAAGGGAGCATGTGGGTCCCATTCCATCACGAATTATTTGGACGGCCGTGATTTGATATGGTTGATGGATTAGAATTCAAGAGAGGCACCGTCCTCGTGCGCGTAGATGAATGATTAGGTGACCAGTGACCACTATTTTCGACTATTTCGGTGATTGATCATCTCAATGACACGTGTACAGTCATGATTGCGCCTCTTCTGTAATCTTTGCTTCATGGAATTACGATCATCAACCTCATCAACCTCATCTTGATGTCGATGAATTAAATAACCTAACTGCATCCTTACCATCTTCTATAATGATCCTCATAATCTATCTCTCTAACTTCATCAAAGATCCCACTATTTTCTTGAAAAATTGGAAAATAAATATAATAAATCAGTGGCTGCTATTCTACTTTGTAACCCCTCAAAGCCATAAAACTGTTTTATGAATAGCTTTAATTACCTTATTTTTGCTTTTATTATTTAATCAGTTTGATTTTAAAATTTATATATAATACAAATTAATTCAAAGCAGTTTAAAATGAAATAACTTTTTAAAAAGAAAACAGCAAATAAATCCTTAACATATCGTATAAGCCATAACATCTCGTAAGAAATGTTACTGACACATTTTCTGATATAATTATTTTTAATACACTTTTTTTATTATTAATTAAAATTTATTAAAAAAATGAGAGATAAATATTAATTTAAAAACAAAAACATGAAACTTGTATAATTTTTGTAATTTTTAATAGATATTAATCAATAATAAAAAAATGTATATTAGAAAGTATGTTGTTAATATTTTAAAAAAATATATATAATGTTATAATTAGTTTGTTTCACGATAATAAATGGAATAATTTACAAATTTGTACGTGTATTCGAATATAATTTTTTATAAATGAGTAAAGATTATATGGCAGTTTTGTAGAACTAAACAGTTTTATCTAAATTTAAAATATATTTTTAAACGAAATTTATTGTCATTATATATATATTCTCTAAACACAATTACAGTTGTATTCTAAAAGAATTTGTTTTCAGATTCAATGCCAAATTTAGCAATCTAGTAAAATAATTTTAATTTTTATTTCAGATTCAATTGGTTTACTTGAGTCAACGGGTTGATCAATGATGATACCTAAATACTACTAATAAATGATAATACAAAACCAATGGAAGCAAGTTAAATAGTAAAGTAAACGAAGTTGACCCATAAAAAAAAAAAAGAATAGTCGTGCACTTTCGGCTTTGACAAATAGGCATTTACGACACATTAATGTCGAAATCCCGTGTATGAAAAATCTACGTATTAATAAAAATAAGATGACTATTAAATTAATGATACTCGTATCTATTCTCAAGATTTCTATGTTTAAATTAAACTTGCTCGTAAATGTAAAATCTAAACAACTTTATAAGAGGCAACGGATGCATGTATGTATGTATGCTCCAAGGCTCTAACACAAGACATGATCCTGATGTACATGCCTTATATTCTCCATACCATCTTCTCAAAAATAGTTTATAGTTTATATAACTTTTTTAAACTTAATTTCAATAAAATTTATAATATAAATTATTATTTAAAAATACATTAAATAAATGTTTAATCACCCTAAATTTGAAGTGAATGGGAGCTGACTGGTCGCCGTCCAGGAGTGAGAATCACGTTTACAAAAGTGGTTTCCTATGTGAATGGGAATATAAGATCTCAATCCGTTGACGATGACCCACTCACACATTTCAATTGATTGAAGCACATATTCATTTCATATGCATATGCTCAATATATTCTTTCTAGCTACTAAAGAAAAGGAACAATTATAACCAGAATATGGTTCTTCCTAAGATTCTCCATCTGTTTAATTTGAAGCACACACATTCTTTAATCCATTAAGCCAATACGGAAAGTAAAGATGCCAATAGAACACCCCAAATACGCGTAAATGAAATTGAAACCAAAACAACATTATTGTAACTCCCCTAAATTACATCATTAGCCATACCCAACAAGCAAAAGAGATTTTTTTGTTCATAAATATTAAATTCTTTTGAAGCTACATCATACATGAATTTTCACGGATTTCGGAAATTATTATGTTGTTCATTTTCATTCATCAATATCAGAATCAAAACATAGCAATTTAGAAAATTAAGCAGTTCAGCTCAAACATAGTAGCCCGTGAATGTAAATCCTCTGCCCACAATCTCACCCCCACAAAACCATGCAAAACACTCAAGTCCAAACAAAGCAGCAATGCCAAGATTCCCTATATTTAGATCTTGCCTGTTCTTCACTAGATTCTTTGCGTGGTCCAATTCCTTCCTGAATGAATTGCAACGAAGAGGAATACTGCATAAGATAAGCAAATAGTGAAACACCACAAAGCCATTACCACTTCTGTCTTCACTTTGACAAGTAAAGCACAAGAGTAAAAAGAATGTTTGTGGAGGATTTATAATAGGTTAAGTTACACAAGTGATTACCGTTTAAAAGCGGTGAAATTTGAACATTCTAGAATTTTGAAGACAAAAAACAATTATGTCAAGCCTAAGGGTGATTTGCAGACGTGCCTTAGTTCAGATCATGTTATGAAAATACACATTGCCATCTTATTCAGTGGCAAAATCTATGACTACCATTTTACCACAAGTTCATCTATTAATGGATTGTGAAATAGCTTATAAGATTCGTAACAGTTTTATTATGAAAGTTGGTGACACGATTCACTGCTTGTGTTCTCGGCACATATCTTCATATCATCCACAGAGCTAAAATCTTGGCATCCAATGTTTGTAGTGCACAATCTTCATTTCCTAGTTGGAGTTATGGATCACAACGAGTTTTTACTTTAGTTTTGTTAACATAAGCTATAAAAGATAAGTAACTAATAATAATAAAATTTTATTAGAAAAAAAATTATTTATTATATTTTTATAATTTTAATATAATAATTATGTATTTTTTTTATAAAAATTTTCTATTTGTATATGTTTAAATTCAGCTCTAAGAGATGAAGTTAATAAAACTTTATTGTTTATTTTTTTATTTCAATTTATTTTTAAAAAGTCATATTCAATTCTTTTAAAGAGGATAAAAGTGACTTCGTGTACCTAACATGTAATAAGGTAAATTGTGAAGGTTATTTAAAAGTTTTATTTTGATAATTTTGAAAAGTGAGAATTATTGAATCTAGAAGAAACATTTTATCAAAAATAATCAAATAGGACGGATATAAATATATGTAAATAACATATGAGATAAAATTGCAATATCAGAAACGAAATGAAACAGAAGACATAACATATAGTGACAGAGAGAACAAACCTCGCTAGGCGAGTATAAAATAGTTGTTTTGCTAATGATTGACACTTTTCAATCGTGGGTGGATCCTGGATATAGTGTTTGTTCTGCTCCAACAATAGTTTGTAGTATGAAGCTCCATGGTTTGTCACTACTTGTGATGCTTGGGTTACCTTCGATTGTAACTGAGGAATCTTTGATGCCATGGATTTCCTGAACAAAGTATCAAGATTTTGGCAAAGAAGGAACATTTATTGAAATCTCATAATTATATCCTCCTAAAATATCCACTAATGAAGAACATAAAAAAATAAATTCAACATATTCATCGAGTAATTAGGAAGATTTAGAATTATTTATACGATTATACTACTCAAGGTAACATGTGCAAAGACAACAAATTTAAATCCAGGTTTTAAATTAGATCATTCACAATTAAGGCTATCGATTTCCATTTTCAAACAGATGAATTAAACATGAATGTCTCTAGGTATATAGACAAGTAGTCATGTATGTATCCTTGAAACACCATTAGATGCAAAGAATAAACAGCCATATTGCACCTACATTGTACGGTGAAAACTGTAGATTTGTGTTGGAGAAATCCGAGGTTGCACATTCGAAAACAAGAATCATTTATAATTTCACAATTTTCAGCGATTGAAAACACAATGGCCTTTGATATGTCAAATACAAACTACAAAGACATCGATCTTCATTCAGACACGAAGGTAAGAACTTCATATAAAATTAGCAAATTATGGAAAGCATTGACAAAAAGTTGGAACATTAAAACATTGGATTTGGTTTCAGTACCTAAAAGGGTAGTTGAAAATTGATATGAACAAATTTCAGGAAAGCTGAATGCACCCTACACTCCCCGCTGGACTTGTATTACCGTTTCTAGTTTCTACCGCTATGTCAGCCTAGCACTCCTCTGTTCTTCAACTGCTTACCGTTGTCGTTTTAGACGTGCTTATGTTTTTAATTATACACGGATATGAAACTAATCACTCAAATGTAATAACTATGTAAATCTCTCTCAAAGTAACAAATTCAAGATTTGAGTTTCTGACATTATAAGTTAGTCCACAATCATAATTTACTTTTACTTTGATCTGTTGAAGATTTTACAAAAATATGTTGATAAAAGGTCAAATGAATAGATTTAAAAAATGGCATAATAACTGTTCTTTACATAGTTAAAATGTATGGTACAGCTTTCGAATAATATAAGTTATGTCGTCTTTTGATGGAGTCAGCTGATGAATCGTTCAAATAAGCACTACTACTACTACTACTACTACTAATAATAATAAAGAAATTCATCGTAAACTTTTGACACGAAATAAATAATTTGCATGAAGTTGTAAACTGAGACTGGCGTATCATTACCGTTCAAAGGTTATATGATTATGATGCTTACAATTTATTTACATACAAATACGAGTAATTCAACCATTACATAATATGTTAGGCAAGTGATTTGAATTAAAGCTGTATCTCAATCATTAAATTTGACTCTCAGTAGAAACCATGCTCTCTCATAGGCCATGTTAATCCAACCAGAAGTGGTGGTGGGAAAGTTCATCCTCTATTAGACGAAAGACACGTGAATGTTTTATATTGATCTTCATCTTTGCCGATGCATAAAAGCAATCATTATCCTTCTATCAATCGATACACCACAAAGTTAAGTTTACAACTTTTTTAATTTAATCAATAATAAATCCACTTTCAATATTTCATTTTATATATCTCAATTTAATTTTTGGGGTCCAAAATGCCTCATTTTAGAGGGAGATAAATCCACCTTGTTACGCACACAAACAAATGCATACTTCATACTTCACGACAATTTTGTTATTTGAATTTGAAAAGAATATTAGTGAGAATCAACAAAAATTGGGGGCATACCGACCGGGATGGAACTTCGCAGAGATAAATCATGTTTATCCTACAATGCAACCTAAAATTATTACCTTTTGACACAAAATGAACAGGTACAGAAAAATTAGAGTTTGAAACATGTCAAATTAAATTCCAACACAAAATTAATCAATGAAAAAATGATGCACTGCAGGTTTCAACTGCTCCATCCCACAGAGATATATCTGGGCAAAAAGAAGGAAAAAGAAAAGCTACATTTTTTTAATCTGAGTCCTAGTGGCAGATATTGAACATCCTTTAGTATCTGTTGTAGGAGAGCTACAATCACATTTTCTTCTTCACTTGCAAGCCAAACACAATTTGAAACATTGAATGCACCTTCTCTTTCAGAAGAAGATACAGAAATAGGGGGAAAGAATATTAGGATTGAGAGGAGGAGGAGGAGGAGGAGAAGGAGAATGGGGGGAAAAAAGAAGAGAGATGCTGCCCATTCAGTAACAAAATATGGTCTTTCTGCCTACCCGGGAACTTGGAAACAGCCACTTCTTGATCTTTTTTCTAGAAGCTCTGAAGGGCACTTGTAGTGTGAGAGTTAATGTATATGTAGCCTCCAACCCAGTGGTTGGTTGGTAAGAGGGGTAAAGAAGCTTTCTCCTCAGCAATATAACCATGAAATGCAAATACATGTATGTTCTCTTCAATCATCTCTCTTTACGCGTAGTACATGTACAAGCTATTTGCAGCGGCACAAGCAATTGAATTTTCGGTTGGATGCCATGCTAAGTGCAGCAACTTTGTTGTGAAATCAAAAGAATTCCCATTAGCATCCACCCCAGGGGTGTCTGCTCCTGATCAAGAATACCAAATATTGGAACTCAGGGATACGCAATAGTAAGAAACAGAAGTAAAAAAGTACAAAGTTTGCACAAATAAGATAAGATCAAAGGTAATAGACAACTGACCCCGCCTTACAACACGTGTTATACTATTTCCCAGTGATCTAGAAGGCCTTGAAGGAGTTGGAACTTGTCGTCTGAGGGAGTACGAGAGTTAATATGAATGCAAAAATGCCTAACTAAAAACTATGCTTGATGTTAGAGCACCCATAAACTTACCTCATTGGATTTTTACTGGCTTCTAAAGTTGTAGCCTCAGCACTTCCAGGAGCACAACCAAACACCCGGAATAGATTGCTGGCATTAAGTGAAACAAAATTGTAAGATGCAGGGAAAAAAATTCCAATATAATCGAACTGTTGTCAAATTTGTATCAGACCTGTAAGAACCAGTTGCTAAGCGCAATCCATCCCCACTCAGACAACACTCAAACTTATCAAAAATTGAGTCATTTTCATATAAATCACAAAGCTGACATGTTCAAACAAATGCGTAGTCAGTTATAACTCAATTAAGCAGCAGAAAGAAATCCATAATTCATCATCATCTATCTAGGACACAGGAATCTAACCTTAGGTCTTAAATACTCATGAACCTGGAAAGTTGAAACGGGGCCTGTATCCATATTGATGTCCCATAACTGATAAACAAGTCAACTAGTGAAATGAGAAGCTTCAAGGACTTAAAACATAACAAGCAGAAGTCATCCAAACGAAGTCAGAAACGAAAGAAATCAGTCCATTTAAACAAGACAACTATTGAATTTTAATGGAAGGAAGAGACATAAATCAATAAAAATAATAATTTAGTGAAAGGACCTCAGCTCATAAGTAAGTAAATCTAAGGCATCCAAAATAAGCAAATATGTATCAACTTTGGGTCCTTGGCAAATAGGATCATCAACTTAAACTTCTGCAATTTACCCCCTTAAATTTTTAAATATGTTCGCTTATTGAAAAATATTAGAAGTTAGAAAATAAGATAAAAGATATTCATCTTTTTTCAGAACAAATTAACTATCGAAAATTTGTTTTTGATGTTAAAGGAGGTTGATTGCCAAAAATTAAAGAAAGGGGGTTTAATTCCGGAAGTCCAAAGTACTTTTAACACAAGCATGGATTTTGAAATTATAAAAGTGCAAACCTTTAAAGTCATGTAATCACGACTAAGTATGTATCTTCCATCCTTCCCAAACTTTATGTCTGAGATAGAAGCAATAATCTCTGTGAAAAATGATCTGGAGCCCGGGGCCTCCTGTTCCTCAAATCTGTACCAAAGTTTATTGCCTATATTAGAGTCTACAGGGTAATAAATAAATAAACAAATGCATACATAGAACGGGCTTCACAACAATTCTTGTCCCCATAAGCATCATTTTGAATGTTCACACCAACAAGGAAAAATAAATTATCAAACAGTAATTTTTCTTACTGTCTCAACATTTTCTAAAACCTGGAAGCCTTATGGGAGAAGTGGGATAACTAATTGTTAGTAACCAACAAGATTACCACAAAAGAAAATAGACAAGATGTGCTTACAGTTTGGCATGAGAATCACATAATGCTGATTGCCGCAAGTCAACAAGACGAATTGAACCCTTTGAACTGCTATATGCCAACATATTACAATGTGTAGGGTGAAACTCTGCTGATGTTATAACCTCTGCAGTAATAATATTTAGGCTCAAGGCTCAACCAATACTGTAAAAAATTGGACTAAGTTGCAAAAAAATGGATACAAATATCCTTCCTTCACTTTGTCTTAAAACCATTGAAATCCCAAAAATTAGGTTCAGAGCATTCAAACAGTCGTCAATCCAACCTTAAAACCCCGTCCTATTGGTTGCAAATCCCCTCACACTATCAAACACCCAACCAACCTTCACGCTTCAGCCCACCTTTCTTCTCCTCTTGACTCACCATACAAAAACAGGATTTTGATGGGTTAAATTCTAATCCTTCCACTATTCCACATCATAGTTTAGCAACCACATAATATTAATCTATCAAGTCAAATGTTGACAGCTCAATAATTAAATATGACTAAAAGACAACGGGTGATTCTTTCAACCACCATGGCATAAAGTAACAAATTTCCTCTTATACGGAAAAATTGAGACCTTGCCTGGTTGACTGGCTTAAGCCTGGTTGAGTCACTAGGCTTGGTTGGGTTAGTAAATGGGGCAGGCCATGAACACCCACCGCACTGCCAACTACAGTCATATGTTGTAATCATTTATTTAATTAACCACATAAATGAATTAGTTTGTGTTTTACCAAGTTATCAATAGAATAATGTTTACATTATTACAAGGCAGTTTTTTTTTTTATCAAGCTTACCTGTCAGATCCTCCATATTTGCAGGCTTTACATCAACAATATTAAAACTTTGATTGCTAATTTCCAGGTTCCAAAGATTTA